ACATGTGTTGTTCATGTGTGCAATGTGTTAATGAAATATCCAATTACGTTTGAAATATCCATTTAGGTTGGCACTGGCTTAAATACAACGCCATATATACTCGTACATACACAGTTGTATATATTATACATGTGCTACTCCAATACCCTGCGCATGTTAAGAATTACTGGTCTACAATGGTCTATATATCATAAATATTTGTTTACTGATGAAGCTCTTGAATTGTATCTATATCACACCAAACAACTTTTACTGGTCTTCACCAGACACAAAAAGCACACCACCCAGTTCGGGTGGTTTTTAGACTCCCCCTACCATTGGTGTACCATCCCCTCAAACCACCCAGACTGGCTGGTGCTGTACGTAGGGTGGGACGTCCCACCACCAGCAAGAGTTGGTCAAATAGGATAGTTTGATAAGCCTTTTACTAACCGTCATCATCCACTGCACCAACATGTGCATATAAGATCCCTAGGGCTCCAACTACCTCCTGAGAAGATGGTTATGGTGGGTGCCAGGGGGGTCTAACCACCTTCTGAGGATATGGTTGGAGCCCTAGGGGATATAGGTTCCCACCTTTTTACTAGACTCCGGGTACTGAGATCATGATCATTCCGAACGGGATATACCTAATTAGTGACCGTTCGTCCCATGACCTGCGATCAAGAGATGGTCATTTCTGAGAAAAGGCCTGGAACCTGGCATCCGATAGGCCCCATCATCCACTGGGCCGTACTGGAAATGGGATACACCTAATGATCTACTCCTCCCAAGCTTCTCTACTTGACTGAGAGCTTTCTCTCTTTTCTTGGTACCACCACTGCCCTCGTCCCATCCCATCACCGGTCCCCCAGGCCTCACCGGAACGCCGCACTCCGGAGCCGGAGCGCTCGGCCACGCCCACGCCGCGGGACCCCGCCGTCGCCGGCGTTTGCCGTTTGGACGGCGCCGGTGTGGAGAGTGGGTAGGCCAGGAGGTTTTTGCCCTAGGGCTCCAACCATATCCTGAGAAGGTGGTTAGACCCCCCTGGCACCCACCATAACCATCTTCGAAACGGAGGTAGTAGTTGGAGCCCTAGGGTTGGTAGGCCATCTAGACACAAAGGAAACTGCGAATCACGTCGACCGTTTTTGCAGGTTTTCGTTTTTTTTTGGGGCGTTTAGCTTTATAGTTTACGATGTCTTTTACACTATGTTTACTTTTTCTCGGTTTTCTTTGGGGCGTGAAATTGCTCCGGTTTCAGGACCCGTTTACTTTCGGAAAGGGACGGGTACACCGGTCCTGGGGTCCTTCTTTTGTCAGAATCGGACTTCTGGATGGATTTGGCATTCAGGGACCTTTCATGAATGGGTGTTCATCCGTTTTTTCCTTTTTGGGAGTCTAGATGCGCACGGTGTCCCCCCCTTCAACGGTGTTTCGCCGGGTCAACGAGATGGGACGGCCTGGTGGATGGGAGGAAGGAACTGACCTTCCAACCGACCTGTTGCTACCTGGGTCCCGTCCCCCACGACTTCGGGATTTGGTTGGGTTGACAATTATTTGCTCCCAAAACCCAACACTTGGAGATCTTTGAGAGACAAGGTCAAGGGCAGGTTTTTTGGATTTCGACCCCTCTGGCTGAGGCGTGCCGGCATGGCGACTCGCTCGCCGTTCGCCTTCTCATGCGGCCAGGAGAATCAGTACGGCCTTCGACTGGCGGATCTGGTGAACACTTGGAACGAGGACCGATTCACGCTTTTCGAAGCGCGAAAGGACCTGGCGCGAAAGGACTTCCCCCAAAAAAGGAGACGTGCTGCGAAGAGACCCCGAAAAAGGTGAGACCAAATGCCTGATGTAGACTCTTGACATTGATTATTAATAAACCACCCCTGTTTCAATGGACCTCTTCATATGGGGGGGGTTCTTCATCAAGAGTCGTACTAGGTCTTGCGTTTTTTCGGGTGATGTTTCTTTTCTCGAACTGTGGGTCAGTCCCTGGCATGGGGAAGATGTTGTAGTTTAACACCACGGTTCGTGGACTAAGCAATGATTCAATGATTCAGATTCTTGTCACAGTTATGGCCCAGCTTTAGGGTGTCGAGATGCAATCTTCCGGAAGGTTAGTCCGAAAAGATATGCCGGGTTGTTCTATTTGGATCGTATTTTCTCTTTTTTGCATCCACTGTTGTTCCATTCGGGTATTGTTCTATTCCAGAGAGCATCACGGATGTTCTTCTTTTGGTTTCTGCATTGCAGACCACTTTCATAGTCCCATCGTGCGGTGCCGCCTTCCTCGGTCTTCGCTCGCTGGGGATGCCTACAATGCTCGAACGTGATCCATCAGGTCCCCAAGTCGGTCCGGTGATGTCGCCATCGGTTTTTCTCCCCACCCAGACGCTCCGTTCACAGCCCGACTGGTCCCTCAAAACCAGCTTGGAATGGGTCCAGACCCCGACTTTATTGAGGGTCCCGGGTCGCGTCTGGGCACACATCCAATGATCCGGGCGTTTTCATCCCCAGGACACCCGGAAGATGCTCCGGGAAGAGCTGGCCGCCACACGCCCGGACACTCCCAGGTGGGGGGATGGTTCACCGAAAGAAAACGAGTTATGTATAACATCAATCCTTTTGACTTCAATATATGTCAACGATCCGAAGGCTAGAACTATATATATATATTATACAATATAACAATATGCAAATCTATCATAGTTGTCAACAATTAAAACATTGTGTTCTTCGAGGAGCCGTCTTGAGTAACGGCTCGCAGAGTCGTGAGGTGAGTACCAAGGAACCTTTTGCTATGATGATCTATGATGAGGTAAATATGTTTGTTTTGCATGTTTCTTTTTAATAACAAACGCTGATTGATTTTGAGACTCAGTGACAGTCCAAGATGTTCGGCTTTTCCCAGAGAATGGGCGTGTGATTTCAGTGAAGAGTTATTTGGGTCATGCTGGGTCTATTTGTACCGGAGGCTAGTGCCGCTAGTAGGTTGGAGGCCATCGCTAGTGGTGTCTTTGAACATCTTCGAATACTCTTGATTAATCATGATTAATCCCTAGGGCTCCAACCATATCCTGAGAAGGTGGTTAGACCCCCCAAACCACCCACCACAACCATCTTCGAAACGGAGGTAGTAGTTGGAGCCCTAGGGTTGGTAGACCCCCCATATGAAGAGGATTCAGTTGTTTGTAGCTACCCGCCAACGTGAACCCGGCCCATAGTGCCAAGGGGAACCCGTGTCACGGACACGTAGAGACATCCGGAGGGAATGCGGGTCCCGTCATGAAGAGGATGTCCATTTCAAATGGGAGGGCTTATTAATCAAGAGTCATTACATTTTAGTTTTAGTAGGTTTTTCTTTTAATACTTAAGACACAGGAAGACAGATAAAGAAAGGGCCTCAGAATCCGAAGGGATCTGAATGGCCTGTGCTCAAGCATTTCGAAGCACCGGACAAGCCCACGTTTTGAAACCCCTTCGCCCCTTCAAGTTCATCAGCGGCTGGTTGTTCGGGTTAAGAGATGGATCATGTCTGATCCTTTTTTTTGCTTTAAGGAAGCAGACTTGATGGAGGTTTGTGGAGTGTAACAAGTATGACTATGACTGCGACGTCTCGACTGAGTAGCTCCACATCGCTCCGTGCCATCTCTCAGATCTCGAGGCACAGTGCAGGCACATCTGCACGTGGCGAGCTTCGCGATGAGTCGCTGAGCACCTTGCAGATCTTGCAGTCGATTCTCTTGGAGCCCATGGGTCGATTCGGGCCATGTGCCGCTTTTCGGGGTCGATGTTTCTTCGGAGAGCTCGAAGACGAAAGGTGCTCTGGCGTGCCGAAGAGAAGGTGAAAATCCGCCCAAAGAGATCCTCGGTACCAAAGGGCCAAGCCATCAGAGATGATCTCCCTGATCGGGTCCTGTTTTGAGCCTGTATACAGGACATGCGTGCCCGAAAGTGACCTGCTTGGGGGATGCTGCTTGAAAAACCGCACTTTTGGAACCTGCCCATACCTTCTCAATCCTTCTCAAGTGGTCTTGGTCTTCGGAGCCCAAAGTCCGGGCGTGTCACATCCCGGTGGAAACCAGGAGCCCCTAGTAGCGTCCTTGCTCCTAGTAGCAATGCCAGGAGCCCCTAGTGGCGTCTTTGCTCCTAGTAGTAAGGCCAGGAGCCCGGAAATATGACATTAGAGACACAGTGGTATGTGATCTGCCCGGATGTTCAGTAGGGTATCAGGGTTTTGATTATGGTCGTGACTAAGGCACCTGCTTTGGCCAGAAACGGTTGGCAAAGGTCGTCATCATTCAGCCACGTCTCAGAATCAAAGACAAATGATCTCCAAAGGAGTTAGCGATGTTGGAAACCACTATTTCTGCAGCAGTATGTGTGCCAAACATGTGCTGACAAGAACCTAGATCAACGCCTGGTCGCAGGGCCACCCCAATTCACCTTGCCATGGACTCCAACGATCATGAACACCACCTGGCTGGGCTGAACACGACTGCGACTGAAACAGCCGCGACCGACTCCTGCTCTTCTGCCACTGCCGACTCTGCTGGCAGGAGTTTCGGGCCCTCACGCCCTTGCCGCACTGCGATCACTGTGGCGCCTTGGGTCGTGTGGCCATCAATCAGGAGGACGGCAGACTGGCGCGGGCGGAGGCGGAGTGTTTTGGAGGACTCTTGTTTGGGGCACGGTGGTACGTATAGTTGTGTTTATTTCCTGAGGAAGGGACTATAAATAAGTTGCTCAGATGAAGTGCTTTGGGGTGTTATGAAGATGGACACAAAGGAGCGGAAATTGCCCATCATTGATTGGCAGGAGCCAGATCAGGGTGACGGTAGGACCATGTGACCACTTCAATCTATTTGGCACGGTACGGTGAGGCTGTGTATACACTGCTTAATTGTGCCCACCCCATGAAATCTTTACTACAAGTATAATATATTACCAGGAGTCACAAAGGTTTTTTTTGGTCACCAAGTGAGTGGATAATGGGCATTCCTATCCTCCAATACGCACCCCTTTGGAACTACTGGTGCATAGTGTCGCTTTTTTGTTGCGGTGCCGCCCAGACAGCCAATTCCAAGTTCGAAAAGGCACGAATCATGGCCTGTTTTGGGGCAACAAAAATGCCCTTACGGCGTCTTTTCCCAAAGACGGTGCTTTTTGGGTGACAACTCCCAGTTGGACTGGACCAGCGACGATGTCCAGTCATTTTTCCTTGATGGAACCACACTCACCGCATGCGGTATGTTCCTTCAAGAACCCGACAAAAAAAATCCAAGAGGATTTATTTAGTATAGGTATCATATCGGGCATATCGATGGGAAAACAAACAAACAAATTAAAACAATTTAAACCATATTATTCTATAGAATATGATGGTTCCTTCGAGCCTGGTACCCTTATGACCTCCATGTCCGGCCGTTGGAAGATGATCCTTTTCAACGTCTTACGGTTCAGGGAGACTGGGTCTCCATGTTCGACACCGAAAGAAAGGACACCAAATAAATGCATGAGCATCCTACAGGTGTTTGGAAAGCCACAAACACCCGTGCTTCTTTTTTCATGTTCCCTAGTTGGAGGCCGAAGTCGACAAATGACCAAATTTTAACACACTGGCCCTTGAGCATCCTTAAGGCTCATGATTTCTGTATCTCGGGAATCCCTCAATCTTTCCGACCTCGAATTGTTGCCACGGATTCTGGGCTCAGGTTCCGCTGCTGTTGATGTTTTAAGTCGGCTCCAGATGTATCGACACATTCGACATCCGAACCTTGGGAACCCCTTCTGAAGACATTGCGTGACCCAAGCCATCGCACCAGCAGAACCTCTGAACCTCTTCAGGATCTCACTGAGCTGGTCAGGGGTCATTTGTTGATGGACCGCTCCAACTCGCGGAGCCCCTCGGCCGATGCTGAGCCCCTCGCCATCCCTCCGTCCTTCAGGGTCCGGGGCGGTGTTTTGGTTGGGACTTCGGTGTGCCCGGACCGGGGCGGAGGTGCCATGGGGCAGGGCAGGGGCCACGGGTTTTGGGTGAGATAGAGATCTCAACTTGTGCATGTCGAAGCAGTTTAAAAGTGGGATACAGCCTGAACATATGACCCGTAGAAGGCGGTTCGGCGGTTCCAAAACTCTGACGCATCCGGAAGGGGGAGCTTCATGTCTTGATCTTCACTGAGGTAACACCAGCCCAATGGAGACCAGTCTGCCTGAACCGCGGTCAGAGACCAAGGCTTGCTGGGGCTAGGGAAAACGAGCTGGGGAAGAGCTGGGCTAGATGGGCCATGGATGTTTTGAACATCTGTGGCCCATACAAGAGGGGTTTGGCCCAGCCCTATTCTGAAAAGATGTCATGAGTCCTCTATTTTGCTGCTGGCTTGCCCAGAAGTCGAAGACTTTCTGGGCATTCCATCATCATTCCACATACTGGAAGCAGGTTCAGCCCAGATTTTTCTTGAATTGTGTCCAAGGTCTGTGGATATGTCAGACATCAGGATTAAACTTAAGGCTGTGAATATTTTTTCGGTTCTGGACACTGCCACGATGCTCGCTGTGAGCCTAGGATTTCAACTCAAGGCTTCATCTTTGCTTCCTCCCTTGCACGCGACAGCCATTGCGATGCGGAAAGTGACAGCGATAGCTGCGGCGATGGTTGCATCGGCTGCAGAGCTTAGCTCCTTGCGTTTGGGCCATGGCGGCCATGACCACTTTGGAGGTCGGGATGAGCTCCAAAGTGTCGTAAAGTGTCTAGTTTACATTTTTGGAAGTGGTTCCTGTCATTTCCTGTTAATCATGGTACAAGTAGACTAACTATATATGTACGGTTGATTAGATTTCTATCATTCAGAGAGCGAATTCGAAGCCACTAGTCCAGTTGCACGGTGGGATATTCGAGGGGGCTTTGGGCTGTCCAGGGCACGAGATGGAACGGTCCTTCCTGATGTACGCAGAGCTGCCCATGGGCGAGGAGGCCCTGAAAGCTCGAGGCTGGCACAAACACGGGTCGGAGTGTGACCCCGCTTTGGGCTATGCTTGGACTGAGAAGGCGGAGGGCAACACCAAGAGCACCCCCCTCGTGCTGTACACCACGCAGGGTGGACAGCCATCAGGTGTGGGCATCACGGTGGTGGGTTACAACGGCCATCCGCCCCTTCCAGAGGAGCAGCAGAAGTGGGCCACGGCCACCCCCTTGACGCCTAACAACATCGAAGAGCAGGTGAGCAGCGAGGTTTTGATCTATTCAAGAACCAAAGGGTTATAATATAAGGAAGTATATTGTATTAGACCACTTATAAGACCAAAGGGTATAGTATCTATTAAAGACCTATGTTATTGTATAAGGCCAAGACCGGGTTTTGACCACTCAGGTGGCTCATCTCGATGTGGCTTTCCGCTATGGGTCGATCCTATGCTCCGGCGAGACAGAGGAAGCCGTCGTGGGCACCACGCTCATCGTGAACCCCACGAGTGAGGGGAATTCGAAGACCATCCCTTTGACGGAGCAGGGTGTGAAGGAGCAAGGCTGGCATCGAGGGTCTTGTTTTGATGGAATGGGCTGGCATTGGTTTCTGGACACCAAGCAGGACAAGCCACCAAGTGGCATGTCTTGGATGGCGCAGAATCTCTTTCCTGTGGTTGCCATGTACCACGAAGGGCAGATGAATGCCATCTTCTTCGCAGCACACCTGAGCCAGGCCTGGTTCTGCCTTGGGTGATTCGGTGATTCTGGATTTTCCCTTTGCAAATCCTCTGGGGATTTTCCATAGAGGATCACCAGAGGATTTTTTTAACATCTGAAAAACATCTAAACATCCTCTGGGTGATTCGTGTTAAAACATTCAGATGTTTTCCAGTTCCTGGTCAGCTCCTCCTTTCGCAGGTCTCCGTACCGTTCCTTGCCACCAACGAGTGGGATCCGGCTGGGCTGGACAGCGGGAAGATGTGCAAAAACACCTGTGACAAGGACTGCAACTTCACGGGCATGGTGGACACCTTTTCCACCGCACACATCTACTTCCGTGACCACAAAGAAGTGAGCTGCCCATCTGAGCTGCAGTGCAGCATTCAGTTTCCGATCAGGGCCGCTTGCTGCGACACCGCACAAGATGGCACCGTGGTCGTGTAAGTCGCCAATGTGCACTTGGCACACTTGGCACACTTCATTACCCAGACCATCCATGTGTGGAATATTTACCTGCATTGACCCTTGAAAGCTTAAAAGGACCCCAATGTAGGCAAATATTCCATAGGTAGGTGGTTAGGGTTATTTTGCCATCTGAGAACTGATGGATGACATGGATGTTTTGCAACTGTTACATTGATGGCTAACCAGCCTGAAAACAACTTGCGACATGTTTGCTACACTTCAACACCCACTCCCTTCTAAGCCATAACTTGTTGCCCAGGTTGCTTGCCAAGTTTGATTGATTTGATCATCGATTTATCGATATTGATGAGGTCGTTGGTCCGCCGTCTAGATTTCGGCTCCAGTGTCGAAAGTATCACAACCCACCCTTCCAGTTACTTCTGTGGTATAGATCTTCTGTTGGGAGAGTTGAGAACAGTTAGAAAGTAGACCATAGCCCAGACACTCCATGGGACTGGCATATATACCTACATTGGCAACATTGGCCCCTTTTCAACCACCCCAACTGATCGGCAGTCCTTTGGCAGTCCCCTTTGTCGGGTCGACCACCAGAGTGAGCCTGCAGGCTTTGCAGCCGCTGCTGACCGAGCTCACCACAGCCTTTGGGGAGATGCAGCAAGCGTTGAAAGGGCCACTGGGTTCACAGGGGTTCACGGGGTTCCACTGGGTTCAGCAGGTGGTGAACACTGCTGATGCGGGGCCGCTGAGTCTCTTCTTCTTTCCGTACTCTCCTGAACTTGTAGGAAAGTATCTCAATCTTGCGGAACAGATGCAAAACATGTTTTTTTGCAATTCTACCCTTGACCTGGAGTTTCACTCCCAAAACTGTATCGTGGTTTCGTTTGTCCAGCACTGAGTGGTTTTAGTCTTGACTTGGTGATAGGTGTAACCCATTGGGCAATCACAATGTGCACCACCAAGAGTGGATCGGGGCTTTCCAAGAAAGGATACTATATTACAATAGACAATATATATATATATGTGTCATTATGCCATGGAACATGTTGCATAAATACCAAGAATCAAGAACATCCATCCAATAAACCACAACTAAAATAGTGGTATCCCCTCCGGCCCTGTGGCTTAGGAGCGCCGCGTTGGTGGAGGAGGTCCGCCGCGCCCGCGCCGAGCCACCTCCGCGGTCTGCGCCCGCGGCGCCGCCCGCGGCGGCGCCCGCGCCGGCAGAGAGCGCGGAGACCGGGGCGACGAGGCCGGAAACCGCAGAGACGGCGAAGAGGAAGGATGGAGTTATTGTAGAATGTAGAGCAACGAAAAGCAAAGACTCTGAATGTAGTACAACGCCTGAATGTAGAACAGCAACTTTTTGCTGGAACTCAATGTAGTAAAGCCTGAATCTCAGAGTGTGGCTGATATAGTTATTGCATCATTGAGAGAGGAGTGGCTGGAGAGCTGAGAACAAGTCTGACCCCAGTTCCCAGTTCCGTGGATTGTAAAAGCTATGTAGTAGACCTTCGAGGGATGAAGAGACATCCTTTTGTATATAATTTTCACTTGTTTTTTTTTGATCTACATGAACTGGTTTTCAGGGTGTGACTGGATGAGTGGGATGTCTAATGAGGACCATGGGAATGTCCAAGGACCTAGGACAGTCTGAAAGCACCAACCGAGCTCTTCCAATGCATCAACGTGCATAGAAGCTGCCGTGCCGAAAACGACATCGTGCACACCGGGCAGGCTATTCCCAGAGCTTGATGCAGAGTTGGTCTTGCAGGAGCCTTGCAATTCCTGCCGCCAAAAGATTCCGCAGGGTCACAGCGACGATTTGTGGTACCATATAATATATAGCTAGAAGTCCAAACACGATATTTTGACTGACTGAAGTAAAGGAAATTCCTTTTCGTGTCACCATATCAGACCATTCATTTTGTAGTCTTTGACTCCCAGGGATACCCCTATTGCCTATTGTAGCGAGTGCAGTTCTGCGTTTGGATGGCAGGGATGATTGACCAACAGAGACAGAAGGTCGGTTGTTTCTTTCGTCGGGTGAAGGGCGCAGGAAAAAACACCTACAGATTAGAAGTTGGACATAGAAGTTCTACCCTACAGGTCCAGTCTGACCCTGTTAAAACCTGGTCCAAATCACCTCATTGAGTAGTGTTGAATTTGTGCTTTTTTTCGTCGAACTGACTTGAAGTAAGTAAAACGAGTCGTTTTTCTTGCCTGTAAAAAAGCTACGCAACGGCAGGTCAGCATACGAACTTGGGGTGGGATAGTCAGCATACGAACTTGGACGTTACTGGGTGGCTGAACCAGTCTCACTTTTCTCACTGGGAGGTCGATTTGGTGGAACACTCTATCCTGCTCATGTCACGGGTCATCTCAGAATAGGACTGTTGCAGGCTTTTCGGAGGTGATCTAGACGTCGGGGGTTCTCTCCAGACATGGGACAAGGGCAAAGGAAGAGACACCTGCACATATTTTTGGTGAATGGAGAATGGATCACGGGGGAACTGTCCAAATACCAGGACCTTCCAACTTCCAACAGGTGGTTGTTGGACACCCCTCACCCTTTGGCTGAGGCTATTTCTAGACACCTCGGTATGGAGGGTCCTGGTATGGAGAATGTTGGTGAATTTCTCAGAGATACCAGCAACACGTGCAACGGTGTGAGCGGTTTGCAGTTTCCAGTGGTGAAAGCGTAGAGTTCATCAGCGACCGTAGACAGGTGTGGACTGTGAATGGCTCAAAGCACCGCTTCCAGCATAGATTCACATCCCACCGAAGAGTGGGCATTGGACCTGAGAAGACATCACCCGTGGTTTTGACATGTTTCGAACATTTTCTGAATACCAACCCGACGTGGCTTTTGGGGTTCCAGCCTGGTCCGAATAGCAGGGGAGTAGACTCACATCCCACAAGAATTTCTTATAGATCCGACTCGGGTCCAAGGGCGTAACCATGTGTAACCCATGACCATTTTTTGACCACTATCTCTTGGCTTTCGCTTTGAGGACTTGCGACAGATCAAGGCCTCTTGACGACATGTGTGCGTCGTGGAGGTGTTTCGCATCTGGGGGACAGGTATCGAGGTACAGAGGACTCACGTTGAGGTTGTTTCTGTGCGGATGTTCGATCCCCCAGCAAGCCAGAACTGAAACCTTGGAAGGCACCTGGGAGTTCACTTGCTTTCTTGAAAGGCACCTCAAAGGAAAACAAATGACAGAAGCACTACATAGGACCGTCCTTCCGGGGTCTGGACCATCCTGGAAGGCGTCTGACTCGACCACCCTATCAATCCTTGTGGGTTTCCATTGGACAAAGCCCCCGATACTCGTTGGAACTCATGCGCCAACACCCCCAGCTGCTGGGGTGGCTTGTAAACGACGGCGCGAGCTCCGCTCCGTTCAGCCCCAGCACCACCCGTTCCGAACCCGTGGTGCGAATCCAAGCGAATCGGGTGACATCGGGTCTGGTCAGATGTAAGTTCATCTCAGCCAGAAGGAACTGCGGGGAGAACTCAATCGGTTTATGGATGTTTGTGGGGAAGGGATAGTCATGACTGATAGGCAACCGCGAAAAAACACATCATCAATAGATAGGGTCAGGTGCTTTTGGGGTGAGGGGCATACACTCTCTCATGTTGGGTGGGCCAGCCTAATTATGCCTGGGGAAATGGATGAATAAACCATTCAACAAAGACAACTGGTTGAAGTCTGAAGGAAGACCGGCAGTGTTTGGTCTCAACGACGCTCGCTGGGCGACCCTGACTCCTCGCTGGGCTCTGACTTCCTAGACACTCGACCGGGTGCTTCATCGACCGAGCAGTCCCCGGCAGTGAGGACTTAGTGGCACAGAATAGCACGGTGGCCCTGACAGCTGAAGTTCAGGCCCTGAAGGAGCAGCTGGCTTCTTCCGCGTCGTCGCTCGCGGATAGATTCGATGCAGACGCAGCAAAGAATAGACGGCGCAGAGCGACCGACTACTGGTTTCGATAGTTGGATGATAAGGTGCAAAAGGATTCTTGCAGATGGCTTCTTGATGAAGATGGTGAGACTCAGAATTTGGAGTCTCACCATCTTCATCAAGAAGAGGATGAGAGCTAATGAATTAATTTGACATATGTCTCGTGCGTCACTTGCCCCTCCTCCAGATGTTCGGTCAGTTTCCACCAGGAGGCGCTGAATGAGGTGCAGCAGAAGTCCGAAAAGGCCTGGTGTGGGTGGCGTCCGTTCTCGCCTGGTGAGGGCGAGGGTCGAGGGTACGACCATAGAAACATAGGCAAGTGACTTAGTTGACTTATAGAGTGTTTCACCAGTTGGCAATCGCCCAAACTTATTGAGTTCGTGGAGATTATTCATGTTCAACGCTCAGGGCTCGAGCACCAACGAGCCAAAAACAATGCAGGTGAATCGTTGGTCGTCTCTCCTTGTGCGGTGCGCGGAAAAGGGGCTCAGGACGTTCCTTCTTCCTTCGAGTTAGGACTCGGTCGCATGCTGTTCGGAGCGGAGCCGAAGCGTCGCGTTCGAAGCGACGCACCGTTGGAGGCCATCGCTATGAGGTTGGAGGCCATCACTACGAACGGAACAAGAAGCTACGAACGTAACAAGGGCATCGCTACGAACGTAGCGATGCACTTGTTCTCCATTTTGGTGATCCTTTTTTGTGATTTGTGCGACGAAAGTACTGTAGGGAATGAGGGTGGCCAGGGTGGCTGGATCCACTGGAATCTCTAGACCGGGGGCGAACCGTTCCCTATCCTTCCCTTGAAACCAATCTCGTCGCTCCTTCGTCAGCTGGCTGTCAATTCCCCTTGGTTTCGCAATCTGGAAGGACTCCCAGACCTTGTTGCGGAACATGGAGCGCCTCTCAGACGTCATCTCCGCCGAGCGGATGGCCGCTGCACGGGAGACGCTCGGGAAGAAAGCTGCTGGAGTGGACGAGGGGGAGGGCGGGATGCAGATACCCCATGGCCCTAAGAGCGATGGCCTCCAACCTAAGAGCGATGGCCTCCAACCTAAGAGTGATGGCCTCCTCCAACCTTAGAGCGATGGCCTCGAGCTGCGGATCTATTAAATGTTGATCCACAATTTCGTGCCAAGTCGCCAAGTTTTGACACATCCACAGAGTCATGGGACAATGAAAAAGGGTTCTGCAGGATGATGCAGGTGTTGGCTCACCATGCCTTCCTTTGTTTTTCAGGAGTTAGACTTCCAAACTCTGAGGCGAACTCCTGAGATTTGACGATGATTTGGTGTGTTACGGTCAGAGCTTAAGGAGTCTTCTGGTTCTCCAATCACTTATTTGGGACTTCATCCTTATCTGAGGTGCTTTCAGAAATTCTTATGTTCAACTGGTTCAACCTTGGGATGATTGAACCCACTGAGTTTATGATATCGATATATTACATAATTAGTAATAATATGTATAACATATGTTGTTCAATTGAGTATAAACCCACCAACCAGTTTTGTTTGTGCATGTCGACACGTGCGACGACCTCATGGGGTGGACGGGAATCGTAGGGGCATGGGGTGGAGAGGGCACTTGTGTTGGGTTCAGACACCACTACCATTGGCGGACTGCCACATACAGTTCGCTACTCATTTGTTTGATCGTTGCCAGTGCCCAAACTGGGCAAAACTGTGGGCATTTCAGCGCACCCCTGGCCCAGCGCAGGGCACTGCCACTCCCAACCCCCTTGCACGACGCGCACCAGCTTGCGGACCGTCGGAAGGCCGCGGTCGTTGCCGTCGCGGCGCGCTGTCTACATCTGTCGACTCCCTCCCCTGCCTCCGAGGGCGGCGGAGAGCATGCCGGCGACCCAGCAGAATCAGAAAGCGATTCTGAACACCTTGCAGCAAGTCAGTGCACCTCGGTAGTACGAGAGTCTCCGGTCACGCTCGAGCGTCGCGGGGTCACGCTCTGCTGCGAGCTGCGAGCTGCGGCTGCCATGGAAGGAGAAAGGGAAGAAGACGAGATGTTGCACTGAAGACATTTTGTGGTGTGAGGAATGACGGTCTGTAGAGTTTGGGTGGCCGAATGTCAGGTCGGCACCCCAAACGGCTGGCCATTTGCCCTCCCTGTGTGTCACCCGCGTGGACCGAGGAGCTGATCAGCGTGGACCACACCGCACAGGTGCAGGAGGCGCACTCCATGCGGCAATCGGTGACCTCTTTGGACTTGGAGCTCAAGAGACTCCAGGCGCCGAGACCGCCGAGACCGCTGAAAAATGGCTGATGGCCTGACGACCGCAGCTCCGGGTGGATGGTTTTTTTCCACTTGGCGGCGCGAGTGCGGGGAGAGAAGGTCCAGGCGTGATCAAAGCATTTTTGGGCCGTTTGAAGGGCAAAGTTCTGGGGGTGTTGTTGGATTGATTTTGGTTGGTCAACAAGCGCAGATGTCGTGCAGAGGATAGATTTGGGGTATATATGAAGGTGGGGGTGGGGGGTAGTTTCCTCATGTCACCTGTCATGGGTGCATGCCACAAACACATGAACAATTAGAGGTTTTAATTATATACAATTATAACAACCATGATTTTTGCGAGGGACATCCAGGGTTCTTGGCGCGATCATAACAATCATATATCGATTTGGGTGTGTTCGGCTGAACCCCCGAGATCAGTGGGGGTGCTACTTCCATGCGCACCATCATCTACTGTACGCTTATGCCCAATTCCGCATGGCCAGGACTCCGTGCGGAGCTCGCTGGAGAAGTCCAATGAGGAGAAGCCCTTCAGGGCTCGTGCGCGACGTGCAGACCATCCGACTGGCATGGGGATTGCAGGTGGAAACGGGAGTCCGATGTTCATAGACCTTCTTCCTGGGCCTGGAGTCGAGCATAGGAGGAGTATCATTCATCGTGCGGGGAGGACGTGCGGGGTGTGGTCTACCTCCATGTTCTACTTGCCTACTTGCCCTCCCAACCTAAGGCACTCCCAGTCGAAAGGTGTGGGAACATCACCTCTGTACATAATCTCTACATAAAGCACGAATACCCTATAGACAGAAAAACAAAAAAGAACTATTGAAAGGTTTCTGGATCATTTTCATTTTGAGGTTTGCGGTCCTCCTCCAATATGCACGGAAGTTGCGACTGATAGGTGAAACATCAAGAGTCCCTCAAGACGAATGGTTTTCCCTCAATCCAATGGCTGCTGGTTTTGTACTATGGAGAAGTTCACAGTAGGATGCAGGAATTTGGAAATTATAAAGCAAGCTGTTTTGATATGTCAGTGCGTCACCCAACAACTGCAACCGGCGATGGGTCTTTTGGCATTGCGACAGGTCTTGGCATTACAACAGCAAGAGCTGGTGGGTCACACCTTTGAATCCAAACGCATCCTCCTCTCGGTGAGTTTCCAAAGTTCTGGCCAGCCACCCTAAACCCTAAACCCTACCAAACAGGGTTCGTAGGAAGGCATGCCTTCACTGCCACATACTGCCAGTATTTCGTGGAGGAGCTCCTGGTGAAGATGAAGGACCTGGAAGAGTCCTTGACCGTGAAACATCAAGAAGCCGAGCCTCCTACCCGCACATGCCGCCGTAGGTATCCTCGTCGCTCGCGTGTGGGGTAGGTCGGATTCCTCAGGTATGTATGTTTCTGCGTGTTTACACCAGATGTGGCCAGATGTGTTCCAACAAGATCCAATGATGACCTGCACCATCCTGGGTGTCCGGAGATCCAGCCAGGTCGTGTAGGGTAGTCCAGTCAGGTGACCAATTGGATGGTCCTGGATGGTCCTACCCTGAAACAAAGCTAACGATTCTGAGTCGGCGTGAGTCGATCCTGAGACGCCACAATTCCGTGAAAGAGTGTGGCGACGTAAACGTCAAGCTTTCCTGCTGTACTAACCAACCTGCTTGCTTCTTCCTCATAGAAGTTCAAGATGATCTGTCACCAGCTGCAGGACACACACCTAGCCTATGGCAACTTGAGGGTCTTGAATTCGCTGGTTTACGGTGGATTACTGCACAACATCCTCCTTTATAGTCCTCCTTTATATTGCCATTGCTTAAACAACAATCAATCTATCAATCAATCATCCATAGGGGGAGACATTAAGGCCTCATGATGATTGTCCAATGTGGATATCTTTTTCTTCGGCCCATGGCCACTATTGGAAGATTCCGAATCAGCACAAATCCACCTGCAGTACTTTTGTCCACCGACATCCATCAGCAGCAGCAGCCAGTTGCAGATCGTATGTCTTACCTTGGGCTGCTTTTTCTGCACCAGATGTGTTCACCACTGTTTCACCAGGACTAACAGGACTGATGAAGATCCATTGGTCCGTGAAAAGTAAAGAGAGACATCGTTGGATGACGTAATGCGTGCTTTCCCAAACGGCCCAAGCGGCCTTCAGAAACCATCCGAAACCACGACGCTCAAGTGGCTCTTGGGCTTGTTCCGTTCGAGTCGCGATGCCCTAGGAGCTCCTAGCGTAGCGAACCTTGCTCCTAGTAGTACGGCCAGGAGCCCCGTTTGTAGCGTCCTTGTTCCACAACACATTTCTGGGCCTTCACGGAAGTCTGAGCTGCCCGAGGCAAAAGTCTGCGGAACGCTTAGCTCCTTGGCTCCTTGCGACGGGGTGGGGCAGTCACGACTGGTGCGGGGCAGTGAGGACTGCGCGCTGTGAGAATGTGGTCTGTCAGAGTGTGGGTTGGTCTCAGATAGGACATGTTAGGACCAAGTAGGATCTTGAAGAAGTGAAGTGAAGGTGCGAACACAGTTCAGATGTAATTATATACTCCAGAGCGGTTTCCGCGGACTCCTGGCATTCAAACACCCCAGGGATCCGAGGTGCTTTCGGCTTTCGATTCCTTGCGGCTAGCGAGACTGATGTCCTTGCTGGTATGAGCAGCTGAGGACCTTCATCACCAGAAGGTGGAACACATCCATGAAAAGGCTGACCGACACTCCTCTGCCGTTGATGAGCTCAAGCAGGCGCATGCTTTGCCGTTGCTGAGAGTCGTGATGGGACACTGAATGGTTTCTTGGGACTCAGCCAATTAAGTCAACGTGAAACGTTCATCTCGTCCTTTATGAAGGCTTCAGCCTGAACGCTTAAGAATTTCTTACAGGGGATCAAACAAATCCAATTGTTTCAGCTTCATAATTGTTCAATACGATCAGCTCATCCGTTTTTGGAACACTCATGGAACGTCCACTTTTTGGAACACCGGACGGCACCGAACTTGTTTGGTGCGGACGATGGATAAACCATAGAAACTGTATGGAACAGCAAACCTTTTGCTGTTCAAACGAAGAAACAATTAATATCAATTAATACTAAATTAAGATTCGAAGACATGATGCAATCATAGAAACTACTTGGCGCTTAAGCATAAACCATAACTTGCCTAACGCTCGAATCCGCTAGAAACCGAATGGGGGGTGCCTTGGGAAATTATTCCAGGCATACCCTTACGTATTGGAATATTTTTTCTGGAATATTTTTTCTGGAATATTTTTCCATGCAGGTATGCCATACCCCACCGTGGAGCTTGTCGTGGAATAATTGTTTAAGGTATAAATATGTTAAAGCGCTGTCCAAACTGAGCGATCATCTCAGAGGGATCCAGAGGGGTCCACACCAAATAGAGGTAAATTAATAAGTCGAATCAAAACAGTCGATATCAATCGATGTCGTCTTTTTGAATGCAGAAAGAAACTCTTGGACACAATAAGCTTTTGGATATGAGCTTGGGATGTTTGATTTTTGATTCAAATACATATATTGAAATGGATCCAACAGATTTTGGCAGTACATTAGGTGAAGAGACTGGGGATTGGTCAGTTTACAAAATATATTCCATATGTAATCTAGAGGTCACATACTGCTGGAATATTTTGAGAGAGACTTGGATGTGTGTCAAGTTGTTTCTGTTCAAGATTGCACGCTGCTTCAAAGCTTTCCAAGAGTGATGTCGTGACTTCTTGGATTATTAAATTATGTTAAGATACCAGAAATTATTCTAGGAGGTTCCCAGCCTGTGGAATAATTATCCAAATCGATGTTCAACCCTCCAGGAATAATAGAAAAATATTCCTGGAGGTATCGACGGTATGAGGTATCTAAGGGACCCCCCATGAAACCGACCATGGAAGTGGCCCAGAATCGAACAAAGTGGGCTTCCGACTCGGGATCCCTGTGAGCAAGTTTGCGCCAACTCACTCCAGCCAAAGACTTTGGAGCACCTGACCACGGCTTGAAGCGAGAGTCCTTCCGGGTGGACCCTGGCCCAAAACATGGACTCAAACACATCGGGCTTCCCGGGTATTGTTTCAGTATGGACCTCCTTGAACAATGTGGCAAGACCTGCGGCCTCCTTATCATTTCTGTTTCGGAGCTCGTCCGCCCAAAATATACTGGTGACCCTTTGGGTCTTCCCACGTGGTCTTCCAGACTTTTCAAAAAAGTTCCATATTGCGATGCAGTCCACGATGCTCCAAACCATTCACAACTCAGTCCATCTCATCCATCTCAGTCCGTTCCACCTATGTAGACCGCCGTCATGGACGGTGTTTGGTTCTGCTTACTTGGCCGGATGGACGTCAGCTATAGAAGAGCTTTCCAAATCCTTCGGGTCGATGTTCCAAACCTTCCGACAACACGCGAAGCAGATAGCCCTGTCTTGGGAAGATCATCTGTTTCTGAGCATTCTGGCTCCAAGTAGCCCTTCTCAAAGCCAGGAGGTGTCACAAGTGAAAGACCAGCTGGTGGATTGCAATGAGAAGCTGCAGAAGGCGCCAAAGCAGGCGAGAGATTCTCAACATCCGCCAGGGGGATTGGGATCTGGAGCCTTGGGAGGGCCCGGATTGGTTTGGGGTGCTGTCATGGGTCCAGAATCGAGAAGTAAAGATTGATTCATATTGAATATATTATGCTGCTGCATTTGGTGGTGTTGCTGCAAATTCTTCAGCTGTGCGATTTAGATTTTGTGGCTTCAGGTGATTCAGGTGGTTCACATGTTTGTCTCAAAAATCTAGAGTGGTGATTTGTTGTTCGAGCTCGGCCTACTTTTTACGTAGCAGAAGTGCTACAGGCCTACAGGGAAGATTGATGCCCAGAAAGAACATGCAGAATCCTATACAGACAAGCTGGCCCCAGATGAGCAGGTCAATACATGTCAATACTACCCCCATGTTTTTAGGTCTTTGGTTGGTTGAGTAATGAGTTCTGACCGCCCTGTCTTTAGCGTCCTATGAATTGATTTTAATCTGGGCACTTACCCATCCCAAGCCTTCACTGCTCTAAGCAAAGAGATAAGGAGAAAAATATGGCCCACTGGCCCACTGGCCCACGTCACCGTCACCCGGGCTGCACGGTGTCCAGCAGGCGCAGCTGACAGAAGCAGTGCGACGGACCTTTGAGCAGATGTCCACGAAGTTTCATCAGGAATGTGACTTGGCCGATTCTTTTCTTCCGAAACAAATGCACGGGAACGGTTTTGGTCCTTCTTTTTGAGGGGGAGGGGCAAGGCATATTGTGTAGAGGCCATGATGGACGCCATGCTCTCGCGTTCTTGCTCACGAACTGGAAAAACTCTAGAAGAAGCTGTGCCTTCGAAGGGTCTCCAGAAGGTGAGAAGGTTGCCTTTACCGATGTAGAAGAGCAATGGAACTGGTGACTGTCAGTGGTTGGGAGCTGGGCAAGACTGACTCCCCTTTGCTTTAACAGGTTAAACAAATGGTTTGTTGATGGGAATGAATCGAAGGAAGTCTAAGATAGTCTATTTGGGAATGGATTCCCCAAATGTCTCGCAGTCGCGTCCACTCACCCCTTTGTCTCAGGGCGGTTCCCCATGTCTCACAAAGGCCAAATAGCAGTCACGTAGAGCCAAAATGAGTCCGATGAGATTCCCCGAAGGTCACTGACCTGTATGATCTTCATCAGGTTGATGAGCCCAGCCCACCTGTACAAAGCTGGGCCGCATGAAAGCAGAGGCCAACGAGTCTCTGAGTTTGAGATGCAATTGGACTGAGCGGAGCATCTCTACAAGTCCGTTTGGTCCGTCAAGCACCAGCTCCAGAACGCGCACACAGCAGCAGCGGCACCCTGCAGCGATACCAGCACCCAGGCTCGAAAGCGCACACACGCAGCTCGCCATGCTCTCCCTATACTTGAAGTAAGAACGCCAATAGCTCTCGCCAAAAAAGAGGTAGAACTTAATTAGACACAAAGCCAACTGCCGAATACCCGCAGCGATTTTGTGTCAGTCCTCTGCCAGTCAGAGCCTGCACACGTCTGCTTCTTGGCCACTCGTCCTACGGGGCAAGAGCAAAACATCGCCCAAAGCACGTCTGCGGCTCCGACCACACCGGAGAACCCTCGAGTCCGCTGGCGCACCACCCGACACGCGGCGCTCGAGGATGACTCATCCTCCGGTGTCGCGTGGCGCTCTGCGGCTCAGGCGAGAAGCTCTACATGCGACCCAGTTTCCAGGCGGCGCGGGCGCGGGCGCGAGGTGCTGCACTGAAGTGAAGAGAGGGCCAGGGATGTTTGGGGCAAGGGTGACCATCTGGGATGCTCAAAGTGGTTTTGACACTCAGACCAGTACCTGGTAGGTAGAGGTAGCTACACTTGCAAGTGTGTGAACAGGGGGTCTAACAGATAGAATACTTACTTGGGCTTCATTTCTCAGGTTTTTTGATAAACCCTCTCTCTAATCCTGACCACTGGACCATGTTTGGAAGCTCGCCCATGCTCAAAACGCTGGCTGCGAGGTGAGCTTTCCAGAAGCCTTGAGCCAGGCATGAACTCTGTAGCTGCAGATTGGATCACTGTGGTTCAGGATGTGGATGTGGTTGAATTTGTTTTGGATTGGGCAGAGATCCCCTCAAATTGGGATTGCCATTCTAGAGAACACATCTGAAATCGGCACCTTTCCGGACAGAGGAGGCAAAGCGCGTCTTTCGCCAGCTCGGCGACCGAAAATGCAGGCAACCATTCATGGACTCACAAGAGTTGAGGGTCGAAGGGGACCCAACCGCAGATTCTGCAGCGACACCGTGGGAACCGCTTTCGCAAAGCCGGTCTGAGCCAGCCGCAAGTGGAGGATGTGGAGGGGTTTTCATGAATCACATCACTCTGAAGTGCAGGCTGGTCACTGGCATTGGAAGGAACATTATCAAAAAACTACCAGCAGTTCTTTTGAGTTTGGGGCTACTTACCGAGTACAAGTTCTTCTACACCATATCTCTACTGGCTGGTTGGAACCCAGCAAGCTGCCGATATATTTTTTGCAATAGACCAAATCCTAGAACGCCAACATGGAACGCTCAGGGTTTTCCATATCCATATTCTGAGGTGTGTTCATGGGTGTCCCCATCTGAGATGTCGGATTGTGTGCCGAACCCGTGTGATGACCCCGGGTTTCCTGGAGGATGTCAAGGACATCAAAGATGGAATCGAGCTGGAAAGGGCTCAGCATACTGAACAAGTGGAGTCTCGGCCATGTGTTTGCTGCGGAGGAAAGGGCTGCGTAGACTGCATGCTATATACTGCCCGCTATGGACAACAGAGTTACAGTCACAGTAGCGGAATTACCTTCAAATCTGAAGTTGTAAGTCACCACGCAAAAGCTGAAGAGAGAAAAGCATCCACAAGACCTAGGTCATGAGCCTTTGGATAGAAAAAACACAGAAATAGAGCCTAGACGCCCATGCGGACTGGTGCCTGTTTTTTTTGTTTAATCATGTTTCACAACCTGCCACTAGTCGTATCTGATTAGACCAGTTGGGGTATGTCTGGATTAGAGAGGACACCATGATATAGGCCTGAGGCCTTATGCAAAATAACATGCCAGGTCATCATGCATGTGATTGCATGCGTATTATACTTAATTATACTATAACATCTACTATAGTGTTGTCTACCATCTACCCATCCAACGATTCGCAGTGCCCTCGGTGAATCTGTGTTCTTCTTTCACGCCCTCGGTTGGCATGAAAAGAAGACCGATGCGGCTGCCGCTTCCAAAGTGACATCGCATGGCTTCGTTCTCACCGGGTCATCGGGTTGGAAGCCGCGATCCGTGCGTCCTTGAAGGGAAGCCCGTTCTGCTCTAGAACTAGAGAGGCCACAAGGGGAGCGAGGGTTTCTTGCCAGGTATATTTGCTTGATGACCCACAAAAAACGTTTATATTCGCTTTGATTCTTGGATGATCATCTTAGAACCATGAACTCAGAATGAACACGTCTTGACCGACTTTGGAGACAATGCAGTCTACTGTAGCCCAGTTGGTTCTAAAGGAGATTTATGAGATCATGACCCGACAAAACACCACAAGCTCAAGCTACATAGCTAGACAGCTTCCATGTGCAGACAGCTCAAGCTAGACAGCGCCCCGGTCCCTTCAGCTCTTTAGGTCCTTGTCATGTTTCCTTCCCCTTCGCTTCAGACCGAAGGACCTCCGTCGTTCGCTCCGTGCTTCGGCTCCCAGGCCAAGTCCCAGGCCGATCTGGGCCGCCTGGAGCAGGAGCTGCGACGCACAGAGCAGGCGGACACGCGGGACACCGGTGAGGACACCAGGAAAGCGGTGAAACCGGTGCGGAAAAAGAAAGGAAAGCACACCATATAGGGCTCCAGTCGTAACGAACCTGAGAAGGTGGGACTGGGAAGGATGAAAAGAGGGTCCAAATTTACCTTTTGAGGAGGTACGATTGGAGCCCTAGGGACGTGCATTTGATGGTGCGTTTTCGTGCTGGGATGGTCGCTCCAGGGATGGTCGCTCCAGGGGAGCATGGTTCATGAGTTCCACGATCATACAAGAAAGGAAGTTTCATGTGGGAGCAGGAACAAGAAAGGAAGAAAAACAACCAGGAGAATACAGGGGATACAAATGGTGTTGCCTCGTTGGATGGGTCCAAAAAGAAGCGCAAGCAAAACAAAAGCAATGTCTGAAAACCCCCGGGCTGCCTCTGCTTGGCCCCTGGCTCGTTGATCTGCTTTTTTTGAATCGAACAAATTCAAAGAAAACCATAGAAATCCACAGTTCACTCCCATGATCGAAAACATGGGCCCTTGCTGCCGGATGATAACACGGCAACCTGTTGCTAACGCGGTATCAAACAGCAGATGTCAATGGCGCTCAGATGGCGATCCGCGCGCGCGATCCGTGCAGGGCGTGGCGGGCCTGGACAGCACGGTGAAGAGCTCGGTGGTCTCGGAACTTCAGCACCTGCAAGACATCTTCGCCATGCTGGAGCGGATGTTTTCTGTTATTTTTTGTTTTTCGTTTATGGTTTTTGATTGAAGAGATTTGGGGGGAGTTTATTGGGGGGAGTTACATGGTCAGATTCGTCGGATTTTTTGTTGTTTTGGAGCGGGTTTTGGCTGGGGGAGTTGCATTTCATTCTTTCAAGTCTGAGATGGTTCTGTCAGAGGCAGAGAAATCTTCGCAGCTTTGAGTCTGTTAGTTCCAGAAACTGGAGGTGAAACCACGTGAAACCAGGAGCCTCCACAAGTCCCAAGATCTTTAGAGCACAAAGTCCAAAATCAGCACCTTGAGCAACTTGTTGCTGGGTCTTAGTATTAGTGATTAGGTGCCTTGCGAACTCAGATTGCAGGAAGGGAACTTCTTGATGGCCCTCCGAAAGCAGCTGGACAAAGCAACAGCGGCTTTCAGCAGCACGTGGCTTGGTGCCTTCGGAACGGGGAGTTCGTGGAGATGGGTTGGTTGCAAGTTGCAAGGGGCTAGCTGGTCAGGCAGGTATCACCAATGAACTGTCCTACACTCCTATAGCATGAAGGTGGGATCTCCCTGGAGTACCGAATGTTGGGATGCATAAAAGGAACGCTGTGGAAAACCGCATCTCACTGTTTCATCGCGAGGTTCTACTGCCAAAGTGGTCCCTCCAGATCTGTTTGAGGCCTCACCGGCGACAAGAAACCCCGAAGTATCTGGGAGGGTCTACCTTTTGGGCTGAAGAAGGAGATATTGGCATGCCTCCCAGATCGTCCAAAGATCCTGGCTGAGGCAAGCTCAGTTTCGATCTTCTTTGAAGCACGACTTAGAGCACACTTTGAAGGACTCAAAGGCCGGGACTTACTTTTGGCACACTTTTAGCATGTTGGCCACCCAGTCTCAAATTGCATGCCAACATCAAGCACGTTTGTATGTTTGTATGTTGCTTTGCTGCACTGGGGGAAATGGATCGAACATAGATCGAACGTGGATCGAACCCCAGCCGCTCTTCAGCCGCCGCTCGGTGTCGCTCCGTTTCCGTCGACGGGTCGCCGAAGCCCCGCGAAGCCGCAGGTGGTGTCGGCTCACGGAGAAGTGAGCGGGAAGCCATCCCAGCCAGGGTTCTTGTAGCTTGGCGGAGACGCCAGACTGGCCAGACTGATGTCATCAAGATTTGTAAAACAAAAACCAACACCAAGCATACGTAGATGACTCCCTGTAGACCAAGTATGGCATTTTCCAGGGATCGACTGGTTTGTAGAAAAGCTTGTTCAAGGAGATGTTCATGCAAAGCTGAGAACTTAACTCCACAATGAGGATTTGTTTCTGGGGTTGGATGGGACAACGCAGGGCCTGGGCCTGCACAAGGGATTCCGTGGGAAGAAGCATCGATCAGTCCGATGTGACCAAGTTTCTTCCACCGTTTCTCACCTGCACCGACCATCCTACACCCGTCCAGTCCCACGTCCGAATGCACACTTCTTGAAGAACATGGTTTTCAGATGTTTTCAGAAGGATCAAGTTCCAGAACTTGACATTCTTTAGACATTTTGTCTTGTGTGCACGTCCACCAGCATGTATCCTCTCTTGAAAACTTCGGTCAAGCAACGGTTCGTTGCTACTGGCTTTCGAGTCACCCGGATGTGGCACCCGGCTGCCCAAGGGGCACAAATCTTGAGGCATGGCCCACGGGTGATCGAGTTGGCCTTCATGATGTTGACTCTACTGGCTCCTTGGAGAGAAACGGGAAGTGGATCTAATTTCAGCTGTCTCAACACGGATTGCAAGGGCTCTTATAATCGATTACTGTATCTGTGGGCGGTTGGCATATAATCAAGAGTCTACATTCCAAAGGTCTTCATTGGTGAACATTTGCAAGGTTGTGCAAGTCATCAATATATATGGAGGTGTGCGCAAGCGCAGGGTTTGGGGCAACATCACTTAGAGCCTCATTTGGGCCCTGCTAAACATCTAGTCTATACTCCATGGAAAGCAAGGATCCTCCACGAAAATAAATAAAACAACAGGATCCAACAGCGTGTCGAAAAATGTTTCAGTGGGTGTTTGGACTTTTCACAAGACCGGTGCCTCGTGCTGACCAAACCTGGTCCTTCGTGGCCCGCAGCGGCTCGGTGACGAAGAAACGGGTTTCTTCGTCGAGCGATCATCCGATGATTCCATTGGGAACTCTGCGTTCAGAGTTTTTGTCTTTCTCGGACTGCGACTGCTCGGCCTGCTCAGCACATGGTTTTCTTGGAAAGCGTTGAACCAAGACCTCACCGCCAAAGCCACTATGTTTGGGAACCCTCAACTGGCCATGGCCACACAAAAGAACAAACACCTCGTTGATCGGCTGTGATCCTCATTGATTGGCTCTCATGTCCCTCCGTTGAGCTGAGCAACGCTGAGGAGTTGGCGATGCACATGACCAACGCCTTTCTAGAGCTGAAGAACTCTGAGCGCTTCCTCCTTGCCTTGGCGGCCGTGCTAGGCGACACGGGTTTGATGGGGGCATTCCTTCCTTGTCGAAGCTTTAAGGGCGCAAGGATGGGAACGGTATTTGATTGTATGTGTATGATATATGTGTTTGTTGGTGTTGTTGTTGTTGTTGTTGTCCAATTCAAGTTAAACATTTTTTAAACATATTGAAACATCTAATTTCCTACCTGTGCATTCTAAGCATATTAAGACTCCCCTTCTGCACCGAGCTGAGACAAGCTAAATTATTTGCGGATAATCTTTTTTGCAAGTCCTGCTTGAGGTTTGCTATTTCCCACAGGATTATTGACATGGATCAGAAGATCTATCTTTGGTTAAAGCGGAGTCATACTGTACCTGTGTATATGTGTTATCATGGCATTCTTCCAATTTTGCGAGCTGTTTTTGTTTTCTTTTATGGTTTGATCGGACTTCTGTGGACTGCACAACAATATTACGACAATCGCCAGACGACCCCCTGCACCAGCTTTGAAGCTGACCAGGATACCCTCCCTCCACCAAACATGAAAGTGAAACATGGCCTCTTCAGGGGAGGGTATTCTCAAGTCTTTCTTCTTGCAGGGTGTTCCGTGCCGTTGAAACAACCCAAACTCAACAAAACAGCCGACCCAGGCGGGTCGAAAAGAACAAACACCGAGGGGAGGCGTCCTGGACATCCATGGCAGACTCGGGTGGGCATGAAGAATCTCCCTGGATCTTCCAACGACCAACAAATTCTGGTAGTTTTGGTTATTGACCCGGTCTTCTGCGAAAACACCCGCAAATCAGCGCAACCGACAAAACGACCGCAAATTAGCGCAAAACGCACGCAAAAAGCCAGCAAACGACCACAAAAATCCGCAAAATAATGGAAAACAAACAAAACGACCAAAACGACCATAAAACCAAAACGACCAAACTTTTTTGGTAGTTGGAAAGTCCAGGTCTATACATAAACGGAACTGGGTGAATCGGGGACTCTTGGGACGGAACCACCGAAGGATTCACCCAGGGTGGGTGATTTTTGGAATGAATCCCAAGGTGGGTAGAAATTTGTTGATGAGTCACTGGATTTGAAGACCGAATCGTTCTGATTGGGACGAAAAACCGCCAGTTTGCGACACCGGAGAGACTGAAGACGATGGCGACGGGGGCATCGGCTGGGGCCCAGCGAAGAGCCACGGCTTCCGAACTCTAAACCAGACCCTCTTCCACCAGGAAGGGCACATCATGGTGGATCATTCATGGACCCTGCACCAGTCCGGCGTCAAGAGGGGCAAGGGGGCCGGGGCATGCGAAAGAAGGGCAGCATTCTCCATGTTTTTGGATCAGCTTATAGTTTGACCTTAGCGGGCTTTGACATGCTTTGACCATCGCTGAGCAGCCAAAAACCTCCACAAAAACCACCTACTTCAGACCATGGACCCCTTTCTAGGGCCTGTCCAGCATCCCCAGCCCTTCTCCGTCTGGACCCGTCGGCGTCCAGGGCCCTGTTTGTTGAACTCGGCCTGGGAGCCGAGCCGAGCCACGACGCGCGCGGGAGGTGAAGAAGCGGTTGTTCTCGGGGTGCGGTGCGATCCTTCGGGGTACCGGGTAGATGGAACGCTCCACCCGGTCATGGCAAAGCCACGTGTTCCGAGTTCTGCTTGGGGTTGGCCAAAGATGTATGTTTAAATCTATATCCATAATCCATGGTAGCATACACAACATTTTTTGATAGATATGTAACATATGGGGAACACACACTCTCTCTTTCTCTCTCTCTCTCTCTTGTTTTCGGTTTGTCACTTAGGGGTGGGTTTACAGTGGTCCTGGCCAACGGAAACTGTTCTAAGATGTTCTAAGTATGTTCCGATCATTCTGTAGGGTTCACATAAGGAATGAGACTCACCCAGACCAAATTTCTAGACTGAGAAGAAATATAGAAAACCGTTTGAGCTTTGATCCCTCCAAAGGCATAAGACAACTATAGGACACACATGGTGATTATGATTTTCACAGGGCCTTGTTTTCCCGAGGGGTTCCTGGTCGCTGAGTTATTTAGTGGGTCAACGGTCATAGGCGTTTGAGGCCATGGTTTCTGGGACGAGTCTCGTCAGTCAGGGGACTCCAAAGTGGTCAGGTGGTGATCCTGCTCTTTGTGAACTTCTTGGTCCATGAGCTTGGGAGGTTCGGGCCCCCAACGTCTGAACCGTCGACGTGGTCGGGTCGACCGGGCGCGTTCACTCGGTCGGAACGGCGGGTTTCTGCGGCGGATGAAGCGGACTCGGTCCGACCAGGACTGCAGGTCCGACCTGGTCTGTCGACGGATCTGAAAACGGGGCCGTTCTGCATCGCAGCAAGCTGCTAGGACAAGTTCACCAGGTTCCTTTGAGCCATGGGGGTCTCCTCAAACCAGGGTCCATGGTCCATTTAGCTGGTGCTCAGGTTGGAGCGACTGAGGGTCGCCGGGGGTATCCATATTCCCATCTTCCCCATGCAACAGGGAGTCGTTCGGAGCGAGGACTTCCCCTGGGCAGCCCAGGAGCTTAGTTCAACGAGCTGTTTGAAGCTTGAACTGTCCTTTCAACCAAAAGATCGTGGGCTCCGCTCTCGGAGCAAACATGTGTGGAACTTCCCCTGGGTGCACGGGCGGTGCCATGGATGTGCTCCATTCGCAAGGGTATGTTGATCAGTCCAATGTGTGAAGCCACTGGTCCTTGGAACCCCAACACGCGCCGAAGAACTGGTTTCTTCGAAGCGATTGGCGATTCCGCCGCCACAACGATCAGAACACAACCTTCTGAAGAAGCCCACCCCAGGGTGTGGATGCAGTGGTCCGGGAATTTGGAGTCCTGTTTTCTCCTTAAAACCTGAAATTGTTTGACTGAAAGGTCTCATCTCATCTCGCCCAAAAAACAACTTCCGAACCGCCACACCCCGGTGGTTTTTACCCGCCGGTGTCCTTCCATCACACCGGCAGGTGGATGAATGCGAACTGGAGCCATGCTCAAAGGCTTTTAGCCTTCTCAATCTTGAGGCCAGTTCTTTGGGCGTTCTCGACGTTCTCGAGGCATCTGAACTTGAGGCAGGTGAAAACACGTTCTTTCGCTGTGCTGATTGGGGGAGGAGCCGGTGTTGGCGTCCGACTGTGACAGCGAGCTGCTGAGTCCTTTTGTGATAGAGCGATGGAACCTGTGAGTCGCTGGGTTTAGAGCTTTCATGGGTAGATTCATGCTGGGTGTTTGTGTCTCTCCATCAAGCCCTTCAATGTTTTTGTTATCTCACATTGCGACTGAAGACAGTCCTGAGGTCCGTCAGCCACCAACGCCGAAACAATCTGTTTCATGAGAAAGAAGTCTAGTATCTAGCAGTTGAACAGGCCTTGAGGCGTGATGACATAAACTCATTTCTACGTATTCAAACGTTAACTGCTGGCAGTATTTCTTCCATCTCAAGCCCTTTGAAGTGGCTCCAAGTCACCGATCGCCGTCACCACCCTCCCTTCGGCCGCCGATCGGATCGTCTTCACCAGGCCCGACTGGCTGCGCTTCTTCGCGCTCTACGCACCCAGCCTGCGCAGCACCTGCGGACCCTGGGAGCGGCGCTACTGGGAGGAGGTGCTGCAAGCACGGACCACCGAAGTGGAGCAGGAGCTTTTGGGATCCGTGCCTGGGAGGTGTGGAGGATGTGTGGAGGATGGTGTGGAGGAATCAAGGGGTCGCGGTCTTTTTCTGTTTTCTAAGAAGAGATAGACAATTACCTGGAATAAGATGAGCGGAGGCATCCGGGGGAACTTTTGGTGGATGGTCAGTCCGATACACTAGATGCTATGTCATGCCAAATATAAATAGTTATGTTTAATTGCATTTATACACATTAAAAACTTAAACAGTTGTAAAACTCGTATTTTATTACTATAAATATAATTACATAAACTATACATGTCAGAAGCAACTGAACAACTTGAAGACACGCGCTGCTAAAACCAAAAACTTATTCCTTTACTTCACTGGGGCAAATATATAGCCTTGAGACTTCTAGGATATACATCATGTACTCAAACATATTAACGCGGCACATGCAAAGACCAATGGTTATGGATTGTTTTTGGAACATTGTTTTTGGGGGTACCGTGTATCTCTTGTTTTATCGTCCGATATGATATGACATTCCTCTTCACGTCACCTAAAGATGATGTTTAGAATTGCTTTAGACTCCCAGAGTATATCTTGTGTGTGTGAATGTTCCAGGATTGATGACAAATGGAGATCAAAACATGGGTACGTATTTTAAGAGAGAGACACCCAACCAATGGGGTTTTGGTCTATTTCCCTTCTTGCGGGGGGGCCGAACTGGGAGGTCCCATTCACCCCGGTCGGCCAGGAGTGTGATGAGTTGAGACTGGCACTTCAGAACGCCCGTAAGGACGGAAGACGACTCGACGAATTCCGGACCCAGGAACAGTGGAACACCGGAGCCACATGCACCGCGTTTCGTGTGGGACTAATGAGGGACGAAAAGAGCATCGAACCCTACAACCACAGGGTATCCTTCAACCATTTTTGATTTTAGTTTCTCGAGATTTGGATTCCACCCGAAAACCAACAGGTGCTAAAAGGTTTCTTTTAAAAATATGCTCCAGGGAAACTGAGGGACTCAGATTCTGCGAAGATGATACTCCGATACTCCAGTTGCCCAGGCTTTTTCCAGCAAAGTTGTTGTTTGGCGAGCTGTTTGGGTTGAAATTGATTGAAGCAGTCTTGTGCAACTGGGCAAAGCTGCACACTGGCAGGAGGAAAACATGGAAAGGCACATTCCAACCCAATGGTTCGGATTCTATTTTGGAGACCCAAGTTGACCATAGTTGACCCTCAATTCTGAGTGGCGCCTGGACTTGGTTGTCGAGGAAAAACACTAGGGGGTTTGAGGGAGCCGCAAGTGGGTCCACAGCCAATGAACGACCCTACATTAATTACCTGCGGATCTCTATTGGACATCCAGACAGGATGGTCCGGGTTGGTTGTGCTAGCTTTTTAGTACTGTCACTGCGAATCTGGAATCTAGCTTGGCCTAGTGCCTAGCCTCTCATGAGTAGCCTGGGTTTCAGTCAAACGAGCCCTAGCGGACTTGGCATGACTTGGCGACGCTCGGGTTTCGCGGTCCTTTCTTTCTCGTCCTTTGGCTTTCGGTGGTTTTCCTTCCTCCAACCAGGCACGTTTGTTTCGCTGAAAACCTCTCACGGAGGCAAACATTCGGTTGTTTCTGACGAGTATTCTGAAGTATTCAGACAGGTGGTGGTGAAGCCTTTGTGACCTTCATCCTTCATCCCAAAACACTGCGCCATACTTTGGCACCATACCCCAAGGGGATGACCTTCCCAACCCCCACTTGCTGGGAGTGACATCACCTTCCGGGCTGGGTCGGGCATTTTTCACCTGACCCAGGCGCGAAGCAAAGTGCTCATCACGGAGGAGGAGGTCACCCTGGGCGAACCTGGGGTGTTATGGAGCGATTGGAAGCTGGTGATGGCTGGCCCCAGCATGGCACCCTCTCTGTGAAATGGCCCATGCGTGTGTTGGTGGCTTTTGGTCGTTCCAGACCACGGACCAAGCAAGGGTTTCCAAGTTCAGTGACAGACCGCTTCAAGGGGGAAAGACAGGTTGTTTTGTTGTGGTTCATGATGGTTCATGGTACTTTCCCAGAACATTTAGTTAACCAGCAAAAACACCTCACGGATCGGCAGACAGGACATGATTCTAAGCGTTGACATGCGTTTGTCATGAACATATTATGACCATTGAATTGTTGTTTTTTTAAACGGAGATCCCTCCATGTATGCAATGAAGCGCCTAGATGGGGGTGGGGTTCAGATGTTTTAAGGGCAGGTAGGTAGATCATCCAGTCCCATGGATGGTTGCCGATATGTTCACCATTCACTGAGCTGCTCAGCTGTCACCATGACCAAGCGTGGCAGGCCTATCCTGGCCCCTTTGGTCCAAAAAGCTGTGGTCTTCCAACGCCCCTTCAAGCTGGTCAAGGAATGCCACATATAGTTTAGACTACTTAGACTACTGTAGACTCTTGATCAATAACACCCCCCCTATTTAGATAACAAAAGCCCTTCATTTTGGTGGGTGGAACCTGTTCAATATCCAGCCATGTATCACCCCACATGTTTCTGCTTGTCTGGAGCCAACCCACCCGACCCATCATCGATGTGTGTTCCGGGATGCCGATGGGTCATGGGGATGTTGCGTTCGGCAAACAACACCTTTTTGCGTTCAGGCACCGTTCGGTGTTTGGTTCTCTTTTGTTTCCTGTTTCTTTTTTGCACAAGAGTACACAGTACACAAATATACTACATGGTACTATTCTAGTAAATATTAGTAATATATGTGTACTGTGTACTAATTGGTTTTGCTGATTCCTCATTTGGTTTGTAGAGATTGCCCCCGCCGACTGCTCCTGCTCGTGGGCCACGTCAGGAGGTCCTTCCCGACGAGGAGGAGCAGGATGGAGTGTGGAATCATGGGTTTGAGAACGAGACCTTGGCAGAGCTTCATCTTATGCCGGTACATTGAAAACTCCAGATACATGAAAATGGACGGCAACTTTCGGAAGACTGTCTGCTAGCAAGCTTTTCGAGGGTTGCAACGTCTCATGAATAACCTCTAGTAGAGGACAACATATATACAACATGTCAAGCTGTTTAGGTCGTGAAACTTGTCATATTTGAAGTGTTCACAAGTGGAAGACAAGTGTAAAAACATCCGGCCAAGAGTAATTAAGCAGGGAGACAAGCAAAGAGACTAGCGGAGACAAGTGTTAAAAATCATCCGGCCAAGAATATCGAGACAAGATATCGAGACAAGCAAAGAGACAAGTGGAGACAAGTGTAAAAACATCCGGCCAAGTGTATCTGTAGTAGGCCACTTGTCTCCCACTAGTCTCGGCCCTCTCTTGTTATGATATATGTATATATGTTGGGCTTGCCACGCAAGGAGTGATAAGGAGTGTCTATAGAAACGACACCCGTCGTTTGCCGTCCAGGAGAGACCCGAGGTGCCGCTGCACCGGGAGGAAGCGCTCCATGGAGCTGCTCCGGAAGAAGGAACGGAAGGTTCATGGGAGGGACGAACGAGGGAGGTTCATCCGATGGAAGGGGCGTGAAAAGGACCAATGGCTTTCATCATTAAAGAAGATGATTATATGTTCAGATGTGTGCCTGAGTGAAATATTCTGGGTATACCCATACCTGTTGGGTATCCACGGAAAAAAAGGGTATATTAGATGTTGATGTTCAGATCTAAGAGATCATGAGGAGATCATCATGATTCTGCCCAAAGTCTGAAGGAGTTACCTGCCCCAAACCAGGCGACGCTGTGGTCCCCGTGGACGTGGGCGCGGGTCCTGTCGCGCTGGACGGGCACACCGACGTGGCGGTGGACGTGGTGCCGGGTGGCGCGGAGGAGGCGCCACAGGCGGGATGTCCGGGCCGGCTGGTCGGAGGTTGATCGGTGATGTCATGTGATATGCATGTGAAACGTCCCTCCGTCCCAAGCTATCCAAAAGAAACAAGTGTCGGGTGCATTTTCTCACTCCCATGCCATATGTGGCAACGGAGGCTTTAAAAAGAAGAGCGACTTTTGGGGCCTTAGACGCTCTAAACCACCCAATTGTCTTGTGGCACCGCAACTGATCATCGGCCGAACCCTGGCAGTTGCGCAGACGAAGCGCGATGCCGAGTTCGTGCCGAAGGGGCAACAAAAAACTCAAAGACCATGTAGCAGTTTGAATTGCTGAGGGCGAGGGCGCGTGAACTCGACCCACCGGAGATTAGGTTACCAGAGCTTCCGTGACTTGACTCATGAACTACCTCTAGGATAGTGTTAATTTATCAGATGTAGAAACTGAACTGAAATTCTTTGAACATGACCACTGTGCCATCCACTTACGTAGGTCAACTAAGAATGCCAGTTGAAATGACGCTTCATAGCCCCGCCATACCTGACACAACTCTCAGGCAGTGATTAAAACTGGACTTTGACATATGCCCCACGGAGGGCTTGATCCATGCCATCTCCCCTCTGCCAGGCAGTGATCGATGCTGTGCAGCAAATCATGAGGTGCAAACACGGGCATAACATAAACCCTAGGGCTCCAAATACCTTCTTAGAAGGTGTTTGGGGAGGGTTTAGAGGGTCCAAATACCTTCTGAGGAGGTACTTGGAGCCCTAGGGAAACAAACTGGACAAGTACATGGGAGTCACGTGGTCACCCTTCTCCATGCTTCACCCCACGGTCGATGCCCCAGTCGTGTCTCTTGATGGACCCTCCACCTCCCTGCCCCGCAGACCGCTGAAGTCGCAGTAAGGGGAGGAAGATCTGCATGTTCTGCATCTCGACTTCAACATATCTCCACGCAGAACAACGGTAGCACCGCCCATGAAACACCACCCAGGCCTGCATACCACACGGGGGTGTCTGAATACTCTGTATCGGCATGAACGCCCATGCAGCGACACGGTGAAGACAAGGGGGTTCTGCATGAAACCCATTGTTTTTGTATCAGCTGAATTGACCAGGACCATCCTCATCCCTCTCTACGACACAATCTTCGCTCGTTAAGCTGAGGGCATTACTACTAGCTAGAAGCCTACATGGTTGGAGGCCATCGCTAGTCGGTTGGAGGCCATCGCTACGAACATAGCCAGAAGCTATACGCACGTAGATATAAGGGCATTATTACTGGTACTAGCTAGAAGCACTCGCGAAGCATCGAACTCCTTCGGGCTCCGTCTTCAGCATCGCTCCAGGCGGCCCTGCGACAGCGGACTCAGCGGAGCCAGCCCGAGAGGAGACGGAGAAAGCCACCAGGGGAGGTTGAGGAGAAAGAGAAAGGGCGAGTCTTCCCGAAAGCAAACGGCAAGTAGGTATAAGTAGCCACCTGCACGGAGTGTACTGTACGTGTTTTGGTTGGTGACCTTTGAAATGATAGTTGGTTTACCTTTGTGACAAGAAACAGGTCTCAGGGACTGGCCCTAGGACTGGCCCATTTGTGAGGAAAGTGATGGCAGTATGCAAGTGTGAAGACTCCACAAGTGCAGTTCTTCTGGGTTGCTACTACTTGGAGCACTGCTCTTGGAGCACGACTTTGAGGGAAACATGTCCTACCTAGAATCTCAAAGAAATGGTATTGAGCCATATTGCTTGTGTACAGGACCCTCATGACATGGTTAGAGTTTTAAGATTTCTAGCTCTACACAGCAAATTTGGACCTCAAACAGGGAGGTTCCAAGAGCCTATACTAGCCTATATTAGCCTATATTATATATATATATTATGTATATTTAATGCTTTATATTTAGACTATATATGTTTTTGTGGCTCAACACACCTGCAAAACGTTTGATGTGGAAATCATCTTCAACACGAGACGTTTCCCTCTTTTTGGAGAACACCACTGGTAATGGTTACCTATACCAGCAACGTCACATCCCCTTAGAGAAGACCTGTGGATGCTGGTATAGCAGATCTTCCTTTTCTGCTTCACCGTTTTGTGCCAAAGTAGAAGGCGGTCGGCGTTGCTGATGACGTTTCGTCTCACACTCACTACCCGGCACTACCCAAAAGCTGCAGCCTGGCCGTGGGCTGCAAGTGATGCACAATTCCATGCTTGAGTGTGACAGATGACACGATGAGTAACATGACAATGCAGTACAAAACACCATCATCCAAGAGAATTATATATGACGTAAATGCACCATAGTGCAGATAACCTATGTTATACATATATATATATAGTACAAAACACATCAAAACACCATCATGCAAGAGAATTACAGCTCTAATATATCTGACCTTTGTACTACGATGATCTACGATGACGAACTCGGATCGGTGGCCTCCCTAAACCCCACACGACCAGGATGGCCCTGGTCACCAGGTGTTCTTCATTTTGATTATGAGAACCTGGACCTTCCAAGTCCGGTGGTTCTTGGACACCCCAAACACATCTAAGAGATTCTAAGAGGCTATTATATATATATATAATAGACACCTCTTGGAAGGTCCTTGGAACAGTGTCGATCAATTTGTGTGTGTTGTCTTTTTTTAGTGCGTGGTTGTTGGGAACCCTTTCGTTCGGCAACCCTTTCGTGCATAGATCGGCGAGCCATCAATGTTCAAGGCCAAGGATTGGGTTCCCCACTTTTGAACAAGCAACAAGCGCCAAGCGTGAGGTTGAGCAAGAGATCCAGCTGCTGGTACCTCATCCAAAGCCGAAGCTAGTTAATATGACATGAAAGCATTCTTTGGATCCCTCCTCCATCTTTCTGCTCTTCGTTCCTGGATGCCACCTGATCAAAATACCTCCACCTGTCATACACCCTCTGATTTCAGCACCACCGACCCCTCCGGACCCACATCCAGGACCCAAGCCGGTGCTCCGCAGCCGCGAATGGGAGAATTGGCTCCGGACCGTCGACCGTCGACGCGCGGCGACCGCCTGGCCGCTCGTCGACCGCCGACCGCCTTCGCTAGGCGTCGGCCGTGGCGAAGGAAGGAAAGGGGAAAGGAGTCGACCGGTTCCTGCACCGGTCCTTCCGGCGGGTTCTTCCTTTCGGCGCGAAGGAAGGAGGGAAGAAAGGAAGGAAGGAAGGAAGGAGAGCACGTTGCGCTGCCGGAAGTGGGAGGAAGGAAGTGTCGATGGTTTTTTGTTTGGTTGGGTATGACTCCAAGAGATGAGGAAGGTGCCTCTCTCTATAGCCATGTCTCAGGAGCCACAGGTGGTAGGGTTCAACTTCTTTAGCCACAAGAGAAGTCCAATGTCAGTGGCATCCTTCTTGTAGTCCACAGCCATAGATCCAGGTGAGGCACGGGCTTCAGCCACATGTCATGTTACAGAGCTGTCTTCCAATTTCCATCTGGCCCAACACATCGAATCCACTATCAAACATCGTGATCTACTGTATATATAATATTTATAATAGTTAGTGATCTACTGTATGTGGTGGAAGAAAATCTTGCCGAGCCGGATGGCGACTCCTTCAAAAGCGTCATGCTACCACTCTTCGCCATTTTCTTTCCCGACAGGACGCATTCAACCATCGGCCGGACGGAAGTCGGCGAGGATCACCGTTCGGGAACCCGAGGGCAGGCGTTGGGGGGGAGGGAGTTCCTCAAATCTAGCCAATCTTTTGAAGAAATGGATGGAACATATACTGTAATAATCATATATACTATTTCTATATGCCAATGGATGGACATATTGAGTTAAACTCTATCTCTGAAGTATGGATGGGTTCTTGACCGGTTGTCCAAACCACGGACCGGACAGACGGGTCCGTGGAACGGCGCCACGTGTTCAAAACGATACATGAAGGCTACATGGCTACATGAAGGGAACATGGATCGATGGGGCCGATGAGTCGTGTATTTTCTGGAACACCACCAGCGATGTGATGCAAATCTTCATGAAGAAGCCAGCTCACCTTTAAGAGGACGAGCTCATTGCTTTGTTTCAGAGTCGTATTTGCTTCGCTGATGGTGAGGGCAAGTTTGTTTTGTCGTCCATTTCTCCTTAGGACAGGTATATGCGTAAATGGGGGGTAAACCATATATGTTTTTGTGTGTTGTCCATTTCCAGATGTCAGTTGAACGCTGTTCAACCCCGTTCATGCACAGGTGACTCAGGTTTTCGACCGACCGCAACTTGTCCCACTCAAGGCGGGTGGGCTTCGCCCTTGGAAAAGGGCTGCGCTGTTCGGCGCCTCGCGCGTCGTCTTGGTTTTTCGTTTGCTGGTCGACTTCGAGCGCGACTACCACATTTGCATTGGTAGCGGAGCTCCGGCTCCAGCGACCTTCGCTTGCACTTGCTAGAGGTCCTGCTTAAGCCCTACGTCACCAACACTTAGCCGAGCACGAGATTGACCTCGCTCTGTTGCTCTTTGGTTGAGTGCTACCACCATGCCACCACCGACGCAGGCGGCAGATCCGCAAACGGCGGAGTTTCAGAATCTTCGAGATTCCTTTGTCCCCCTCTTCAACGGCCAGCCTGCAGAGTACAAAGAATACCGCAAAAGGCTCAGTCTCTATCACAAGAAGATGCTTTTGAGCAAACGAGGAGGGGAGGCCGTGCTGAACATCATCGGGTCATTCACCGGAGTTGTCTGGCGCCTCTTCGAGGACTTCCCGGTCGAGGATTGCGAGAAGGAAGATGCCTTCAGCAAGGTCCTATCCCGCTTGGACCGCAACTTTGAGTATGACGATCGCGTCCTCTTGCCGAATGACTTCGAGAACTACTTCACCAACCTCCAGCGGAAAAGTCAGCAGAGCTTACTGTCCTTCGTGACCGATCATGATGAGGCCTATCGCAAGATCACTGGCCACAAGATCACCTTGCCCAGCCAGGTCCAAGGTTGGCACTTGCTCAAACGAGCCGGCCTGACCAGAGAGCAACGACAGATGGTGACCTTAAAGGCTCCAACACTCGAGAAGCCCAGCGTGATTGAAGCTCTCTTCCTCCTTTATGGTCAGGACTACAAGGCCGGTGGATGGTCACCTGATCGCCGACCACAAGCTCGATGGAAAGGACGAGGCTATGCTGCCTTCGACGAAGAGCCCAATGAATCCAACTGGGACGAGGCCTACTATGAAGATGAATGGTACGAGGCTGAAGAGCCCTATGTCCCTGACTATGAGGATGCAGCCTTCGATGATGAAGCCATCTACTATGGAGGAGAAGATGAATTCAATGACGACTACGATGGCTATGACGAAGATGCTGCTTCCATGGCCGAGGCCTACGACTCTGCATATGCCACCTACGTGGATGCTCGGCAGCGCTTCCAGCAATTGAAGCTTGCTCGCGGCTACTTGCCAGTGGTCGCTTTGACAGATGGTCAAACCGCTGCCTCATCATCCTCCACCACGCCAACAGGTCGAGGAAAAGGTCATGACAAAGGCCGTGGAAAGGGAAAAGGAAAGTCAAAGTCGAAGGGGAAGGGCTCCAACACCATTCGCTACCCTCCGTCATCAGGAGGCAAGGCTGATCCCAAAGGAAGAGCAAAAGCTGCCACTGCTTCTATGACATGTCTCCGTTGTGGCCAACTTGGCCATTGGGCCGCCTCATGTCCACAGAATACCAAAGGGAGCTCATCACCCAGCAACAAGCGTCCAGCTCCAAGTTCGACGACTGAAGGCATGGCTGTTGCTTCGGAGACCGCATTGGTTCTCTTCCAGGATGAGCATGGACAAGATCATCCAGAAGCAACGATGTTGGATCCTGGTGCTTCCGCCTTTCTGAGCGGCTATGGCCCCTTCAAGCGCTATGTGGAACACTTGAGCGAGGTCGGATATCGAGTGAACACCATCAGGTTCGCTCGCTGTGAGAGAAACTTTCAGTTTGGTGGCGATGCTTCTTCTTCTGCTCGCTGGACTGTTGACCTTCCGGTCATGATTGATGGGCAGTATGGCACCATCCAATGCTACCTGATCCCCGGCAACACTCCTATGTTGATGGGAAGGCCAGTCATTGAGGCCCTCCATATGGGGATTGACTTCAGTGGAAAGCAGGTTCGCTTTGGTGCATCACCTTGGCACCCAGTTCTTCGAGGCCGACATGGTGAGTATCTGTTGTCTCTCACGACTGGCATGGATCCAGTGCCAGATCCTACAAAGGCCGCCTTTGTGCTCAACATCGCTGAGGAAGTACCTGGAAGTCACTTGCAGTTTCTCCACGACTTCAACCAGATGGAGCACATCTTCCTTGCAGGCGACCAGCTGTTGGAAGACAATGGACTGTCGTATCAACCATTGCGACGTCATCAATTGCACACCATGGAGATTGGCTTGGTCACTGCCGCCAATCAGTTTGAGGCCTATGTCACCAAAGAACTGCACAGCGAAGCTCCTGCACAACGTGTTTTATGGGAGGTCTATTGTGGCCGCAGCAGAACGTCGCAACTGGCTGAGTCTATGGGCATGCGTGTTGAACGCTTCAGCCTGGACAATGGTTGGGACTTCAACTTGCTCGACCATCAGAGACTCCTCCTCGAGAAACAGCTCGAAGAGATGCCCGATGAGGTCCTCCTGGCTCCTGCATGCAAATTATGGTCGAGGATGCAGACTTTGGCCTGTCGCACTGATGCTCAACGAGAAGCCCTCATCGCCAGTCGAGAGCACCACCATCGTCGGCGCCTGCGCTTTTGCAAGAAGATCTACATGAATCAAGTTGAGGGCGCACGACATTGTCACTTGGAACAACCTCGCTTGGCCCTCAGCTGGAAGACCACTGCCTTGCGAACCCTCCCTGGCTATGCTGCTGAGTTCGATCAATGTCGCTATGGAGCCCAGTGTCTTGATGTTGATGGTTCATGGAAGCCTACTCAGAAGCCAACGCGCATCCAGACCACCAAGAAGGCAGTCGCTGAAGCTATGCACCTCCTATGTCAACATGATCATGAACACTGCCGCCTTGAAGGAAGCGCACCTGGCCTAGGTTCCAGAACCACATACATGGAAGACTACCAACCTGGTTTTGCGGCGACCTTGGCTGCAGCAATCATGCAACCTGAACTACCTCAACATTGGGAGATGGCACATGCCGTGAGCACCACGAAAGCTGCTGGACACCTTGTCAAGCTACATGCTGAGCACCGCACTGACGCTCTTCGAACAGTGCAACGATTGCATCGCAATCTGGGTCATCCGACTCCCGAAGCACTGGCCGATCTGCTCGTGGCCAGAGGAGCGACGTTCACCGTGGTTGAAGCAGCTCGGAAGTATCAATGTGTTGCATGCGCCAAGTACAAGAAGCCCAATGAAGTGGCTCCTGCCTCAATGCCTCAAAGCCGCAACTTCAACGACGTCATCCAGGCCGATGTTTTCTACCTGAAGGTCAATGACCGGAAACTGCCTGTGCTGAGCCTGGTTGATGTGGCGACTCGCTTTATGGCTGCCTACCTGCTGGACGATGAGACCTCCGACTCCTATGTCATTGAGAAAATGTGGCTCAGGCACTTTGGGCCACCCAAGATCTTGGTGACCGATGAAGGACGGTCCTGGCTCGGAGCTTCCATGGAGACTTGGACCACGTCATGGGGTATTGATCATCAAGTTGCCCCTGGTGAAGCTCACGAGCGACTTGCTTTGGTAGAACGCCGGCATGCAGTGCTTCGCAAAGCTATTGAGGTCTATCTCAGTGACCGCAAGCTCGACAACAAGAAAGGCGTTCGAGAGGCCATCACTCACATCATTCCTCAACAGAATGGTACACCATCGGTTGCTGGCTTCTCTCCTTCACAATGGGTGTTGGGATATCAGCCTGAGCTCTCCCACCTTTTGGACACCAACCTGAACCCGGCACAGTTGAGTGGCTCCAATGAGACCTTTGAGGCCAATCTGGAGAAGCGCACCGCTGCGAAGATTGCCTTGACAACGGCTGATGCTGATAGCAAACTACGCCGTGCCCTGGGTCGCCGATACAAAGGTCAAAACAAAGAGTTCATGTTGGGAGAGCGGGTCTGGTTCTGGAGAGATGCTCGTCAAGGACTTCTCACAAAGATCCGTTGGCTTGGACCTGCACATGTGGTCATGCGCGAGGAACACACTCCCCATGGAGCTGACAAGCCTCAGGTCAAGACCTACTGGCTCGCCTACAAGACACAGCTGATCCGCGCAGCACCACATCATGTGAGGAGTGATATCCTTGGCCCAGAGCACGTGATTGACGACCTCCAGAAGTCCCTCAACCTGGTGAGACAGCTCAAGTCCCGAGGTGTGACCAGATGGTACGACCTCAATCGAGTCAATCGGCAACGACTCGAGGATGTCGATGATGATGAACAAATCGATGAGCCTGATGGAAACCTTGACGATGATATCACACCACCTCCAGCTCATCGACTACGTCTTCATCCTCCAGAACATGAACTGCCGGAGGAACCTCCTGTAGTGATCGATGCCGAAGAGTACTCACCGACGTCTCCAGCTCACTCTGGTTATGCTCCCACATCACCTACTGGTTTGATGGCTCCTCCACTGACTGAACAAGACGATCAGGATCCACCACAGCCAGTGACCCTGACAACTTCAGCTGCACACATACCAGTGCCCTTGTCGCTGCCTGCATCTCCTGGCTCCAGACGATCAAGATCACAACCACCATCGCCGAGTGTGGCAGAACCAGGCGCAGAACCTACGGTTCCAACTCCTCATGCACCACAAGAGACACCCAGTCTTGATCCAGCCACTGCAGCACTGTACGAACCTGTTGATGCGGAGTCCTTTCAAGAGAGACGCAATCGCTTCAATCGGCAGGAAACTTTGAGCTTTGGTCCATGGCGACACCGCCCTCATCGACCTGCTGATCCTTATGAACCACCAACACCAGCACCTGCCACAGGCTCAGCTGCACCTGGTACAACGACTGGTCCTGCAGAGGATGCCGCACTTCTGTCTCAGGCCTTCATGGTCGAGGAACTCACGGCCAACTGCCTTCCTCGTGGTTGGACCCATGAAGATGGATACTTCCAGCTCGAGAAGCACCCGATGGACTACTGGGAAGTTCGTGCGGGCTGCATGATCCGCCACCACCTCACGCCCAGGAGACAGAAGATGAGTCTTGCCCATCTACCTCGCGATGCACCGTTTCCAGCTTCGGAACTGGACAATGTGCGAGTGACCGTGATCTATGACACCAATGGCCGACGCACACAGCAAACGGATGATGGCGCATGCACTACTCCACCTTGCGATTCCTCCTGGACAGGCGTCACCGTGTTTCAGATCAAGGGTCATGTGAGAAAGGAGTATGCAATGTATGTCAAGGAGCCATTGGTTGGAGCGCGCCAAATGGGCAAGATCACCAAGCAGCGTCATGCAAAAGCCTTCAAGAAGGACAAGAACAACTTGACCGAGCGCACAATGACTCCAGAGGAGAGGGCACAGTTCAAGGCTGCCAAGGTGAAAGAATTGCAGTCGTTCTTCGACAACGAAGTCTGGGCCTTCGAGACCACGAAAGAAGCTGAACCATCAAGGACTTTGACAAGTCGCATGCTGCTCAAATGGTCGAGGAACCCTGACGGGACTCCCCGCGCCAAGGCGCGGCTCATTGTCCGTGGCTTCATGGATCCAGATGCCTGGGAAGGCACCGTGCCCACTTCGTCACCCACAACGACGAGGTTGTCCCGATCCATGCTGTTGAGCCTGGCCGCCAACATGAGATGGCCAGTTTGGACATCCGACATTGCCACTGCATTTCTTCAGGGCAAGCCTCAAAGCAGAAAGTTATGGGTACAACTCCCTGCAGAATGTCTTGATTTGCTCGGTGCCTCAGCTGACACGAGGATGCTTCTTCTCAAGCCCTGCTACGGTCAGATTGATGCTCCAAGATCCTGGTACATGGCCGCAGTTGATAAGCTATTGAGCATGGGCCTACGTCAGCATCCACAAGATCCATGTTGTTTCTTGGCCTACGAGGCGAACCTCAATGCTGAGTACAACCCCGAGCATGAGCATCCACACCTGCTAGGACCATGTGGTCTATGTGGCATCATCATCATGCATGTTGATGATATGTTGGGCTGTGGCTCCAACGACTCCACGACCTACCACTCTGTCATCACCAAGCTCAAGAGCACGTTCAACTTTAGAGAGTGGAAGACCGGAGCTGACGGCACTGACCTGTCCTACTGTGGCTGCGACATCAAGCTCACCAACTCCGGTGGCTACAAGATTGAGCAGGACACATATATGAAGAAAGTCAAGCCAATCACCATCGACAAACGTCGTGATCCTGCTGAAGCTGCTTCCGAAAAGGATGTATCACAACTTCGAGCTCTACTTGGCTCACTACAGTGGCCTGCCGTGCAGTCGAGTCCACACCTACAAGGAAGCACATCCCTTCTGAGTGGCTGCATCTCTAAGGCATCCACACAAACCATGATGGACTGTAACCGACTCCTGAAGTTTGCCAAGGAGAACTCCGATGTTGGCTTGGTCTATGAACCTCTTGGACCAGTACAGGAGTTGAGATTGTTGTGTTTCTTCGACGCCGCATTTGCCACCAGAAATGACAGCAGTTCGCAACTTGGCTACATCATTGTCCTCATCCACGGCGATCTCCTCAAGCCGGATGGACCAGAAGGAGCCTACCACATCGTGGACTGGAAAAGTCAGAAAACACCTCGAGTTGCAAGATCCTCTTTGGGTGCTGAAGCCCAAGCTGGTGGACAAGCGTGCGACGCCTTGGAGCATGTTTGCGTGTTTTGGAGCTGCTTGCTCGATCCAAGGCAGAAGTTGCAAGACCTCCTTGACTGCAAGTCACCACTGACACCCACGATGGTGACTGATGCCAAGGCCCTCTACGACTCATTTCATCGTGAAGGCTACAGCAACTCTGTGGTCGACAAGCGCGTGTCACTGGAAGTCAGAGTGATGAAGGAACGTTTGCTGGCTCTCGGAGGAAATCTCCGATGGATGTCGTCAGAACGACAGTTGGCTGACGGCCTCACTAAGGAAGCTGCTCGCAACCTGTTGGCACAACGCCTTCGCTACGGCAAGCTCAAACTCATCTGGGACCCCACCTATAAAGCTGCAAAGAAGAAAACTAAAGATGAGTTGAAGGCCAGCATCCAGGAGAGCACCCTCAGTCCAGCCGCCGAAGCAGATGAACCTCATCGAGCCACTTGCCTGGAGCACGACCCTGAACAGAATGTAGAGTTGACTGAAGTTGACCCCGTTGAAGAGTATGCGCACATGGCCATCACCGAAGACACAGTCTCCTACTTCATGGAGGCCTATGAATATAACATCCTTCCGGAAGAGCATGAAGCCCTTGTGAATGACACCCCTGCTGCTCCCAGCCATGTCGACGGCCGCATGCAGTATGTCATCAAGTGTCGCTTAAGGAATGTCCTGCTTTGGGCAATGGTGCTGATGCTGCTGCCTGGAGCTATGGCCAGCGACACTGGTGCTGCGGAAGAGATCGATCTTCTCACCGTGACGGTGATCACCATCCTCAGCCTGCTGGCTGGCACGTTGTTTCTTTTGGGCCGATGGAGCCGATGGAATTGGACACCTCAGCAGAAGGTGCTTTGTGTTGATGCCACCACTCAGACTGAGGACACCACTGTCTCCAGTCGCCTCCGTGCTGAAATTGAAGAATGGAAGCTTCGCACCTTGGAAGCTGAAGGCGCTGCTATGGAGAAAGGAAAAGCTCTGAAGCTCGCCATTGCCAACATGGAGTATGTTGGTGAGCTGACCTACCGCGCTGGCAACATCCTTCGCCGGTGTTTGAGAGAGATGGATGCCCATCGAATGGAATGCCCCTTGCACGTTGGCATCTTCATTTCGAGGCATGGCCGCAAGCTGCATGTGAGCCAGAGCTGCAGCTCGCTGGAGGGCAGAGATCCGAGGAATGTGGATCATTTTGATCCTTGTAGCCTGTGCAGCACTAGAATCCTCCCACCAGACAACGTCACCCTGTCTGGCGGCACGTCCTTGAGGACTGCCATTTGCACATGGCTTGAAGCTGGTGCGCTGCGAGAGGCAGACGCATCTGCTGTAGCTGAGTCACCGAGGTCAGAGCCAAACTCTCTTTCCTCCTGTGTCAGTTGAACGCTGTTCAACCCCGTTCATGCACAGGTGACTCAGGTTTTCGACCGACCGCAACTTGCCCCACTCAAGGCGGGTGGGCTTCGCCCTTGGAAAAGGGCTGCGCTGTTCGGCGCCTCGCGCGTCGTCTTGGTTTTTCGTTTGCTGGTCGACTTCGAGCGCGACTACCACATTTGCACCAGATATTATAGATTATTTTGGTCTACTAGTAACAGTCGGCCTTTACCAACCATCATCCACTTACTTGTCATGCGATATTAGTTTTTGCCCAATCCCAGTCCATCCATGGGACTGGAATAGTTACTGTACATCCATGTACCATGACAAATGACCCCTCCATGATCCGTGATGTAAGTAACAAAAAGCATATATTGCATGCACGGATGGTCATGGAAAAAAAGGATCATGTCCAGTTCATAACCTCGGGTGATGGGCCACACGACTTTTGCCGCATGCATGGATGGGTCTGTTGAATGTCTGTCTCTCTACCGATCCAACGCTCGACCCGAACGGCCCCGAACGCGCCGCACTCCAAGGGGACGGAGACGGCAAGCTCTTTGAGCCTTCAGGTGCGGCCCGGGTGTTGTCTCCGTCGGTGGTGTGGTGTTGACCGGGACTGGTCCAGGACCTGGTCCGGTGAGCTCCGTTGGGGGGGGACCGTTGGGTGTTCAGGGTCCGTGACTTGGGTTTCGGGGGGTCAGTCAGTGGACTTGGGGCGGTGGACGTGTGGACTTGTTTCGTGGGGTTTGGAGCGACATGCAGGTTGCAAGATGTTGCAAGGGATATGTGGACGAAGCAAGTAGACAGGCGTGAAAAGGTTCCAGAACAAAGAGTATATCTGGTTCCATGGCCCAATTTGTGAGTTCAACAGTCCAACATGAACACGGGCTTCGGGCCTCAATGCTTGGAGCTCGAGACGGTTTCTAAGGTTTCTAAGCAAGACAAACGAGACTCTGGAGACCAAATTTCTTTCGGCACGCAGGTGAGAAGAAGGGGTGGCACGACTCTGTTTTGGCATTCCGTTCTCTTCCATCGAACGGGTCTCACATGAAACACACATCACAGTTTCACATGTCTCGATGTCAGAACTGTGCTTCTGTTGAGCGTCGCGTCGTGGGCGCAAGTCGAACAAAGATGGTCAACATCATGGCAGTGCATTTCCAAACTACCATGTAAGGATCCCAGGTTAAAACAAGAATGGACCACTTGTTGGCCCACATCTTGGAACACGCACTCAAGCTGGATGCTTGTCAATACGCTGTCAAAGAAGAACCACCTGGTTCATTCGGCTTCATTGAACCTTACCATCGAAAGCTTCCGAGACTGGACCGACGTCGGACAAGACTGGTCCTTCCAGTGTTTGACAGCTCCACATGTACGTACTTTCCCCAGCCATTTCCCACCTCCACACCAATCCGTGAACATGAACACATCCATCAGACACACACACACACACCAACGCTGGGTACCGGCCGTTTTTTCTCGCCGGTCGCCATGTCTTCCATCACCACGCGGGAGACACCAGCCATGCGGATCCAGCGGCTGAAGGAGGTTCTTCGGACATTAACAGGTACTTGAAGTACTTGTACCCATTTCGGAGGTATGTATTGAGACTCCAGATATACCATAACATCACATCCCAAATCCCATGACTTTCACATCACGACTGAAACAGTCAAGATGTTTGCTGAGGGCCCTCAGTAAGAATGGGACATTCTGACATTCTGAGGGCCCTCGCTGGGTGGACCTGGGTGATTTTCAGTGCCCTGACTGTGGCCAAGGCAGATGTGGGAACTGTGGAAACCGGCGGTATGCCGTGGGAACCAAAAGTTTCCGATGGCCGGGATCACATCTTTTGCAATTCCCTTCTGGGTTCACCAGTCACATCATAGCCACATAGCCTTGTGGCAGTGGTAAAATAAGACCTACAGATCTACGAAAAACAGCCGCATGGGCCCCCAAAGCGATGTGTTTTCCTTTTAACATGTGTATTCTTTTTCAACCGACAGGTCTGGATGTGTCTAAGACAAGACCTCAAAAGCCGTGTCAACTGGGCAGCGCAGCAGAGTCAGGAGCAGCGTCAGCAGCGGCAAGGCACTGCACCAGCACCGCCGCGACAAGCGCAACTGGAGGCTCATTTGCCACCGCCGGCCAACTTGATGAAGCCAACTGGATCGAAAAAGAAGCCAACTTGTTGATGCGAAAAAACGATGCCTCGATTAAAGAGGGATGGATTCCCTTCTTAAGTAGTTTGATCATTATCATCATTCATTATAGTTATACGTTGCAAAGGCAATGTTCTTTTCCAGTTTGGACTCCCTGCTGCTGCGGAAAGAAGCTCAGACACCTCCTCCGGCCCGTGTTCTTCACCGAAGTTTCGAGTCAGGGTGGACTTCAGCCCAGTCTACTCGGTTGGGTCAGGGATTCCCTCCCCCCACTCAGTAGACTTGGGCGGCACTTGGAGTTAGGACCTCTCGATGCGGATTCCTGGATTCCTGGATTCCTGGGTTGGATTCCCAAAGAAGGTGTTCGCTTAGGGGGATTTCATACTGCCTATTTGATCCTGCTTGTCGCAATGGGAATTGGGAATACCACACTTTGGAGAATGTTTTGGCTTGTTGTGTTGGATGATGCTGTGAAACAATGTGAAACATCTTCTTTTTGATTGGGCTCGAACACATCTGAATATGTCTGTTGGCCTTTGCTATTGCTTGAGTTCTGGTTTGCATCTAATCTAAGTTCTTGCTCTTCCTGCCGTTGTTATTTTGTGCCGCTCCAAGGTTATCAGAAGGTGCGGCTGGAGACGTCGAGGTGAAGAAGAGGAAGCTCGATGAGCAGCTCGGACCTGCGCTTGGCAATGTTTTTTGCAGTTTTTGTTCAGGTCTCCAAGGGTCGAGAACAGCCACCTGCACCCAGGGTTGGGAGATGAAGTAGGAAGGGTGTGTAATTTTTAATTCATAACATAATATACAGGTTATACATTGTAGATGTCTTGCGGCTGTTTCACCGGCTTAGTCTTCTTCGAAAACTCATCGCTTGCGTGTGTGCCATGGCATGCAAGTGAGGAAGAAGCTGAAGACTGAGAAGAAGAAAGACAAGAAGAAGAAGGATAAGAAGAAGGAGAAGAAGTCCAAGGACAAGAAGAAGAAAGATAAAAAGAGTAAAAAAAAGAAGAAAAAGGCGAGCTCTTCTTCTTCCAGTGCTTCCTCAAGCTCTGACTCTTGAGAAGCTGAGCATAGCTGAGCCCTGTGCTGATAGACCAGACTAGCAGTGTGGATCAAAAAGAGATGAACCGAACATGACATGGACGGACAGGGTGGACATCAAAACATATGGGTTTGCTTGGGTGTTTTTCAAAGGCAGTTCCCCTGTTTGGTGGCTCTGTTTTCATCCTGATCAGCAGCCAGTCAGCAGGTTTTGACAGGAACCGGATGTTTAGGGGCTCAAAGAAGGACCAGCGACCAGGCGTTGGGATTTTTTGGCATGTCACACCTGGAAACTGAGGGGTTGAGATCCCTTTTTGCGGAGGAAGGAGTCTTTAGTTTGAGTGTTGAATGAGAAAACATGTACAACCAGCAGTTTCGAAGGGGTGCCTATTGGATAGATGATGATAGATGAGGTGCCTTAGAAACCAAAAAAGCAACCCCTTTGAACTTTGGAACCTGCAGGAAGTGGCCACAATTTCCGGGCTCTGCCTGTGGGACGGAGCAATGAGATTAGGTGGAGTCATGAGTCATAGGGCAAAACCGAATGCCTAGTGGGATGGAATCCGAATGCCTGTCATCAACCTCGGGTGCTTGGGCCGACCTCGGGAAAACCGGGGGAAAACCGTCGTGGCCAGGTCTCCGAAAGGCCAGGGTAGTCGGTGGGAGAGTGCGAGGGGTGCCGGGGTGCCGGGGTGCGGCCGTGGGATTCTTATGAAGCATAAGATATTTGAGGAAGAGAAGGAGGAAGAACATGATGACATGATGATGATTTCTGAAGAAAGACTACTGTTTGGACAAATACCATAAATTGAACATATATATATGATTGGACCAATAGTTTAGGAGATGCCGCGGAGATGCCCCTTACATTCAAGGAGGCCTTTCTTGTCCACGTTTTATCCAGCCATGCATGTCCAACCACTGAATTCAAGGTGCAAAGCGACTCGATTGAACAACAGAGTGCCTTTACACAACTGAAAGAATGTTCCACTGTATAGATACATGAGCTCAACTAAACACTGTCTTTCTTTTCCACACCTCATGCCCTCTCCCTCCCCCGTTCCCTGAACAACTGCTCGGACACCGCCAGCGCTGCCCGCAGGTCTATGGAGTGGTACCCGATCCACCCAGTCAAGGCACCCTCACATGGCGGCCGCTCCGTCGGCGAGGATGGGAGAAAGAAAGACCGGGGCGTTCCGGATGCTGCCTTTTTTTTGCGGGGGGGAGAAAAAGACATGCGAGTCTTCTTTCATATCTTAAATATGTGGACGGTGTTGTTTCTTTCATATCTTTTGTCTTATCTGTTTGTTTTTTCGAGGATGGTGGACGTGTGGGAACTCACTGAAGCGGGAACCTCGTGCATGTCAACTTTTTGGTGTGAGTCAGAGCACTGTTCAATTCCCATCTTTGTGAGAAAAAGAGCGTATGACATCAATGTTTCTTGTTTCAAAGGATTGTTTCTGCTGTAGGTTGATAGGTCTCATTGAAACGAACCGCAGATGGTCGAACTAGGGGAAGGCACCCTACTAAAGAAATCCACCACTTCACCACCACAGACAGGGGCAGACAACCACGTATACTTAGAAGCTGCAGATGGCTGCAGGAAGCTGGAGCTACCAAGCTACCTGGAATACGTTCAACAACATCATCTCAAACCCTCCCCCACAAACCATCAAAGACATGTGTGTGTTTTTCCCTAAAGCAAAAAACATGGTGTTGCTTTTGAAAGCCTTATTTTTCATGGTCTGAAAACCTCTATTTGAGGTTTGTCATGGGTTTGAGCGCCACTGGTGTTTGAATGTGTAGTATTGCGCATCGTTGTATGTTTGCTCTCCAGCGAAAAAGGGGCAACAAAAGACCTTATTTGGTTGTAGATATCTACAATTACAGATCTCACAATCGCTCATAATCACCACCAATCAATAACAATTAATCATAGATCTCTCCTTGAGTCTCAGGACATGTCATCTTTGCCTCGCTCTAGTAGCTATAGCTCCAGGTTGATCCCATTCCTCAGGTCTGCTCCGACTTCGCCTCTCGGCGTCCAAAGACCGGAGCTCCGCTTTGCCGCGAAGCCGCCTGCCTTCGCGGTCGGATTCGGCCAGGGGAGCCCACGCGATCGGTCTTGAAGCCCGGACAACTGCGGCACAGCTGCCTCCTCTGTGGCATGTCACCTGGTCGGTTGGAGAAGAAGGACCCGCGGACCAGCGGACAGCGTGGTTTGATGTCGAGAAGAATGGTGCCAGGTCCGGGAGGGTGATGGATCGTGCAACGTGTGTTTCCACGCCACACCGGTCCACGATGGATCTCTGAAAACGGGTCGGTCGCACCTTTTGAAAGAACTGCCTGAAGACTCGGATGACTTCTTTATCGACTAGGGATCCACCTACCTCAGCGCCCCAGACATGTGCCACCTGGAAGCACCTCCTCCCGCAATAAATGCAAGTAGTTAGATGTTTTTATTGTTGTGTCTCTTTTCCACCTGCATATGGTGATGTTCAAGGTGTTGCTCCATCCAATCATCAACCCACGGTTCTGACCTTGGCCCATCCGCCCGGCGATCCTCTTAAACCGCCTCGCACAAGGAGGTTTGGCAGTACAAGAGAGTGATTTGCCGGGGCACCCGAGCGTGATGGGGCGCACGAGCTACCGAGCTCACCCGGGCGCGATGGGGCGCGCGAGCTACCAACCGGACTCCTGTGGAGGACCTGGTGGTGGAAGGTGTCCTCAAAGCCTTGGTTGGACCTCAGAAGACGTAATCATCAATTCGAAGCAATATAGTATCCCTAAGAATCCACTATGATCCACTGCCACCTCCTCAGAAGGTACGACTGGGCCCAGAAAAAACCTACATTGTACATAGTAGTCTCCAATCACCTTCTCAGAAGGTACGTGGATCCATAGGGTAGTTATGCCGAAGAGTTCTGGTTTGCACTGACTGTGTGAGTGTGCCATAGCGCGCCTTTTAATAGGAAACATTCGGACGATATGGCTACTGGCTACACGGCTACACTCATTGGATTCTTCATGGAAGTGGAAATTGGCGACTTGGATCCTTGGATGACCCTTTTCCTCTACACATTCAAACAGGTTGTTTGCCACTTCCATGATGATTCCAGGGAGTGTAGTATAGCTAATATTCGTCTTGACTCTCGGAACGCAACATCCAACCTGCTCGATGTTTGCTTGATTCACTTCAATCAAGGCTAGCAGTCAAGTCACAGCTTTTCTGGATCATTCCTTGACCTTCAGAGATCTTTTGCATGTTTTGCTTCACTTACTGTAGAGAAGCCATGATAAGCCTTATTGGTGTGATTGGTTTGCACAGAGCTACTTCACCTTCTCCCAGCCTCTGAGTCCTACCTTCGTGGCCTGAGCCGGACAACAAACATCATCCCAAACCGGGCCATCAACAAACCAGCCTGCGCTATTCCATAATTTTGTGTTTGAACTGCTCAAGGGCACTGTTTGATGTTGTTTGCCACACCCTGACTAAGATCCAACAGCACGTGGAGCGCAATGTTCTGTTTTGGTAACGCGTTGACTGTTTAACAGTTCAACCTCATTTGCCTTCTTTTGCTCAAAAAAAGAAACGGTGGTTTCCGTCCTCCCCAACGATCCCAGGTCTTGCCACCTTGATCTCAGCGCTCTACAACGATCTTCCCAAGGTCTGCGGTCATCGACCGCGTCCGCGCGTCTGCGGCGGTCGTCCCGGTTGAGACCTCGATCGGAGGGGCTACGCTGAAAAGAGGGTCCTCTTCGCCTCGTTTTGGGCCCTTCTTCGCCTCGTCTTTGGATCCCTTTTTGGTCTCTCTGGATACCATGCAACCCACTCGCCTTCAACTTCTTTGGATCCAAAAACGTCTCATATAGTGACTGGGTTGTCTTGGCACGACGAGACTTTTGTGGGTGTCTTGGCAGGTCGACGAGGCCCCGAGTCTCGAGTTCGCAGGTGCTCTTGTGCATCTGGCTGCTGCCCACCAATGAGAGCCTGGAAAGCTGGTTCTTGCGCATCGCCATCGTGGCCATCAACGGCCTGTGCGCCGCCGCACGCCGCGGCGCGCGCGCGATTTCTCTTCGGATCGAGATGGATCGAAGGTCCCTGCAGCTGGAAGTGTGCCACAGCAGTGAGCCTGGTGGGGGGATGTGGGGGGAAAGATTGCCCCCACAGTACAATGCGAAGTAATGTACGAAGTCTTCTAATATTCATAGGTTTTTGCATTGTTTACAGGTTTGTCTCTTGTTTGGAAAATGAGTTTCCAGTTGAAGGACAAGCCAACCATCCCTACACCTGGCTGCGGGTGTCCGTCCAGACATCTAGGCTGGCACCTCTTTCACGTGAGCCACGCCTCATCACGTGAGCCTCGCCTCGTGAGGTACGTCCTTTGGGCGTTACTGCTGAGCTTCTGGACCTTCTTCGAACCGATGCCCGAGGGCCATGCCTTAGTCCAGATCAGCCGCTTGGACTTGGAGCGCTGCTGAGCTGGGCTTGGGGGTGATGATGGTTGAGCTGTGGAGGAGGGGAATAATATGAACAATTGATCCAAATCAAGGGAACATTTTTCAGTTATATATATATAATATATATAGAAGGTTCTTACCACAAAGCGCCAAGTATAGTCAATACATGTTAATAGTACAGTAACTATAGGTTGCAAAGAGATTTTCTTCCAGGCTTGCTTGTTAACTTTTTGCTGGTCATTTGCCTATTTACCCGTGTTGACTCCTTGTAAATAGGTTTTGACAACAGCCAAATACCAACTGATGTTTGAGATGCACCTCCTTAAGCCATGAGAGAGTGCTTCCTGTCGTTCTGAGGGCTGACATGTATGTCCAACTGTTGCAATTTGGATTGACTTTACCCAGGTTCTCGACCGCTTGAAAGGCCAAGTCCTTTGGTGGATCGACACCCCCTTTTTTTCCATGAAGGGTTTAGTTAATCGCTCCACGGCTCCGTGCGGAGTTCATGTTTTCTCCTTCTCGATCACGAAAGCGCACGCACGCACCAGCTAGGAGTTGTTCTTGCTTTAGCAAGAGAGGGGGGTATTCCATCCTCGCTTCGTGCCCCCCCGCCCCTTCGTTTCGTGAACACTCCGTCTCTGGGAACGCTTACTGGACCTCCGCGCCCTGCCTTGGCCTCACGTCACCAAGCCTCGGCCTGCCTCTTTCGTCTGAAGGCAGCTATAAAGGTTGGACACCTTTTGCACTGTGAAAGGCAACAAGATGCAGGATCGAACTTGTATGAAAGCTCCAGGATCGACAAAGAATGGAACCATGCCTGACTACATATACTTGATATACTTTTTCGGGTCGTTCCCCTGCGATGTTTGCCTCAAATCAACGAAACCACTTAGCCATGTATACCGCGAGACTTGGAACTGCAGTCCGCTGGTGTGCCCAGGACCATCCGCCTCCGGTGTCACAGTCGTGTAGGGTCATGGCTGGGTCGTCCAGCAACACGCAGATCGGATGGTCCTGGCATTGGTCCTTGGACTCTCTCAACGTTCACCCTAGCCTTCCAAGACTTCAAAGATTGAAAGAAAGGTTAACTGACTGACCTGGTGTCATACGTAGTACAAAAGGATACAACACCGGCTGAACGTCCGGATCATCTCCGGCTTCCGTCCGGTTCGACCCACCGGACCTCCGCAACGGTCGGTCGAGCGGCAAGGCTTGAAAGATGCAGCTGTGGAGGTCTGGGAGGAATCGGTGGAAGTGCGATGGCTGCCTGGCCCGGTGAGAATGAAGGGACCAGAGAAGGGAGGACCAGGATGGAAGGACAACAGAGTGAAGTTATGTGAAGTTGGTAGGTGGTTGGTCTTCATCAGATCAGAGTGAAGAGTGAAGGCACAGTGAAGGTGTTCTTGTTGCACCCTGCTAGGAATGACATGGATTGACTACAATGTTGGGGGGGTCCTTTCGAATCTGCCGTGTGGCTGCTGGTTTGATGTTTGATGTCGCCAGATGAAAGAAGCAACCTAGCAGAGGAGCTTCTGGTGCTTCACTACACGAAATTTGATGCTTCCCTTGGCCATCGTGTAGCACCTATAGTTGCATTTGATGCTCAACACATACCTGACTGCATCCCAGGTGTTGGCAAGAAAAGTAGAGAAGTCGGCCTTCCTGCTGACTAATTGGCACTCTTTGAACACCAACCTAGCCCTCACCCTTGCACAGCAACGTCGACATGCAAATCTTCTTGGAAGATCTTGGAAGGGACTATTATTGTTTGTGGAAAATGTATCTGTTGTCTCGTGATGGTACTAGATGGATTAGTGATTGTAGCACTTTGGGGAAATCACCTCTGAATTTTCTCATTCGTTCCTCAACATCGTCATAGATCTGTGCACGGTTAAAGGGAAAAAAGGCAAAGCACCGATGGCAACAATAGCTTTGCCGAAGCCATCGTCATGTGTGCTGTTTTGTGCTCGTCCTTCAGCGGTTTGGATCTGTCTTGACTTGTCCTGAGGTCCTATCCCCGGAAAAAACAAACCGCCACTTGGAGCCCAATTGATGGGATGGACATGTCATGTCCAATAAAAGACAGATACACGGAAGTATACACGGAGGATTGCTCTTGGGTGGTACTCGTACTTAAACTCACGGACTCCAGGGGTTGGCCGTCAACGGCCCTTCTGTGGGCGAGACCCACACATGCTGTTCATCTACGTCTGGGATCTCACCTTCTTAGCGAGGTGTTTTTTGCATGAGAGGGGCCGGTGTTCGGGATAGCTTGGCTTTCCGTTTGAAACCCCTTAGAGGACTGCCAAGGCATATATAGTGGCACTGGTGACTCTAGTTCTTGATCTGAGTTCCTGAAGCTCAAGAAGCTCAATGCCAAACCTGGAACCGCGAAAGCACAGCTGCACATTTGGATCATTGCTCAAAACGAATTCCGAAGCAGTTCTCACTTTTTTTTTTTCAAATTGCTCCGAAAGAACCGATGAACGTTTGAGTTTGCCTCCAGAGGCCCAGGGCATCGCTACCGGTAACAAGGGCATTACTGCTAGGAGCTAGAAGCTACAACAGTATAGCGATGCCCTTGGTTTCGACCGTTCCACCAGGCACCGGTGCCGGACGAGTTCATTTGTGCGGTGCAGCCTTTGGGCGAGCCGCAGCCGAGCCTTGTGAGGTGGGCCGAGCAGCGCAGAGCAGCGTGAGTCGTGCGCTTGCCTGGTCTTGTGCACCATCCGTTCACCCAAGTAGAAAGGTTCAAAAGGTCATGGCAAAACCATCCAGCACCCTTCAACCTTTCAACAGGTCTCCGACATGGTGGCTGTTTCTGGGAGACTTCAAAGTGGCCGGTGACCTGTAGGTTCCTCGGGTGCTGGTAGTACGTGCGCGGTCAGTCTTAGACGGGACAAAGAAGGCGCTGATAGCGGTCGTCCGAGGTCGTCGTCCGAGGTCGTCGTCCTGAAGCGCTTCGTGAAGCGCGGAGGGTCAAGTCAGGTTGGGGGGCAAGCATCAATCCGGTTTTTTCGGGAGGTGAAAGCCTGGCGAAAAGCCGGTGAAAGCTATGCTTTTCGGGGTATTTTTGGAATCGAACACATCCTAAACCCAGCCCTCAAACTGTGTGGTGGCCACCCAACGAACGCCACATGGTCTTCTCTGAAGAGGCGTGTCCGTCACGATGGCTCAGGCCAGGGAGGAAGGGGTGGAGCAGTGGAGCTGCTGAGATTCACCTAGTAACTATGTGAATGTTGAAAGGATCCAAGATTTTCGTGGCATTTTCCTTCATCAATGCAGGGGGACTATACTTCTCTATCAAACGTTTTATAGTGGCACCCCCCCATGGACTACATTGCCATGGGTGACAAGAACACGGAGATGTCTCCAGCATGTTGAAACCAATGTAATTCGAACGCGTTTCTTTTTGTTTTCTCCGATTCTTAGGGGTCTGATTTCAATTTCACCGATGGTTTTTTGGACAAAGACCGGCGGTTTTCAGTGCTTCACCAGCCGGACGCAAGGTCACGGTCACGCGGATGGGCCGGATGGGGGGGTCGTTTTTTCCGGACTTTCGGGTCGACTCCAGGGGTTTTGGAGCCGCTCTGATTGATGAAGACCCTTGGAGTCAGGTGGCCAAGTTGTGACCAGTGACCTGTTGAGTACAGCGGTTTCAGAGGTTCGATGGCACAGAGTCGCTGAAAAATCCTTCAGATGTGGTATGAAAAGATGGGGGGGGGGTCCATATAAACCACCATGTCCGACACTTCGGGTCTACTGGTGTTCGAGCCACCCGAGTGTTCGTTCCGCAAAGGTTTTTGGCAGATCTTCGCTGAAGCTCTTCACGAGTTTCAGCGAAGCGTCATTGTCACACATTTGAAACATGCAATCCTACGGGATGGACATAGACATGAGCCAGAGACCTTCAGTCCATGTCACAGATGGATACAGATGGGACCGCTCCGAATGATCAGACCTTGGAGATGGTCAAAACAGGTCTGGGAACGTGCGATTTCGCTACCAGACCCACAGGAGTTGGAGACTCTGAGACTGGACCTAGCACTTCCAATGGGTGCCCTGTCTGGAGGCCTGTAAGGTAAGGTAGGGTAGTCTATTGGACACAGGATGACCCTGGGACCTAGGTGTTTTCATGTCCTTCTGGGCACCAATCCGATCGCCTGCCCAGCATCCCACACTTTCCCACCATCGCTCTTTGAGAAAAAAACCGGGCCAGACCTCTCCTGCACCTTTGGAGCATTACAGCCGGACTATCCCTACTCTGTGCTGCTGGCGCCAGCGCATCGTGGGGTGCTCTTAGGAAGGCGCGCTGAGACGGCGGTTGGAGCCCGACCTCGCGTGTTTTCGTCTTCTCTTGGCTTGCGGTCGATGAGCGCCCAGAGAGTGGGTGACGCGGTGCGAATGTACGGATCGTGAGGTAAGTCTTGAAGGCTCGTGCATCATGCGAGTCACAGAAATGATCAATGTAACACTGCCAGGAGTCACAAAGGGGCGGTTTTTGGTCACCAAGTGAGTGGATGGGCATTCCTATCCTCCAATAGGCACCCCTTTGGAACTACTGGTGCATAAACCTTTGTCAAGGCCTATGTTTGAAGAACAGGTCGAATTTGGAGAGGACACATTTTCCAGCTGACCTTTGCTTGATCAACCAACTTGTGGGAAGAGTGCAGAGAAACTGGAATGATGCCGAAAGGATTGACACCAGGGTTACGGTCACGGTTAAAACATGTTATATAAAACAGATGGCACTTTGGTGGGTGGGGCATTTCCCATGTACTCTTTGAATGAAGTGTCTTTGCCAAATCCATCACGCTTTCAGTTTGATGTGCCACTCTACTTTGGCATGGTGTGGGTGTCCAGCATTGAAGCCAACGCGTGTTTCTTTTGCGGCTCTTGGTCATATTTTGTGTATATATATGTTTCGTGTAGATACTTCAATCAATCCCATGTACCGTGATGTACCTCAGTGAGCTCGTCGTTGTATTTGTGCACCTTCAAGACCGAACATTTACCAGAACTTGTGCATGTGCCACCAGCCCTTTGATACCACCCGCTGAGTGGTTCGTGTTCTTACCACCTCCATAAACATGTGGAACTGGTAGAGCATCGAAACAGGCTGAACCTTGAAGAGTGCATGGTCTTTTAAACAGTTCTCACTGCTCTCAAACACAACCAGCGCAGCTTAAATACCGTATGCTTAAGACAACCCTATACTACTTAGGGATCTCCATTGGACACTGATTGGCTGTTCCTTGCAAGGAGCATACTAGTTGTTCTTAGTTTTTGAATGTTTTTCCACATATGTTTTCCTTCATGCTCCACTTGCAGAGTTGCATAATTAACCACTATACAGATCACAGACCGATAACACCACAACCCAATGTTCCATGTTAGTTGCCCGGCCTGTTGTTCGACATATGAATTCGTTGTCAGTTAGTTAGCCATGCACAGTGCCTTTGTGAGCTGGACCGGGTTCCGGTGTTATAGAGGATTATAGAGGTCCCCAAATCGAGTCCACTTGCGGTGACGTAACATCGGTGAGTCCGACTCGTTATGGTGACTATTCACGGAATGATTGAGGCCTTCCAGCAACCAATGGTAGGGGGGAGTCAAGCACCTAAACTGGATGATTTGAGCCTTGAGACTGCTTACTTCGTATCATGTAAACCATTGTAAACCATTTGTTCAGCCCTTGATATAGCTCTACCATGACCATGTCGGGACGGCCAGCCTGGACCGTTCCTCCGTTCGTTGCGATAGGCCGCTGCGCATCGCATGCCGCACGCTACCACGGGCCCTGCCCCTGGAGCCGGAAAGCCTGTGCTTAAGGCGGCGAAAACAGACAGGAAAACCACCGACCTTTTCGGTGAACCTTTTGGAGCCCCTTTTGGGGTTTTCCTTATATTCGGTTTTGGGGTTATAAGCCACCTTTTCGGTGAACCTTCTATTCAAAGCTAGTGTGTTTGGAGCCCCTTTTGGGGTGGACCCTTATTATGTGTCGGTGTTTCTTTGTAGGACAAATGGATGGTTTTGAATAGAACTAACGTGGACTGTCTGCCTGTTTCAGAAAAAAGGATTGGAAAGGTCATGTTGAAGAAGCTTGTTGCCTGTGTATACCGGTATACCAAACCAGTAATGGTATAAACCAGTCATGGAATATCAGTTTTCAGTTGTTTCAAGCCCTTTTCTGGTTGAGAGGAGCAGGACCTCCGATCACATGGCGTGATTCGCGTGGATCGCCGAAATCCACCACTGGGTTGTCCCAGAGCCATGGCTCACGTGGCTCAGGAAATAAGACTCCCCCAAATTCGCCCAGACCAGGGTCCGGTGTTCCATTGACCAGCTGGGATGGTACCCTGTGAAGGTTTGGGCGGTGATGTGTTCTCTGCATCAGTCCCGACCATTGGGGGGGGTTGGTTCTTGCTTCAGACCAACAGCGGAGGTGGGCGTTCGAAGGAGGTCGTGTGGGCCGGCAGGAGATGTGGACCAAGCTGGGCGGAAATCTCCTGGACAGGCGCACAGGGCACGGCGGCTGCACCTCCTATGGAGCCTAGGCATGCCTCATTAGGCAAGAACACTTTTTTTGGGGGTTCGGGCGGTGAAAACACCCAAGAACTTGCCACAGGAATTCATGTGGACACTTGGTGAAAGGTATGGAATTTGAAGGGTTGGACTATTTTGCTTTTGGCTTTTGGCTCACGATCTTTGGAAATATGTTTTTATATTTCATTGGCAGTTTCAATGGTTTTAGTGAGTCTTGACCACCTTCACTGGGGGATTCCAAGCTCAGATCGGCCCTTGAACCATTGGGCACAATCGGGCAGTGCCCATGGGCATGGCTGTCCGAAAGTCAGGGAGAGTTTTCAGAGAGTTCGTCGAGCAAGTCAGTGGTTGTGTTGCACGGCGTTCTGGGACACCCTGCCTACTGGGGGACTCCTTCCAAAAAGAAACATGGTGAGGTGAGGTTTCTTGGGTTCACAAGTCTGTGTACCACACCAGTTGGATCCATTTGGAGATCAAAAGGGATTTCTGATTTCTAGGTCAGGGTTAAGATTTGGATGGCCCATCACACACTCTTAGCAGAATTGCTCAAAATCCCCAAAGTTGGCTTAAACAGGCATAGAATATTTGACGATCATCGGTGTTACTAGGATCCAAATGGAACTTCCTCCTTTCATGAAACCTCATGAAAACCGTGAAAAGTCAAGCCTTGAGTTCTCAACAAGCCCTTCTCATCCCGTGTTTCACCGGCGCTTTGCACCTCTCTGACTTTCTCTGACCTGGACCTACGCCCAGGATCTCCTTTTGGAGCTCAGTGGTGATGGATTGACGCGCAGCGAATTGGCGCCAGGGCCGGTGCATCGTCTTTGGGGTTTGAAGCCCCAGACCGAGCCCCTCGATAGACTGGGCGTCCTCGGCGATCGCGGGCGTCGTCCTCGGTGTGCGATGTGAACGTGCTTCTGCCATTTGAGAAGGTATGGACGGTATGGAGGGAGCGATGCAGACGTACTTCTGCAAGGTGATCACGTGAAAAAAAGGAAACAACACTTTGATTTTGTTTGATGACCTTTGGTGATGACTTGAAAACAGGCACCGTTGGATTCAATGAAGAAAGGCCATTGCTTGACATGTCCGACGTCGATTTCTAGGCTGGCACTGCTTGTGCTGCCAGCGTCCCGGGTGAAGTCTACAAGTCCTCTTGCTTCCTTCTATGTCAAGCCATGTAAACACTCCACAGACTGTCCACAATATAAGGTTCCTCAACTAGACTAGACTGGACAATTTCCTACAGACTTTCCTTTTGTGGCAAGATAGGGCTTCAATGGGCTTCATTTGGTGTGTGTTTGTCACGGGCGGCCTCTCTTTGTTTGGTCACCGCCACTTTGCCGCTGAATTGGACTTTAGGACTGCCGGCAATTCACCAACGCAACACTTCACCCATGGCGTTCTCATCCTCTCTGAGGTACCAAGTGGGACTGAAGCTTCCGCACGATCCACGTGAGCCTGCCTTGAGGCACCGTAACATGACTCCTCTTCAGGGTCTCTCCCTGCCTGGTCGGGAGATCTCGGGGAGATGTCTGAAATAGATCTCGATCTCGGCACCGGGGGGTTGGTGGCATGTTGAAACCGGTTTGGAGATGCTTGCGAATCAAGATGAATCAAGGGGATCATGGGATCCACGAAAAGGCTCTTAAAGGGGATATGCGCTATGCACCAATGGGACAGAAATGTGCTTTTTGTGGCATTGCTGAGAGCCGTGAAGGAACGCAGGTCTATGTTACCGTGGCTCGGGGTCGACATTGAACTGTCGCATCCCATTGTCAGATCATTTTTTAAGTTTTCCATTGTGTGACAGTTTTGACTGCCATCACGCAGGAGGTTGTTTTCAAATGTTGACGATGCCAAAGGCTAGTCGTAGCATTTCCAGCATATCTTTCTACCGAAAATTAACATGTTTTTGTTCACAATTGTAAAGGCAAAGAACTGATTTACTTCACATCCTGCACGATACCACCTGGGCCGAGTGGCTACACAAAAGCCATCCAAAAACCAACATCTTCTCGCCACCGGCGTTCGGCCGTTGGTGGCCTGCGGGAGGTTATCCTTCGTCACCGCCTTGGAGGAAGATGAAGCGGTTTCTGGCGTGATGACCTCGCTCACGACGCTGCGGAAGGATCTGGCAGAGATCAAACGGACGCGTGGCAGCAGATCGGTCAATCGCCCCAGATCTGCATGGTAGATCTGGGCGATCTTGGAATCGCTTTCGCGGGACCCTCGCCGCGTTGCGAACGTGGGTTGCCCACGTCGGTATAGGACGGGATGTCTCCAGGTGGTCCGATCGCTTAAGCAGCCCTGGGGCTGCTGGGACTGAAAGGAAGCGGCAAAGCAGCATAACCCAAGTGATTTTGGGAGTTGTTGGAGTCCAGCTGATCGAAGATACAAGATACAAGCTACGTTTGTAACAAGGGCATAGCTATATACTAGTAGCTTCTTGCTACGCTCGTTGGAACATGGCCTCCAAGCTAGTGATGGCCTCTAACCTAGTAGCTTCTAGAGCTACTAGTAATGGAACTTGATTCCCCACGACATCATTTGCCGATCGACTCTGGTTTCGACATGACATCATTCAGTCCCAGGACCGTCTGCTCGCTGGACGCCAACGCGGCGAACGCGGAGGTGGTGCGGCAGCTGGGCACGTTGCAGGAGCGCTGGGCTTCTCGGCGAGAACGGTGCCAGTGCCACTCGCAGGAGGTCGTAGGAGATCGTAGTTGTAAGTTGTCAGAGCAGCGTTGTTTCTGATGTGTTTAATGATTTTTTGCAAGGTTCCATTCGATTCTTCAAACAATCACAATGAACCATAGAGACACACCAGTTAGGAGGCTCAGCAGCCCTGAACTATCAGGACCTGTTGGAGGGTCCTGGTGTGGAATATTTGCCAACGTTGGGGTGATTTTTGCGATGCATTTAAGGGTCAATGTAGGTAAATATTCCACGGTGGTCTGGGATGGTCAGTTGAAACGAATGTCCTGGTGATGGTCAGAACTTGGAGGGCCAAGAATGATCCATGAGTTGTGGAAGAAAGATTCCCTATAACTGGCCGAACTACGGTGACATGGTTATGAATCAATACATTGCCAAGTATTTTGTCCCGACCACTCTCTCGCGGTCTGACAGATCCGAGATCGGATATCGAATCAGATCTCAGGCTGGGTTGCAGGTCTCCTGCTTGACTGGAGAAGTCCAGAAACTTGTGGAGTCCAACGAGGAGTTGAAGAAGGACCAGATCCTACAGAGATGATGACTCACTTCTTCAAATTCACGATGTCAATGTTTATGAAGTTGAAACACCTGGTTTTGCTGTGAATGTGACACTCTTGAAGATGTCATGAATGTCACGGTGTCATCTTTTGGAGTGTCTCATAATGCGGGGACTCCAACCCAGGGAGAGGTGCTAGCCACTGAGACAAAATGTGTTGCACAATATGATTATGTATTATTATGTATGTACATGAATAGATATATATGAATGGTAAATGCATGCATGCTGGCAAGAGAGGTGTGGGACCCTTCTCTTCGTTACACGGTTGTTGCAGCCCCTGCAGCCCTTGTGATGTATTATATCCAAGATGAAGTTGGTTAGAGTTGTCTTGGATGTCCATGTTTCACATTGACCCAGCCACACAACCGTTTAGAGTTTTTGGCGCCCCAGGTGTTTAATACTATGACTCCGCCTATTATTTGAAAAACGTTTTGTGGTTCTATGTCATCCTTTTTCATTTTCTTCTCCTCTTCTACCATGCCTCCGGAGGAGGGGTAGGACTTGATTATCCTCCTTTTGCTTGATGTTCGAAATTCCATCTTCACAAGAATCCAGAATGATCAGTCACACTAGGACCTGTCAGAGCAGTTGAAGCCTGTGTTCCTTGGAACAAGCGCGTCAAACGCCGCATTTCGCCCACGTGTGGTGGAGATTTCGGGACCTTTCGCCCACGATGGGTTCGAACCCCAACCGGCAGATTGCATTTAGGAGAATTCTTTTTGACACCTGACTCAGGAATTTCAGACATGTTTCTGGATGGACATCCATCTCCAAAAAGCTTACTTCGGAAAGTGAAAGACATCGGCTTTCTTCGTTCGGAACTCCGTTTCGCGAAGAACCACCGCCTCCTCACCTCTCTCTTCATGCCTCTAAGTGCTTCATCCCCCCCCCAAAAAACTTCACAAAACACCTGGATTATCACCGTTTTTGGCGCCACAAACATTCATCCGAATCGCCCCTTCCTTCGAGACCGAGGCTGGCCGAGCTGCGGGGCGTTCAAGATGCGAAGCTTGGAGATGGATGGAGATTGGGGAGGTGGGAACCGGAGGCTTCGAAGCTTCTTGAGATCAGATCAGGAGCTGAGAAAATGCAGCCTTTTAATGGTTTACGTTTGTGAAGATGAAAGAATCTGTGGGTCCATGTAGGTCCAAGGTGCAATTATGTTGGAGTATGTGCCCAATCCCAAGAGAAGTCTCTTAATGGTTCCATGCATTGGAGGTGTTTTTGGGCAATTGATTCTGTCGGGAAGGTCCTGTTTGTTTGGAGACCAGTCTATGCTCATCCACAGAACATGTTCAATCAGCCACCACCTCCACCGAGGATTTTGCAGTAATGGAGAAACCTGTCGAGGTTTGGCGGGAGTCGGTTGGACGGTTGGGGTCGGTTCATTGGGGGAGAGGTTGGAGGTAGAGTTTGAGTCTCAAGATTTGAAGGTTTTAGAGTCTCAGAGATTCTAAGAGTGTCTAAGACATTCTAAGACTAAGAGTCGCTGCAGAGCTGCAAGTCAAGTCGTTCAGGCAACAAAATGCTTTGGATTTTCATGGTATGCGTCGTGTATTCTTGTGTCTAGTTCGTGGTGTGCCAACTCACCTTCAAGCAACTAGCAAGAATATGAATGAATTACGACAGCCCAGCAAGCAATGACCAAATTCTGTGCGCAGAACGTGCACACGCGTGAAGCCTTGCCTTCAGCAGGTCAACCGTGAAGCTCGATGAAACTCGTCGAGAAACTTAGCACTGACATAGAATCGAGTTACAGGATTTGTATGGTACCAGAATTTGGGTGATATTGGGTCTTTTCAGACCCACCGTGTGTTTGGGGGCATAGACCCGATCACCTCATTTGGCTTACTCAGACTCCCAACTGCCAAACCTGATCCTGTATTCCTTTTCTATGACACCGGTACTGGCAAAACGCCAGTCCACGGCGCATGTCTGTGGCGGTTCCGATCGCTGCAGGACTCGGAGACGAAAAACGGCGCGCCGCTTCCGCGCGCCGCCGCTTCCGCGCGCCACGCGTCTTCCGCGGGCGGTGGCCACCGATGCGGGTGAAGGTCTGAACGTCAAAAACGGACCTCTGCAGACCTTTGAACTGCCCCAGGTGGACCTCTCAAGAAGTCCAAAAGCCTCGAAGCTGGGTTTTTGCTTCGGCTTTCGAAGGCAGGCTTTCGGTGCTCGAGGGTGTGGTGCATGGCTTTGGGAGATCCATGCCTTCAAGCAAGTAGCAATCAGCTATCTTGAGTACTTCAGCAGGGGCTGAAGGTGAAGTGATCTGATTTTGAATGATTTTCAGCTGCATTCCTTTGGGAATAGCCGTGGTTCTCGATGCTCACTTGCTGGTGGGCGTTCTCTCACGGCTCAAAAGCTGTCCATTTTTCACGCCGGACAAGGTAGCTTGGCAATTCCCACATTGGAAGCTGAAGCAGCCCAGAAGTCTCCCTGAACGAGGGCTACCAGATGCCACACAACCCACACCACATTGTCCCAAGCGGAGTGAGATGAACCTGGATGCCCGGCCAACCCACAGGTTGAGGCGAAGGATCAGGCATGATCAGACTCAGCCCATTGGGTCATAAAATAGTCTGAAAGGAAGGAACATGAAGGAACCAAGGTTTTTGGGATTTGCACATGGTAGATGACGGCTTGATCAGAGGCACAACGGCTTGATCGAGAAACTACCTCTCGATGTGTAGACAACACGGATGGAACCAAGCAAGACGTATCGAATTCCTTAAGCAACCCTTCCACTGTGAATGATTCAGAGCAAGCCCACCAAGTTCCACAGCGTCCTTCTGGAATCCAGAGTCCTTCGAGCTAGCCGCGCATCCTGAACCCATGGCGGTCACTTGGATGCGTCTGGCGGAGTGCTTTGCGGAGTGCAGGGCATGTCTTGATCTTCCACCCCACCCCAGCCGAGGTGGCTTTGGCAGATTGAAATACCTACATACAGCGGTCGGAGGTAGTTACTGTATATGAGGAGGTAGATTTTGGTGCTTAATGTTGTTGGTTTCGTGTTGCACGTCTTGGTACATAGTCTTGTGTAGATCCAAGGCCTGTGGAGCGCCACGGAGCGCAAGTTGTGTGTGTGGGTGCGTTGTTTTTTTTCTGTGTAGCCCTATGGATCCACCTTACCGAACCTGAGGAGACCAGTGAGCAGGGTGATGTAGGCATTTTCTGGGCCCAGTCGTACCGAACGGCAGTGGATGGGTATAGATACCCTAGGGAGCACCTTTCAAGGGTAGATTCCTCGACATCGGAGGACTCACAGCGCTGTTCAGCGCTGTGGGATCGGCTGCTTCATCAGCGAAAACAACGGATTGTCATCCTGATGGAGCCTGAATCGCGTTCATGATTCAAACTAAGATTGGCCAAGACGCGGTGCCGGCACAAAAAAACATTCGTTTGGGGGCTTTCCAGTTCTGACCACGCCTAATTCAAATCAATACTGCCTACGAACAACGTATACAGTATTTTCCCAAACCAGTGCGCTAGGTTTCTGGCGTTTGAATTCCATCAGTGGGGGCACACATCTTCCTTTGACGAGGATGAGTTGCCCGATGGTGACACCCTACGGATCCTGGTGCTGACGGACACCCATGTGCCCAGCTGAGAGAGAAAGAGAGAGCAAGAGCGGGGATAGCTCGGCAGGTGTGCGGTTTCCAACGCAACCGGTTGTATGTAGAGTGTTGCAGCAGCTGGCTAGTGCTTCCCAGCTACGGGTATAGCAGCTACTGTAGCCCAGGAGATCCTGGCTATACTACATATATATGTTTATAATATTTTAACAGGGGAGCAAAGTTTAAAAGAAGCTTACGTGGAACCCCAAAGCGCGCGGCGTTTCTTTTTTGTTCCCGACCAGTCCATCAGGTGAACCGAGAGGAACATCTTTCTGTGCCCTGCAACAGCATCGACGTCTACACCCCGAAACATCGTGGAAAACACGGGGATTTCCCTGAAAATAGGCTCAAGGCCAATAGTACTATAGTCTTCCTGTTGATGGAGCCTTCCTCGGCAAACAATGTCGTTAAGATGTTAATTAAAGTATTATTGCTTTGCCACTTGAGTAGGGGTTTATGTGCTTGATTTACCGGACATGAACTTCCACAGGCCGGTTTGGGACACCAAAAAGACACCTGACTCACAGGTGGGCTTCAACGAGAAGGACAAGGCATGGAGCTCCGACCGAGCTTGGGAAGGCAATGGATCTATGATGATCTGTGTGGATCACGTGTTTTTGACACACATTGAAGCTTGCTAATGGATCACGAGTCAGTCTATGATGATCTGTATGGTGATCTGACATTGGCTGACTTCTTCAAGGTGATGGGCCCAAGCCTAAACTGGAGCTCACGATCCTCCGTACGGCATAGTACACCTCAATACGGACTCCGCTCTGGAACTCTGGGATTTGGATTTCCCACTATAAACCGTGGAACTGCGAGTTCGCGGTACGACCACAACACGTGGTTAGAGTGGTAGAACAGGTGGAAAGTGGAAAGTGATTCATTCACAACACGTGATCGGAGCGATAGAACAGGTGGACAGTAATTCATGTCGAGGGTACTATTAGTTGGTGTCCAACCGTGAATTGGCTTCATCTTCGGCCGAATTCGATCGCCGATCTCCTTGCCGCGGGTTCCGAGATGACGATCGGTCCCAGGTTCGCAGCAAAGATTCCATCAACACGTTGGAGGACCGGTCTCCAACGGTTGCGACGGAGAGTTGGAGCTTTGAGCGTCCTCGCACGGCGCGAGCGGCGCGCGCGCGCGGCGCGGGCGACGCCGGTTGGTCGGCGGTTGCAAGTCATATATTCACCGAGAGGTCTGGTAGAGAACCATTTAAACAGGTCTCGTATACCCGGCAGGTAGCTTAGCTTCCAACTTGCCTAAGACTCCACAGCAAGAAGGTCAAAGGGTACCTTGTACTTCAAAGCAAGCACCTAGCAGAAACCCCTTTTGATGTGCCATTCTGGGACATCACGCAATGTAATAAATTAATACAATGAAACGAGCAAGACGTCTAGGAGCCGCTCTTGACAGCGAAGGCAAAGACCAGTCAGGCACCAGGCGTGACATCAAAAGGCCGTGTACAACGACAGGTGCCTGGCAGTGACGGTCAACTGTACATGGCGCTCACACCGCTGCATGTTGGTAGGAATCATCCTGTTGGTACATGTGCCAGAGAAGGCTGTAAAGGTTGTTGCGCCATACGAAGTGTGTCTTCTTACCATGTTTAGGCAATTGTTAGAAGGACTTTCAGAAAGTCATGGTGGTATGTGTGAAGCCGCACCGGTGCACACGCGTGAGTGCACACTGTCCCATCTCCCATGCTCTCTCAGTGGACGGAGGATCCCAAGAAGCGATGGAGGATCTGAGGATCCCAAGCCTCGCAAAATAGGTTGTCAAGTGGGCAATCCGGAATCCACGCTCCATTTTTTTGGGGGACACCCAGACAGCTCTGATAGAGGGGATTGAATGGATTTCTGGTAACGAACTTCTCATATTTCTCATGAACAGATGCGGAGATGATGAGTGCTGTGCTTCAAGGAGGCGCTGCAGGTCGGCAAGTCCTCTCAGGCGGACCTCATTTTACATGGCTGGCAACTGAGCAGAGCAGCGAACTGCTTGGTGTTCTCATCGATGGGCAAACCTGTCCGGACGTTCAACCTGTAGGAAACACAATTAGGGAACGATGTCCTATATATACTAATTAACTTATTTAAATAGCCCTAGTTATAGCCCTGTAGTCGGCTTTTTGTGTGATCTCTGGAGTTGCTTGGTTCTGTTTCGTTTGCAGCGCCTCGTCCAACAGCGAGACCATGGGATGTGTTTACCGACGATCTGGTGCCGACCCAGGGGGAGATCTCTTCCACGACAACAAGCCATCCAGGCGACCCGGACACGACGGAGGGTCCGGGTGCGTAGCTTCTTGTGACGTTCGTGGCGATGCCAGGAGCTACGTGCGTAGCGATGCACCTGGCTATTAATAGCTAGTTGCTACTAGTGTAGGTATGCCAGGAGCTACTATAGTAGCGTCCTTGCTCCTAGTGATGCCCTTTTGTCCCCAGTGGGATTCAGCTGCACGACACTGCATTGGCAGGATCTTCTGCCAACTCAGAAAGGGACAGAGTAGTGGCTCAGTGTCCGTCTTGGGAGCACATCGTGAGGATCGAAAGCCATGAAGGAGACATCCAGCTCAGCGTGAATTGGTTGTTCAGTGCACTTAGCCATTCTCCGTTTAATGAAGCCGAATTATATGAAACAACAGCGCCAATATCACGGAGAATCAACGCTGACCAAAAAGAGCCGCCTCTTCGACATGGCCTCTTCGCCTGACCACGGTCTTCACCTTCTCAAGGCTCCCCCAAATCGGTCGTTCTGCGCGCGCGGGGCAAACCACGCGGGCGCGAAGGGGCTGCCTCTATCGGACCATGGACCTGATTCGGCAGTACACCATGGGCTCTGGAGAGGCTGGACCGTTGGTGCTTCGGGGCGATTACTTTGGCAGAGGTGGAGTGTTCTCTAGCCCCGAAGTGGGTCCATCCCCGACTCAAACAAGGGGGAAGATGTTGTCCCCTTTTTGTTTGGAGTCCCTGGACATCCCTGGAAATGTTTGTGGAGAATGTTGGAGACGCTTCTTAGCAAATGGTTCACCCTTCCAGTTGGACCACTGCTTCTCATTGCCTCTCAGCGTTGGAAGCTCTCTCTGTTCCGCTTGGTGGCTCCTCAATTGCAAGATCTATGGAGGTCTTCGAAAGGTCCTAGGTCACGTCACGCTCTACCAGTGGCCTTCAAACCCACGAAACAAATATGTAGAGGCGTTCGTACAACCACCATGTTTGTTGCTAGGAACAACCAGGTCTTTGATCCCGGGTATTTTGACCAATCAGTTCCAGGTCGCCTTCGAGGCCCACCCAGACGCGACGAGATGCGACCGACGATGTGTTGGGCGCGAACAGCGACGACTGCTAGAAGTTGTTGAGGATTCTTGCTGGAGTGTTTTTGGCTAACCACCCTTGACCACGGGAGCATGAATTTACTACTGGTATTTGTTTAATGCATTTTTGAGTGTTTCTTGGCGACCCTGCATTTGCTTTTCTCGTTGCGCCTGACCACACCTTTAAAAAGCATTATATGTGTTTATCAAACTTCACGCTGATGTTGATAGCAATTGTGACTCAATGTATGATCAAGATGCAGCTAATGCATGAAGTCCTTTGCAGCACTATTTGCATCCAGAGAAGTTCAGGCTGTTTGTTGTTTCCGCCCAGAGCTAATTCCACAAGTGCTGCATGTTCTGCATACGTCCGTGTGAGTGCAGTTGACTCATGTTAACTGCGACATGACGGACAATGGGTCGGATGTCCAGGCCAGCCAAGCGCTGCAAGTACCGGCACGTGGATTTGCTCTAACCTTCTGCCTACTGAGAACTCGCACAAATGATGGAGGACACAGACCTCTTTGTAATTACATAATACATAGAGATTTACCATCAACATCCATTTGCCTCGTTATCTTCAGGTGTGCTAGCTAGCTTACGCTCAGGTGGTGAGCGACCAGGCCTGCTTCGCCCGGGGCAGGGTGAACTACGAGGATCCGAATCTCAACGTGGAATGCCCTTTGTGGCGCTGTCCTGGTTGAGCCGAGGGAGAGGTCCGTGATCACAGCGACCAAATCCACGCGAGTCGAGGCTTTTTGGAACTGCGAATCGTGTGGTTTTGGGAGAGACTCCGTTTTGTGGATGACTCACGCATCGAGCTTCGAATCGAGAAGTATATTGATCGCATGGATTCAGAGTAAAAGATGCGGGACGTCGCAGCTTCCTGGATGAAGAGACTTCGTTTTAGCTTTCGACGCGGGCACTTTGATGTTTGTCGGTAGGTTGGAACACTCTGACCTGAAGATTGATGTTGGCTCCCTTCTTGTCCTCATGCATCACTTCCCCTTGTCCAAAGTCTAGAGCATGTAGTTGAAAGCGACCCACTGAACCCACACGCGAAACTCTTCACAGTGTGATTCTATTCCATTCTATTCCAAGTTGCACCTGGTTTCTACAAGAACATCCAAAACCGGTGTGTTTTGCAAGTCGTTTCCCTTTCAACCAATGCAGTTCCTCCTCTCTGGTGCCCTCCGGTCCCTCGCCAGTTTCATGATCCACGGGAACCACGACGATCCGGGGGGGCGAGAGCAACTTGTGCGCGGCGAATCTCTTGGAGGCCCCGCATCGAGACATCATCGAAGGATTCAGTTCAGCCTGGGTGATGTTGAACCCTTCATGCTGCGTGCGAACCCAGACAAGTTTCCGAAAGCAACACATGAAAGAACCATAATGCTAGTGAATCTAGCTCAGGTGTACAGCATAAGCAGCATGATGTGAGAGTTTTTTTGGCGGCATGGTAGCGCAATTGATTGATTTTGCTCTTGGAATAGTGTGGAAATGCACATCAAGCACAGAACACATTGGATGTTGCACTGTAGTTGTTTCTTCCGGAGGAATTTGTATGGATGTGGTTCCTTGAGTAGGAGAGCTTGTTGCGCAAGTCTCTCATCCTTCAAACGCCTGAATAAGGATCTTCAAGTTACAACTATGGCATGCCCTTCAGGTATGCCATGCTAGCTTCTCGTGGGCACCGCCCATATTTCACGTCTCCCAGCAAAACCCCTCAGACAAAGCTTCGGGTTCGTCGGTTGGCACGACCAGGTCGCCGGGCTTTGCAATTACTTTGGCCGCCATGAAGACTTGGAGGCAGGGCCGTGGAACAAGTGGAAACGATGGGGTGTCAGGAACAGAGAAGTGAAAGTGCCAGAAATGAGGGTGCATGAAGGTGGATAATAAAGAGTTGTTGATGGTTTTTTGTTGGTTATTGAAAGGTTGGTTATTCAAACTGTTTAAACAAGATAAACAAGGTTTTCAAAGGTTTTGTTATGTGAGCAACGTCATAAACCTCTATGAAAGATTTTAGGTAGGACTTAAGATTATGAATCTTTGCGAAAGGAAAACTGCAGTTGGGGAAAGCTTGGCGAAAGGTTTGGAGAAAGGCTCTGAATTGTTTATGAAAGGATTTTGTTGCGAAAGGGTTGGCGAAAGAGGTTTTCAGTGCAAAGCATGTCATCCAAAGATTCCTGATAACCAGGCGAAAGGTTCGCGAAGATGTGGCGAAAGCACTGGTTGCAGATTAGGAAGGATTCCCCTTTGCTGATACTTTTCTTAGATGTAAGTAGCAGAAACTCTGCAAAAGGGTTAGCGAAAGAGGTTGTTGGGTGAAGTTGGTCGGCGAAAGCAACACATGCAGTCGCGAAAGCGTTGCGAAGGGATGGGCGATTCTTTTTATATATTATAGTCTTACTTTAAAGAATAAAAGTTCCGGAGGGTTTTTGACACCGCTCATTATGTGTTTACTTTTTGATCTTTCCAACCAGTGATTGCAAACAAGTGGCTTCACTGGATCTGCCGGGATTGCTGCGAGCGGTTAGGGGGGGATGCTGGGGACAGGACCTCCATGCCTTGGGTGCGTCACCGGACTGCGCTGGGTCACCCGACTCCACCGTTGGACGGTTGGAACCCTCCCAGATCCGTGCTTGTCTGTTCGTTTCAGGGCATCTCTTGACTTCTCTTGACCGACGTGTGACGTGTGAAGCGAAAGATTTGAGTTGAAGCCTTTGAACAGAGAGTGTAAGGACACACCTGTTTACACCTGTGTTGACACCTGTTTACACCTGCTGATGTGGGCAAGGCAATGATCGTTAGGATGTCATGTCGTCAGGATGTCATGCGTGACCATGTCTTTTGGTCGAAGTAAACCACTGTGACCCAGCGAACTAGTGGGAACCTTCCCTATGGAATCTGGAGATTGTGGTCTTTGTGGATTGTCCATAAGTTCTTAGACATGCACACTATACCACAGTGTTCTTTTTAATCATGGAAGTCGCTTGTTTCGGTGTCTTCCACTTTATGGAAGCAAGATAGTGCTTTAGATGTTAGGTGATAGTGATTACTATATATTCACAATCATTGGCATTGGTACAGGAATCAGAAACTCTTTGGACTAGTACTCCTATACATTTAATGTTTCAGTCCAACACTACGTTCGATTGCGAATCAGGTGGTGCGTGCCAAATAAAGGCAGGTGCTTGCCAGCGTGTCAAATATGGCAACATGGATGGTCTAGGACCGCAAATGTTGAGTACTAACTCGTCAATCATCGTGGGATGATTGGTGGTACGACATTGGCTGAGGAGAAGCGGTTTTGTTGCGTCTTGATTCTGTGACGCATGTGTGTGGGATTTGCGGCAATCCACAATACATGGGCCCAACAAAGACCTGCACCAAAAAAAATCAATCGCGTGAGCTGAGCTATTCCATTGCAAAATCAAGGTAATACATTCTATATTGATATAGGCTGCAGTATCTTGGGAAGGACACTGGGTTCTTTCGACAACTTCAGGGCCTGGGCGACAACAACAACTTGATTTGATCATTCTTTTGTGGTGACAGTGGATAAAGACATGATGCAACAAGAACCATGCGCGAGAAGAAAACGGTCAATTAACATCGAACAAACGTATCTACGGTGTGGAAAAAAACGCGTGATAGCACTGACTATGCCATGGTGTGACATGATCTTGAATCGCAGCTTCCGCGCTTGCTAAATTCGCAAACTGAAAACACAGCAGCTGTGCTGGGCACTGCAGTACGTAGTAGCTCGTAGCAGCAGCTGAAACAGCCGCAGCCACAGATACATGGGCTCTCTAGCCTCCTCGTGGGATCCCTGAAGGTGACTTGGTTTACCAGACTTGGCAACCTCTCCGTGCGTTCCTGCGTCTTCCTCAGGGACACGTGTTGTGTTGCAACGGGATGGATGTGCAGCGACACGACGGCCGTCGTCGAACCGGGCCTTTTGGCACCCGGGGGTCGCAGAGTCCGAAGGGTGTGTTATTGAGGCTAGGGTGGTGCAGTGGTGCCGACGTGGAGCAGTTGAGAACATGGAAGCGCAGATCGTCTGCAGCGACATCACCACTTGTGGTCTACATCTCATAGCTCCCGAATTTCAGCCAGCTAGTTCAATGGGTGGTTCCAGGCTCAAAATGTGGTCCATTTGGGGTGCTTCAGCTGAGGGGTTGAGCCTGGGACCGCTCCTAAAACACAGCCATCTTGGAGAAGAAGGAGAAGAAGATGCGAGTTCAGCACGTCAAGATTGTTTCCTTTTTGAGAACGCATGAGTGTCGCAGTTCTTTTCCAAAAGGAACACATACTAAAAACATCGGGGTGTGAATTTCCTCTATAAGCCATGCACCCCCTTGGGGGTCAGGCGGATCCCCCTTAGGGGGATCTGAAAACAATGCTTGCCCTCAATCACCACGTTGGATCCTGGCAGAGCTCGGTTGTCTGAGCTCCGAGCCCAACCGAACAGCTGTATTTTCACTAAACACTAGTATGTCCACTGGTCATGTTGTGATTTTTGCATGGACATTGCATGGAATGTGCTGTTGTGATGTGAGTTTTCCCCTAATAAGATGATATGACAAGGCACCGGGCTCTGGGGAAAGACTCACCAAGGCAGCGGTTCTTATGCACCTTGGTACAAACAAATGAACACAAAGACATGTTCACACACACATCATCAGCAGTGTGCCCCATGTAATCAACTCTCCGGGTTGCTTAGCAGTTGATCTGTGCCACACGAAAATCATGTGACCCCACGGTGGATTCCGGCCGCTGATCGCTGCCAGGACATCGTGATTCGGCCACTTCTGCTGACCAAGGCAAACTGGATGAAAGGGCTTGGACAAGGGCTTGGACGGTCAGACGGCCACTTCTGCCACTTCCTGAGTTCTTTTTGTTGGAAGGATGAAAGGGCTTGGACATCCGACCGTCCAATCGTCCAGCCTGGAGATCCGGGTCACATTGGGACCGAGTGCTTGGTACACACCGGGGGATCGTTGATACCTGGTGAGTGCTTGGAATCTCTTTGGCAGAGACACCAGGCATCAACGACATGGTGGGGGAGGAGTCTGTTGGACTGTCTGTTGGTAAATACTTGTGAATGCAACGATCTCGTGGCGGAGGAGGTTGAACCTCATGGTGACAAGGCCTGCCGGTGATCGGTTTATGTATGTGGTATATAGTTGTTTGTTTCTCTCTGAAGGGAGGAGGTGCCCAACATGAGCATCTTGGGAGTGAAAAGGCTCAAGATGCTGCCTTGAGACCTTTGTTTTCGTAGCTAAGAAGCTACCAGGTTGGAGGCCATTACTCTTAGGTTGGAGGCCATTGCCATGGTAACAAGAAGCTACTAAGTGGCCCATTCCTAATCCGATTTCTTCTTGTGTGAGGCCCTCACGTTCCGGTCAAGCTGATGAGCATGTTTGGTCCAGAGTGTTTGGGTGAACCTGGTGAAACTGCAGGATGCAGCCTGTCATATCCTGTCGACACACCTGTCCTGACTCATGTCCTATCCATCCAGATCATGTTGAAGTTTGCAATGGCAATGACCATAATGACCTGCCTACCCAACTCGTGCTTGTTCAAGGCTCACAGATTGACATGGAAAAGATGCACACACACAAGAGCAGGTCTTTTCAGGCCGTGTGGTATAATGGTGTTTGGTTTGGTTTCAAGGACATTTTTCTCCGAGTTGATCTGGGCAGGACCTGACAAGCAGAAATTGTTCTTCCCATACCGCAACCCATTGTACTGAGAAATCAATGCACCGAACTCACAAGAAAAAACTATGCAATTCACGGTCCGCTTCTGGCTCTCATAGCTGGTTTACCTTGCCTCCCTTCGGTCCGGTTCCTTTTTCAGCCCACTCCAAGCCGTCAGGGTCGGTCACAAGTGGCCATCTACGGCCTGGGGAACATCCGGGACGAGCGACTCCATCGGGCCTTCCAGGCCTCGATGACTCGAAGGAAACGGCGAGGGCGCGAGGGCACAGGTGTTGACCTGTGCTTGTTGAACGGCCTGGCCTCCATCCTTTCTGAATGATGGCCTCCAACCACGTCATCACGGGGTGAAAGACAAATTCTGAAGAATCATGAATGAATGAAATGTAGGTAAGCTGAGAGAGGGTGAGAATGAAAGCGCACACTTGCGTCGCAAGCCGACATGATTTGCAAACTCCACCGCCTCACCGAGATCACAATAAACCGAGAACAGAATCCATCACTCCAGACGCACGCCAGAAGAGCAAATACCAAGTACCAAAATGGGTACCAAAAAACAGATTCCTACCAAGAACCAAAGGCACTGCATGCACAGCCCCCTCGACCTGTACTGTGCATATCAACCTGGACACAGGTGTCATAGGGGAGTTCAGCACCTTACAGTGACCCAGCCAGCAACGCTGCACTGGATTGTCCAGCAACGCTGCACTATAGACTATAGAGGTTTAGACTGGGTTTGACTTCTGGAAGATCGAGGCACATGTTCTTTGGGTTTTACATGGTTACACCCAACGTTACACACGCTCTCTGGAAGTCGGGTCGAGAGAATCCACAGATTTCTGGCCGAACTCGTCTCTGACCCATTTCGACCATGTGCAGAGCCTTGCTAAGATCGTGGCCGTGCCATTGGGGGTGTCAGACGTTGGACGGTTTGGGGTTGGACTGTGGGGGTGTCCGGGTTGTGAGCCTGAACTAGTGAACTGCAACCAGCGATGAAGTTCACAGTTCACGTTCCACTGGTCCATGAAATAAGGGGGGGGGCAGTTAAATAAGTTATATCAAGTGTTTCATCCAGCGAGATGCCAGAATGAGTGGTGAAGAGGATCTGTTCGCAGTTTTTGAGATCGTATCACTCGGTTGATTGTAAACTTGCTGGGACATGCCGTACTTACCAGGACCCACTAAGGCACAAGGGGTGGTTCATGGACACCTCTTAACCTCTAAGGACCCCTGGTCCGGGTGTCCTGGTAGAGACCACTCGACAGTCACATCGAGCGAAGCTTCCAGGCCCGCAAGGTCCGCTTCGAGGCGGAAGCGGAAACGGACACCACCACGGGAAGAAACCGGGAAACCAAGGCTCCGGTGAAGCGTTTCCCCATGGGGTTTAATAAGAAGTGGAATAAGGATATCACTTACTTGCAAGCAACACTTGCTTGTTTAATATCACGTGCTTGTTCAACAAGGATATCACTTACAACCAACGGAATCAGACAGAGTGGACCACCGTGGTGCACATGAAGCCTGATAAACACATAGGCGGCGACCGAAAATACACCAAAAAACACATCAGCCAATCCTATGAGGCTCGTTGAGAGGAATGTGAATGTGTTCCAAAAGCGCCTTGAACAGATGAATTTCCAGGAAGAGTTTCTTATAGATGGAGTTCCCGTTTTTTTTTTTCAAGTCACTTAAGTCGTCACGCAATGTCCGGGACAGAACCTCGCCGCGACGTGGCCAACGTGTCCACCGCAGACTCCGGTGGACCCTGACAAGTGGTTCCACGTGATGATCCTCCACCAGAACAGGCGAATGTGCACCGGGACGTGGGGAAAAACGCTGTGTTTTTCCCTTGGGCGAGGTCCGCCTTGTTCGAGGCATCTTTGGCAAGTTGAAAAGCACAGGTTCAAGAGTTCAAGATGATTGAACCTGGCTGTGTTGAAGTGCATGATTACCAAAATGCATCTACTACCCTTCAATTCATGGCATTTAGCTCGCTTCTATCTGGCCCCATTGGTCACCGGTTTAACACCCAACCTGGCGAACCATGGCGAACCAACTCCGGCGGCCGTCGACCTACCGCGAGGCATAAAGGGAGCAAGAGCGGCATTCCCAGCAAATCGTCGGAGCGCCCGGAGCAGCCGTCATCCGCCGTCACTCCGTATGACGGGTGAAGATGCCGTCCGTGTGAAGTTCATCGAATGAGACACATGTGACCTGTGAGATACTCCGGAGTATTGTAGACTCTTGACGTATATGAAGATGATTGTCAATTCAAATGACTGGGGATATGAATCAAGAGTCTACATTACTGTGAGTTCTCCCTCCAGCTGTCATTAAAATGCATCCGACTCTGCAGAGAAATAGGGCGAAGCGCGAGGGCAGCTATGAGATGGAAGTGCAGACCGATGCCACACGAGAAAAACACAGTTGCTCCAGGACGCTACATTTGTTCGCAGGGGATAGAGCTTGGAGGCCATCGCTATCAGGTTGGAGGCCGTTGCTATTAGGTTGGAGGCCATCTCTAAAGAAAAAGAACTGGAAGAAAATCCAAACATTTCATTGAACCTCCCATTCTGGCCCAGAAAGCCGGCGGCCGCTGAACTGGAGGGGAACAACGTTAATTAGGACTGTACTCTTCAACGCGAGTCATTTGTATGAGTCGTGGATGCACATTTGATCGAAAAGGGTGCATTGAACATCCTCAGGCCGTGAGTTGTTCACGCTTTGGACATCTGAACGTTTTTCGGTGCTGAGGTGCATTCACGAGGAGATGCTGCCCTCTTTTCTTGACCTAGTATCTTGGCTGCGAGGCGAAGAAGGAGACGTTTGGGAGACATATTGATGTGCTGGTCTTCAACTTCCCAAGAGGACAAGAGGTGGATTCCATGGGGGTTGGTTTGTTTGGTGCTTCCAAGTTGTCTCCTCTTCTTAAGTATGCCAGCGTGCCAGCGTGCGGCAAGACTCATAGCGTGGAATCTGGTGAGCCTTCCCTTACCGTCCCTACATCAGCGTTCCATGGAGAGCATCGGGCGTGACTGAGGCGTGACTTCTCGTAGCGTTTCCATTGGGAAAAGCATCCAAGAATAGGTCAGGCGTGACTAAGGCATGACATGGTGGCTTCTCTGTATTTGGGTGTCAAAGACCTGTCAAGAGATGTCAAGAGATGGATATCATCATCCCTGATCACGAAGCAACCGCCACTTTTGATCACGGCACGAGTGTCATCCTTGCATCTTGGAGCCTGATTAGCTGGTTTGGTGATCCCTTTTCGGAGGTCCAGGGACGCTGACGCGTCTGGGGGAGGATCACAGAACTGCTCGGTTCGGTTACAGTTCCAGACTCTGAAACCGGGTGACAGATCATGTCACTGATTTTCCGTGCAGAAGGAGAAGGAGTTGTCCCATCCAAGTCATTCCAAGCCGTTCCAATGATTTGTCCATAGATTACCCTTCTGGAATCGATATGGCTTGCCTTCCAGCCGAGCTTAGGAATCGACCCACTCGTTTAGGTCGAGGGCGGCATGTTTGTGGCCCAAGGGAACCCATCACAGTCACAGACATGCAGTCCACCAGGATATACCAGGATCCTTGGATTACAACATGTTTGAACTTAAGTGTGTACATTAGAGTATCAATTAAATATCAGTATATATCAGTATGAATATCATCTATGACATCATAAGACCTTGAAACATCATCCACGGATATCCACCATGTAGCGAACTTCTGCGTTTTAGGAGCGAGTCTACCATTTTCATGTGTTTTTGGACGGTGTCTTAGGACCCTCGACCCGTTCTCCGCGTTTCTTGTCAGACTTTCCGCCGGCTCGACTCGTGATAAACCGACCGGCCGAGCAACCGACGGTTGGGGAACCAAGCTCGACGCTTGGGACCAAGGTCATCTGGGGCCATGAGCATGACTGCCAGGTCAAGCCGCAGGCGATTCCGCGTTCCGCGACCTCGGCGGTGGTGGTGACCTTGGCGTTGGAGGCCATCTCTACTAGGTTGGAGGCCATCGCTACTAGGTTGGAGGCCATCTGACATCGGCGAGGGGACATCGGCGTGGACTGGACAGAGAGATCGTTTGGTTCGGCTCAAGGATGTCCATGGCGATCTGAAGGTCGTACCCATTGGGGAAACCGGTGAAGTCGTCCGAGCGGCCGAGCGGCCGAGCACCAAGGTGGAAGGGTTGGACGGGCCCACCTGCTTGGATGCTGAAGGATGTCAAAAGAAGTTGGAAAAGATCACCCAAGAGAGTGGACGATATCATAGCAGATCCTCAGGTTATAAAGTTCTGTGAAGTTTAACTGGCAGACATGGCCGCCAAAGGCTGACGTTTTCTTGAATGTTGGTATTTTGCCTTTTTTGCTCCGGTTGATTTCTTCGATCAAGGTTCTCCCCAGCTTCTTTGCCTAGCGGTTTCGCGAGTGCCTCCCCAGGAATCACTCCGAGGAGAGTTCTATGTGATCCAACCCGGCTCCTCCGCCAGGGGCGCCAAAAGGTTTGGGTGGTGGCTCGTTCGAGCAAAGGGAGCTTGTTCGAGCACAGGGAGCTTGATTCTTTTGCTCAGGAGCTCAGACTCTTCGCGGGAACGACATATAACGACATGCTTGCTCAAACTCCAAGCGAACAAGCTGAGATCCTGGGAGCGTCCGATTCTTTAGTTGCAAAGTGTGGACATCGAGCGTCCGAGAAATCAAGAGGAAGGTACTCATAAGGTACTGATTGCAATGAGCAGACGACCAGGCGGTGAATACATGTCGAAAGAATAATTATGCCCGAGATGAGCAAAGCTTGGCACAAATCTTGTTTGCCAGCCAGACCAAGGTTCACCCAGACCAAGGCTTCACCCAGTCCATACAGGCTTCCAAATAGCTCTGTTTTCGAGCGTTTTTGGGTGTGGGGCGGGCTTGAAATGGATTGACATGTCCAAGTACCTTTTGAGGATGGAGTTGGAAACATTTGGAAACCATAATTCTATGTAAATATTAGAGAAATCTCTGCAATGCGGTTCGTTTCTTTTTGGTCTTCCCAGAAACCTTTGGGGGTGTTGGGTCTCCCTATTCTAAGGCACACCCAACTTCAACAAAACGTCATGGCGGTTCTTCGAACACGTGAGGTGGCCACCTCCCTCACGCCCGGGGAAGCTGGGCTGAAGCATGCTGGGGGTCCCTGGATGGGGACGTCTTCGTTGGAACACAGAAGAGGATGAGTCTATTGGGGGGGGCCCGACCAGGACCATCCGACCATCGGTTCCCCAATAGGATTGGTTTGGTGATTCCACTACTTACATGAGTTCTTTAGAGTTCTTTGTGCAGGACCTGTGTAGGTCCTAGGTTATCCGTATCAAAGGTGATGCACCGGCTAGCCATGTGATTACCTACGTATAACGAGTGATTGGTGTGCCTCTTCAGTAAATATCCAGCCATGTGTGCTGTCATGTTTGTTTTTCTTCTTTTCTATACAAAAAGGACCCTGGCGTTTGGGCATGCAGTCAAGGGGGATTCTAAAGCTTCACACTTTGTAAGAAAGTGGGAGCCGAGTTCGCGTGCGGCTTGATACTGGTCTTTAAGATTCGGGATCCACATACTCCCAAACGTATACAAGCCAGTGACTTGTTTGCACCCGTGATCCATAACTGAGGTAGTACTTGATGTGTTTAGTGCATGTCCAGTTGATGTTTTTTGATCGAAGTCCGCCAGGCTTGCCCATGATCACTTAGGGCTAACCCGAAAAAAAAAAAAAAAAAAACACCTTCCTTCGGAATTGCTGGAGCATGGTCTCGGTGCCGCGGCCTGCTGCGACACTCGGAAAACACGAGTCTAGGCTCCACGAGGAAGGAGCTGGCTTCAATCCATGTGACCCGGGGTTTCATCCACATTCTACATACATCAGACGACCTGATGGATGTGAGGCCAATGGGGGTCCAGGTGGATCGTCCCGGTGTCCCGGTGTGGTGAACTACCTCCACCATCCTCCTGCTGAACCTCGGTGGTTCACCCACCTGCTCATAGACTGAAAGATACTGAAAGGCTAGACAGGACGACAAAAGCAAAGAACGCTCAGAAAAAGACATCAAGAGAACGCTTAAAGACATCAAGAGAATGGTTAGCGCTTGTTCGTTTCCACCAGCGCTTAGAAGATTCCGCGGGTAAGTGAACGTTTGTTTCGCTTCACTGAAGCAGACCAGTTGCCCACTCAGTCGCGCTTCACTGAAGCAGACCAGTTGAGGTGGCTTTGATCGACCTGAGACAGGGCAATTTTAGGCGAATGCGGGATAATGCGGGTGGGTCGACCTGGAGGGAGGGAGGGGTGCATGTTTGATCAGCTGGGTGGACATGGTATAGGGGTAAGCGTTTCATGACCGACGTTTCATGTTTAGTTGATGCCTTCTTTTTTAAAGAGGCGAACAGGGACCCAAACACTAGCTTCCGAGCGTCGAGAGTCAGACCGGGCTTAGGAGGTCCAGCGTATCTTCCGAAGATTAAAACATCAGAACACATCCACATGAACCTGATCGACTCGAAATGAATAGAAATCACCTGATCGACTAGTCCTTCCACTTCTGGGAATCCTTCCACATCTGGTCACCACGGATCTGTTCCACGAACTGGTCCTTTCTGGTCTGTTCACGTTCCGTTGGGCGTGTCCGTCCCACGCCGCTTGGACGGTGGCGGCGTGCCAGGTGTAACCCGGTGCCCCTTTGGACGGTGCGTCCATTGGCTCGACTCCAAGGGATCCGAACGGGAGCTCCGGAGCGGTGAACGGGGGCATGGAAACCGAACTTAGGGGCGAACCTGGCCGTATACTACGAACGCAACAAGAAGCTACGAACGAAAGCAAGAAGCTATTAGATCTTATTAGACCTTTTTCTTCTTCCTTTTCTCGTTTTCTTTGTTTCTGATAGCGATGGCCTCCAACCTACTACCTAGATAGATCTAGATCTAGATTGAGATGAGGATGCAGTGAGCAGGATTTCGCAGAATGGTGCACAGTGCTGCGATGTTTCTGTCTTTTTGTTGGGGCCACACTTCTTGAAGGGCTGAAGTGATTTTGCAGGGTCTTAGTTTAGAACGGGCGGGCAGCCTTGCTGAGGTCATGAGAGACATCGTGGCTTTGGCACGTGTTTTTCTGTGTCGGAGAGCTCATGCTAGCACCCCGAGCGAGGCTTCGGTAGAGAAGATGTTGTGTTTTCGCATGGCCCATTTACTATTCAAGATGGACAAAACCTTTGGCTACTCACTCGACCATTATATAAAGAATGCAGAATGCTGCATTGGTATTATAACTACTCTTATATATAAGCAAGAGACATGAATATGCAGAGAGAGCTAAGTGGGACAGACTAAAAGGAGGGAAGAGGAACTATGCAACAAACATGATGTGAGTAATGCAGCTGGAATCTACTATGTCGCTGGCCAATTAATCCTCTTCCATTTGGTAAAACTCCTGAAATACCATCAACTGATTCTTCGTCAGTAATTTGGTAAGACTCTTTGTCAGTGGTTTGCTGCTTCTCAAAAAGAGTAAAAACAAAGCGCGCTTTCACAATCTATGGGCTCAGACTCAGTGAGCTTTCTTTTCAAAAGCCCTCAGACTCAGTGAGCAAAGAACAGACTCAATGATGTCCCAGAGTGGCGCCGTGGTGTGCTAGCACTAGAGCAAGTGATTTGAACATGCTATACATATTTAAGCGTAATTACTGTACAAGACTTTGGACATACACTATTCCAAGATAACAAAGAAACAGAGATAGGAATCGCTCCGCATATTGAGTTCCAAAGTGTCATCACGAGGTTCAACAACCAAGAATGGAATCTGCATTTTGAGGACACCATGATAACTCACTATACGCAAGCATTAGATGTTAGACATGTATAGACATGTATCCATTTTGTTGTTTTTTTTGTGTCATCCAGTTCACAGTTAGAGCTGGAGTTCAACCCTCATCTGCTTACCTGGTCCATGTCATTTGCATCCACACACCCCTGTCTTGGCATAGGCCAATGCAGAAGGAGCAGTAACTCCGTGGTACCCCACCACATAAAACCACACCCAAGAACGCAACATGAAAAGCATAATCAAACCTGAGCCAAGAATACCAAACAACTTCTTAAACAAACGTGGACATTTTTTGGTGGTTTACGGGTTACCAATGGTTACCATACATGTACAAATTAAATTTCATTACACCGGTTAGGTACACTGGGCGTATATGTGTTATGTGCTCGGCCGCCCTAGTTTGATATTTGCTTTGTTGCTGCTTAGACTCTAGTTTGCACCGCACCTGTGGGGATGTTGCTAGTCCAACAAGTCAGCTGTAGCTGCTTCTCGCTTGCCAGTTCGACCGACCACACGCCCCAACCGCCAACCGCGCCGCCCCAGCCGCTGCCAGGTCTTGTCGGAAACGGGGCTCCTGAAGACCGACACCCAGGCCGTGACGACGTGTTCGCCTGCTGTGGAGTGCCGGTGTGGACGATGGACCGTTGGTGGGTTTTCCAGGGCATAGGCGAATTCATTCGAATCAAGTGGGGCGTTTCGGCGAATTCATTCGTGTCAGGAACGTTTGTGTCTTTCTTGGTGGAGGTGTCCTTACCAGCTCAAGAAGTACGTAGCTTAATTGAATCACCCATCGCCCCAGGAAGGCGAGACTTTCAGTGGACAGCCCGGGTTCGGTCATAGAAGTTGGAGCCTTCCACTTGAATCGCGATAGAAACCCTCACCTGGCTTTGCTTATATTAGGTGATTTGTTATTTTCCCTATGTGTGAAGCGAATATGTTTTTAATAGTTTTTTGCTTTTTCCTGGTTCCTTTCTGCAAATCCAAGATCAGGATAGCACACCGCTTCAAAGCCCTTTTTACTGGTGGGTTTTGGCCGGTGACATCATCAACGGGACCATAAGGACAAGCTCCTTGAAAAGGGGATCTATAGTAGGGTATGCTTTTGCTTAAACACTTCCATTGTTCTACTTTCAATTGAGTCTTTTAGAGACTTTGCAAACTCATCATGAGATGGCATGGGCTATTTTGCAACCCACGGACCCAAGGCCCAAGGCGGTCCTCAGAGTGGCATGGCATCCCTGCCAGCGTGCTCGTCTTGGAAACACCACCGCAGCCGCTACGCAGCCGCTAAACCTTTCATCAGTGGATGGTTGAGGATGTTCCTGCACCCCAAACCAGACTGCAGTACTTGGAGGCTTCACCCCCGGGTGGGTTTTAGATATCTGACACTTTTGGCCACCAAATCAACACGTTTTTTGGACATTTTCCCTCGCAGCACCCAGTTCCAGTCCCTTTGTTGTCTCACTTTGCGAGGCAAGCTCTTCTCGATCTGTCAATTCCTGAGACACGGAAAAGAACAAACTTTATTGGTTTTACTCTTGATGAATAAATCCTTCCATTTGAATTGGAAGTCCTTGAAGTCCCCTTCATTTGTTTGACTTTTGTTTCAATTCCAGAGACACCCGGAATTCCCTGTCCTGTCCTCTTCCCGTTGGCCGCTCCCTTCTGGGCGGCCCTTCATGCCGTGCACTTCATGGGAAGTGGCAGGAGACCGAGCTCCTGAACGGGGTCTGGAGTAGTGTGTTTTTCGCATCAACGGCGGAAAAAGCTGAGAAGAAAAACACATCAAAGAGGTCAAGCGGTTCACAATAGCGGAAAACACCTGGTTTTCTTGAGTGTGCCATGGAGTGATGGGTCAGAGAATTCTGAAATGGGTGTGCCTAGGGGCCAGATAACTTGAACACTCGTGACTCATGTTACTCAGTATATGCACAATATCGAGTCTGTGTGGCCCCTTCATTGCCAGCTCAAAAGAAAAGATGCTCTAACAACCAGGTGAGATGAAGCACAGCTACCTTGAGAATCGTATGAAGCTACCAGATGTCTTGAATATTGAACTGTCCCTACTTATGAGAACTTCTGGAAGTTCGCCTCCACTCAGTCCAGTCCCTACTACTAGGTAGAACAGGTCTTCATAGGTCTTCATGTCCCCTTCGTCCCTACTTTGTGGCAAACGCTTGCGTCGGTCAAACGGTGCCTGGTGACGGTCTAGGTGGTAGCAGTTTTTGGAACATTCACCTAGATCTTCCAACTGTGCAACACGTTTGCCCTTAAAACCAGCCCAGGTTGGCAGACTTTTGGCAGTTGCAAGATCTAGGCCCACAGATTGGCAGCAACTGAAAAGTAGCTGCGTTGTCCTAGGACAGAACATGACACAACCGTCCACCCCAGCCACACCCAGTCCTTCCTTCAACAGCTGACCTGTGTTGTCACGTGGTATGTGCGGCTAGACTCGCCATGCACAGGAGACACGGATGGTGGAACCGGCCTGGCTTAGCGACGCCGCCGTTGTTCAAGTATTTGTGTGCATGACATGGACTTAGCGTGCTTCAAAGACGTTTCATTTTAACATGCTTTTACTATATATATATATATAAAACTCTATAACTATGTAAATAAGAACTAGTTGTGTTTTGTTGTTTCTGTTTGCGTAGTGTCATGAATTAAACTACCATGGACCCTGAGAAAGAATACCCGTGGTTTCGACCAGAAAAAGACGCACAAGTCAGAGACAACCCATGTAGTTTTTTGGGGTTCCACGACGTGGTCCTCACCAAACAAACAAAAAAATCTTTATGTTACACTTCAAACTCCATTTCGCTGAGCCGGGATTCTTTCAGCTTCAGCTTAGCCGGATCTCCAAGCACCCGGGTCGGGGTCGACCGAGCTTCGCTTCGGCAGGCATCGGACGCTGGCACTGGTCTTGGGTTGTTGGGGTTCCCGCAGCACGGGGGGCGTGGGTGATCCACCTCCACGGGTTGCGAGTCAAAGATGGTAAAACAAACGTGTTTGCTCACTGAGGCCAGGGTCATTGGCCTAAAAATATAACACAGATCTCAGATAAACACACAATTATGCATGATGTTTTTTTTCCGAATGCGTAGCGAAGGGTTCTCGTTTAACTCTGGGGGTCTGGAGGTAGAGCCTTGTTCGCGACCCGTTGTTTCTACGTCCGCAACCGTCCGCAGTAGAGCGCTAAGGCGCTGCCATTGGGGGAAGCTTTTGGAGAGGGTTTCGGATGAAAACGTGACGTGTCAGATTCGTGTGAAATAGCAAGGAGTCGTGTGGAAATGTAAGATGTTGAAGTGTGGAGGATGATTTCACTGCGCAGGCGCAGCGTTTTGTGAGATCCGCAGTTTGCTGCGCAGTTCCATTGGGATTAGCGTTGGGAGAGTCGTGTTTGTGGGGTATTGGATGTGGCTTTGCCATTGGGATTTGTGTTTCAGGGTGTGGCATCGAAGCTCTGTTTTCGTGACAAGTCTCGGCTGAAATGGCGATTTTGGTGGATGGGCGTGTGCTCAGAACGGGTCGAAATCATTCCAAACGTGTGGAGTGGTGCAAATTTTGTGGAAGCTCACATGAGATGACATTGTCACTTTTCGTGGCAGGCGCAGTACTTTGCGCGGGCTTTGAGATGTGGAAGTGCCATTGTCGTGGCAGGCACAGGGAATCGTGAGGTTGCGAGGTGTGACGGAGATCACATTTCGTGGCAGGCGCAGTACTTTGTGCACGTTAGACGTGTGGACGCGGAAAGATTCGTGGCAGGCGCAGGGAATCGTGAGGTTGTGGGTTGTGGTAGAGGTGACTGTCGCTGTCCCATTGGGATTGGCGTGTGAGCGGGTGTTGTTTGGAGGGGCTGGACTCGCGAAACTGCTTGGCAGGGTTGCGTAATGCGTGTGCTCCGATGGGTGTTTCCGCTTTAGTGTTGGAGGCAGTCTCGTACGACACGCTCGTTTTGCAGACTTGGACATATGAGTTTTTGATAGCCCCTCAGTGGGCAACCTTTAACCTGTTTTTTTCACCCTGTGGGGGGGAGCAGGGCGCACCAAAAAAATCACGCGCGTCAGAGTTCAGAAGACTTAGAAGGAGAACGAGGAGAAGGAACTAAAGACGCACAGCCCGGAACCTTGTTTGATTTTTCTTGTTTGACAGCGTCGGAGGTATAAGCATGTAACTTACGTCTTCAATTCAGTGTTATTTTACGTACAACGTTTTGTTTTTTTTATTCGACGTTTGCTGATGCAAGTTGGTGTTTGTGCTTTGATTTCTTTGAATTTGTTGACGTCTTGTGCGTGTGTGTCCAGCGCAAAGTTTTGGCGAAGACTCGTTTATTTGGAAGGGAAAGTGCAACCGCCTGCGGGCCAATTTTCCCAAAATCACGTTGCGAGTTCACAGTGGCGTTCACACCGACTTGCCAGCGCAAAGGGGGGAAGTGGTTCAACGCCAACGGCCTGGGGCCACCACAGCAGAAAACCTGGTCCTTGGAAACCCTCAGCTCAAAACCAACCAACCCCAACACATGCCAAAGTCTCCGCCGGGAAATCCAGAAGAAGGTTGCAGCCACACCGGATCCCAGGTCCAGTGGCAGCAACTGCAGGCCCCACAACTGCCCCAAGAGGCTCCACTTAGTAACCATGGTGAGTATGTGTTGCCGGTGGTCCTATTTTCGGTCTGGTGGCGGCAAACCGTTCTCATGACATGTGTCAACGCCGGTGTTAGGCAGATAACGAATGTTGGTGGCACACCTGGTATGATGGTCAATACTGTTGGTATGACAGGGTGCTGCTGCTGGTACGCGGCGACCCTGTTGGTGTGGTATTTCCGCTGGTATGATGGTGTCATACCGTTGGTAAGACGGTATCGTACCGGTATGATGGTATCATATACCGGTCATACCGGTGACCTGATGGTATCATACCGGTGGCATGAGGGCCTCATACCGTTGGTATGATGTTGTCATACCGGTGGTATGATAGTATACCGCTTGTATGATGGTATCATACCCCCACCCGGCCCAGGCGTGTTTGGTGACCACACAGCAGCCTGTGTTCATGAAAAAACGCAGCATGTGCTGTGATGTACACAACATGTGTTGTGCTGTACACAACATGCGTTGCGCTGTACACAACATGTGTTGTGTTGTACACAACATGTGTTGTGTCATACAAGACAGAAGCACACAACCTGTGCTGTGACGCTCACATTGTTTGTCTACAGCGCAGCCACGCATGAAACACATGATGACCCTGGAGGCTTCACGAGCAGAGACACCCGCAACTGCCTGTACGCAACCGACACTCCGCGGTCTACAATACGCAGGCAGAAACCAGCCAGCAACCATGACATGTCGGACATGTGCTTCCACCGCCCCGTCACGTAATTAATAGTAAGGTCGGGAAGGTTTTTAGGTATGCTGAAACACGGTGTCCCACTGCGCCGAGATGTTAGTTTGGTCACTTGCGGTCACTTGCATGCGAAATGAACGTTTGACACGCCAAACCTTGGCAGCCGCTCACAAGCATTCAAGCCTCTGACGCCCACCTCCTCCTCTTGTAGTTGTAGACGCTATGGCTGCCGACATTCGTCTGACTACTCCTGCCTGCCAAGTTGTCCACCTGGTGTGCACCCTCATGCTGTGCCGGGCTGCTGTGGAGAAATGCCCTCAGAAGCGGTATGGCACTTTGCCAGACTGCTTCAGCGCCTTGCTGATGCGGCCCTTCGAGTGAACTTCACCGGAGGGCAGCCGAAGCGGGCGTGGACAAGCAGGGGCTTCTTGAGAAGATGAAAATATGTTTCTGGCCCATTGGCTGCGCAATGAAATTTTTATCCCTTGTTCACCCCAGAGTGAAAAGTATTGAAAAGTTAGAGGTTGAAGCGGCGCCGAAACTTTCATCCCATGTGAGGCCCACAGACCGGACGACAAAGGCCCAGGCCAAAGTCCTTGAGGAGTGGCCAGGGGACGTGTTTACGAACTGTTGCCCGGAAGAGACTTCAGTGTTAGTTTCAGTGTTTTTGCCCGAAAATTACATTAGCCAAACTAAACGCGGCTACCCCCAGGTTACCTGATGACGGTCCTGGCCACCGAAAAGTTTGCGAAAGCACTCCGCCAGAAACTTGGCATAACTTGGCAACTGAAATCCCTCTCCCCTCTTCCCCCTTGTTTTCGTTAATGTGTTTGTAGTAGGGCGCCCCGCCGTCGCCTTAGGACGCCTGGCGCTGGAGAGGCATCTGCGATCAAGAAGAAGCTCCTCGCTGTCTTCAAGAACAAGAACCCGGCTCTGTTCTTCACCTCGTCGTTCAACCCTGGCCGGCGTTCACGCTTTACAGTCCGTAAAGCGAAGCGGGACGGGGTGAAGACTGCACTGGGGATAGTTCAACTTAAGGTGGCCCGTCCACGCCTTAAGTCGACGAGAACCATCTGGCGCCCCAAACGCGAGATCATCTTTGAGACTTTCTCAGAATTTGACAAGCTATCATACCTTATGTTTTTTTTACTTGTAAGTCCTGTTACGGTACTTATACTTATATGTAACATAAGTATACTTATGCAACTTATGGACCTTACCGAATAAGTAGCACAAGTGCGACGGTAAGTAGAACATTGTGTGTTTTTGAAGGTTTTGATTCTTTCTGTCAGCACCTGTAAATTTCAACCAGATGCAGCCGCATATTAAAAAATATATTTGGATGGACTTGGCCGTGGAAGTCTGTCTGGGGCCGTGTATAAATAGAGATCTATGCGGAGGTGTCGGAGACATAACACAAGCAACAAAAAAAGAACGCGCGGCGCGGCAGCCCCAAACCACCCCCCCCAAAAAAACAACAATATTTCCCGTCCCGGTCTTCCCACAAATTTCCCACAAATGATTTCCTAATTTCTCAATCTTCCCACAATTTCCCTTATTAAAGGTAATTGGCAGGGTCTTTCCCACACTCTACCTCTCAAAAGTCTTCCCACAAATTCCCACAGTTTTCCCACAATTCCGGGCACTCCGTTTTCTTGCGCCCAGTAAGTGCTCTATAGTGGCCCAATGAGCCCGATAGAGTGGCTTCCAGCTTATACACCTCAGAGACCAGCACACCCACAGCGTCCAAGGCGTACAAGATGTCGGTCGCCAGTTGTCGCCGTATATTTGTTTCCATGCCTCCCACAAAAATGCTCCCACAGTCTATATTTGCTTGAGCCCAACTGCCAGGACAGCCCTCAAAACCTCTATTCCCATAAGTAGGTTAAGTAGAAAATAAGTAGAACATGTTTTTTTCGTCATACTTACGTTGTACTTATAAGTATGCAAAAATTTTAACATAACTAGCGCAGCTATATAAATAAGCACGATAAGTTCCAAGCAAATTTCGTAGAACTTACGGCTCTTATCATGGTTATTACTAAGATATAAGTCTAGTTGTTAAGACTTCATTGCTGTTGTTTGTTCAGAACGAACACATAGATTAAAACAAAAGGGACTCCGAACCGTTTTCTTCGGGAAATCCTTCAGGATGAGTGGCGCAATGACCCTGATGCTGTTGCCAAAGGCCAGGTTCAATTGGAAGAGTCTTGCCGAGCCAGCGCATAGGTCCAACAAATGAAAGTTTGCTATCTAGACGGGATTTGAAGTGGATTGAGGGGCTTTCCAAAGGCCCGAAGGATGGCGCAACAATTGGCCGCACTTCAAGCAGAAAGTCAAGCCAGCAGTTCCTAAGCTTGTAGACATAGCCATTGGTGTAGAAACAGAAGGATGTGAAGATACCAAGCTAGCTAGCAAGATTGTAGGGGTGGAGCTGTGATCAAAGCAACCTTCGTGAATGCTGCTTGGAGCAATTTTTTTGAATAGCCGTTAATCTTGCTTAGCCGTTCTTGCTTAGCCGCAGATTCTGCCATCACAGCCTATTGTCCGCTACCACCTTTCAGTGCCACAGGCTTTGAGCAGCATGGGCAAGGGCCGGAGCATGAAAAAGCCTTCAGCTTCAAGAAAGCCTTCTTCTCGCACTCGGGCAGAACAGCCTGGTGAGGATCAGAAAGTATATGCGCAGGGCAAGTTCGTGGCAAAGCACTTCATCAAGCAGTTTGGTACAGCGAAGCAGAATGCATTGCCTTTCAAGTGGTGTTCCGAATTCGATGGTTTGAACACTGTGAGCCAAGCTTTGCATGAGCTTCAGGTGCCACACCAGCAGCTGTTTGTGGCAGAGTGCGAGCCCACTGTGGCAGCCTTCAACCTTGCAAATTTTGGAAGCACATGTCAGTGCTTGCTCAAGGACCGTGAATTTTCGGAATTTGTTTGCTACCCTTTGGTTTTACAGCCTAGGTTATGAAGCCCTGACAGACTTGACCCCCACAACCCTTTCCTGTTCCTTGCCCCTAGAGTGGCCCAAGGCAAAGTTGCGGGGGTCAGATTGAACCCAGTTAGTTTTCGTGTCCTGTTTCCAATCACTGCTGCTTTTTGCCTGTGGCCGGCGCGTGCAGGATGTGGCGATGACTGGGCGCAAGTTCACTCAAGCACGACCGAAGCTGTGAAGTGCCACAGACAGAGGGTTGCTCCCTTTACGTTGCTGGATTTTCTTGCAAGTCCAACTCCATTCAGAACAGTGCTCGTTGGCAGGGCGGTGCGCTTTCGGCAGAAGCATCCAGCATGGAGAGCTTCGATTTGTCTGTGAAGACCTTGCAGAAAGTCACGCCTAGCTTTTTTGTGCTGGAGAACGTTCCGGGAGCGAGGCCGTGGTTTCTTTGCATTTCTGACGCTTTTTGTTGTCTACTTAATACTATCGGTTACTAGAAAGGATTGCTCATCATCGTTCGCCCTCAATCTCATAGCTTGAGTTGCTTTGCGCCTGTATAGGCTGCCAGCCAAGCCGAAGGGTGAGGAGACTGCCGAAACCCCTCTTAACAAATATCTTCGCACACTGAAGAAAAAGCTCCCCATGTATGATGTTGCAGTTGCGGACACTACTGGCTGGCCGCTGCCAGAGAAACGTTGCCGGATATGGATTTTGGGCACCAGGAGAGAGAATGGCGCCAACTTTTGGGCCCCTGTATGGGCCAGCCGCATTGCTTCGCTTCCTCAGCACCACCTCGAGACTTTGATTACGAAGAGTCTTGCAGCAGCGGCATCGACGCAGATGGTGGGCCCCCTCCTGCACAGAAGACGGCCGACAAAGCCCAGTATTGCAAGCACTTTTCAAACCTCCTGGACAAGTGCATTGCGAGCAGACCATTGCCAAGGACTGCGCCATCCCTCCAAGACCTGATCGTTTGTCGAACAAGTGTGCAGCCTTGGCGGGCCGCTCGCCCTTTTGCCGTGCCAATGCCGACTTGTTGGACATCATCATCTCACAGCATGTGTTGGCTGGGTGGAAGGTGGGCGATCTATCGCAAAGTGCATACCGAGGCAAATACGCAACAAGTGGTTCGCGGGGCACACTTTGCACCTCCACCATCCTCTTTGACTTCGATCGGAAGAAATTCCTAGACCCCATGACCCACATTGCAATGCTTGGATGGCCTACCGCTCATGAGCTTGACTACGGCATGCTTCGCCCGTCAGAGCAGCGCGAGGCCAGCGGCAATGGGATGAGCATGGCGAGCGTGATCAAGGTCTTCATTCCTTTGATGGAGGCATTGCGCTACTTTGAGACGGTGGATCCGAGCCCAGAGCCATGACCGGCTGTGCGACTGTGGCAGCCTTTGACTTTTTGAGCAGGGCGCTTTTGTGCACCAAAAGGCTTCGGTGATTGAAACCTTGCCTAACTTGTTGACTGAAACCCATGTCAAATCATGTAAGCCTGCATATTTGTGGTTGATTGAAGGCTCGCCAAACTTGGTGACTGTGAAACCTTATGTCAAAATCACACAATGCAAGCCTGCGTATTTGTGGTCTAAGTGGCGGCTCAAGCCAAGGTTTTGTTTGCTTCTCGTCCTTGTGTCAGAATCATGAGGTTTGGGTATGCACTCAATGCTCTTCAACTCCTTTTGCCAGAGAGGAAAGAGCGGATCGTTCACTTGGTGCCTGATGGTTGTGCTGGCAGGGTGAGGTACAATTGCAGCTTCTCTACCGTTTGCACGTCAGCTGGCGTGCAAGCCAGGAGCAGCAGCAAAGCTGTCCTCATTGGAGTAATCGAGCCGACGGAGATGGCCGTGCGTGACATGATCAAGTTCTTGCAGGGCAATCCTCACTTTGTGGCTGCGACCTTTATCGTGGCCCAGTGAGCAGCTTCCTGAAAGAGGTGCCGGATGTGAAGAAGCTGGCGGGCCAAAGCAATTTGATTGCTGCTATGAATGAAACTATGGTGGAGACTGATGCACCCCAGGGACTTGTGATGTTCCGACAGACTCAAGCATGCCACAATTTTGATTTGCAAGGTTGGCTGAATGCAAGGTGCAAGTCATGGCCTGCAGCAGCAAAGCGACCGTCTTCATGGGAGTGGAAGGAAAGCCCGTTTTCCACGGACGAAATCTTGGAGGTGCCCAAGCTTCCAGCCAAAGAAGGTGAAAAGCTGAGCAGCGGTGCTGAGAAGATCCGCAAAGCCTCAGAGGCTTTCGAAGGCACCGTTTGCGGGGGCAAAACTCTTTTTCTCGATGCATCCAAGAAGAAACGCTGCAGTGTTTCGCCGCCAGACTGCACGCCCACAAGCTATGTCATGATGTGCAAAGAAGGGAAGATCCATGCTTTTGGCTTCCGGGAGCACCTTGAGGTTCGAGGCTGGTTCGACGACGTGAACTTGCATCTGATGACCCTGCAGCGCGAAGCTTTTCGGATTGTCGCCACTACACCACCCAGATTCATTGCAGAGCTCCTTGTGCACGTTGGCTGCGACGCCAGCCTTGATCAGGACAGGGCTGGTATAGTTGTAGTTGCGTTTGTCGCTGCGTGTAAGTAGATCATGTTTGCCAGCCGCTTGTACTAGCCGAGCCCACAGGAAGCACCGCGTTAAGCCACGACTTCAACTTCAGCCTCAGATGACTTTCCAGAGGCCGTATATTGGCTTGCTTTGCGGATTCCATGTTTAAGCTTCTTTGCTCAGTCACCACACTCAGAGTGTAACAGTGTCCAACCCTTTTGGGGCACACCTGTGGTCCGATCCATGAGAAGACGGGCGACTGGCGCTCCTGATTGGACTCGGGGTCTCCTGCACACCTGGAACCCAAACATGATCCCCTCTTTTGATCGGAGCAAGCTGCATTGTGGCCGGTGGGTGGTCCAAAATCCAGACTTCACGAAGGATCGAAACAATTCAAGCTATCCCGCTCCGTGGCCACCTGGTGTACCTGAACCACTGAACATTTCAAAGCCTTTTTCGACTGAACGTCAAAGTCTGGGTGGCTTTTGGTCTTGGTGGGTCAACGACGAGTGACCCACAAGAGTGTCCTATAAGAGTGTCCCACAAGAAGTGTCCTACAAGAGCGTCCTACAAGAGTGTCCCACAAGAGTTTCCCACAAGAGTGTCCCACAAGAGTGTCCTGTAAGAGTGCTCCAGAGTGTCCTACAAGAGTGAAGAGTGTCTCACAAGAGTGTCCCACAAGAGTGTCCCAGAACAGTGTCCCGCAAGAGTGTCCTACAAGAGTGTCCCAAAACAGTGCCCCGCAAGAGCTTCCTACAAGATTGACCCACAAGAGTGTCCTACAAGAGTGTCCCACAAGAGTGTCCTACAAGAGTGTCCTACAAGAGTGACCCACAAGAGTTTCCTACAAGAGTGTCCCACAAGAGTGTCCCACAAGAGTGTCCCAGAAGAGTGTCCCACAAGAGTCCTACAAGAGTGTCATTTGGGCATATGGAACGTGTTTGCATTCGGGTTCGTGGGTTCCATCTTGTTTTGTTTGGAGCGTTCCTCAAAGCGATTCTTGCAAGAAGGACCTCGCATGACATACTCTTTTTGGTGTTCACCCTGAAGCGAGCAACGATGTAGTCTTGCTGAACGGATCAAACCTGACCTATGCATGGTCCAACACAAACAGAGCGGCATGCTTCCGTTCTCAATGTGTGGAAACCAAACAAAGTTGTCTCCTGTCCGCCGATGCTGAAGATTTTCATCCAGACAAACATCTCAAAGCTACCTAAGTTAATCCTAATTAGTTGTTTGGTGCCCAAGTCCTTGGAGAGTGCTCCAAACCTCCTGGCAGAAACTGTTGAGCAGCTGAGGCAATCTCCTGCATGGTCCCCCGTTTTTCCATCTGTTTCCACAGTATTTCGATTTAAGATCGTTTCAGAGTAGATGGAACAAACCCACGTCGCCATGCTTTGTATATCGGGGGGGGTTCCACTAAATCCACCCCACTTGGGGGCCCAGACGTGCGCCCTGCGTGCAGCACTGCCATCGGGGTTCGACGGCCCCATCGTTCGCTCTGTTGGTTCCAAAAACCCATGCTTGTCAGCTATCCTATTCGATTTATGGATGGTTTGCCATTGCATATTACCAGGACCCTCCTGTCGGGGTGTCCAATGGAAGCCTATAGGTAGTGTGGGCTAGTCCATTGGACACCCCTTGGATGGTCCTGGTATACGTCTTGTGTTTTTTGTTGCGTGTTTTTTTGGATGGACGGGTTGCTCAACTGCTGCTACCGCTGCTTCGTGGTGACCGGAGCGAGCGCCACTAAGGTTTGTTCTCCTGTGGAGTGTTCCTTTGGTATGACAGGTGCGCAGAAGGATGAGAATGACAAATTACAAACCAGGTGAAACTGGAGGGTGATGTTGGATTGGTTCTTGATACCACAATAAACCTGTACCATATGTTAAGTTGGAGAGCTATACAAATGACCATGGTCTATTCACCAGAGGCATGCTCATAGGTATTGTTCTTGAACTGCAGCCTGGAGGCGGTCTGTAGCATTGTGAGACAACAGTTAGATTGATCAAAGAGGGTCAAAGTGTATGTTCTGCCGTCTTTGCTTCTCAAATCGTCCTTGGAGTCTTAAGCCTGCCGGAGACGTCTCGCTTCAAAGACAAACGATCAAATGGCGACGTCGAATCTTGCGGTGCGAAGAAGACAAGACAGTTGACTGGCTGAATGTCTTTGCTACATGACCACATGACAGTTTGGGTGTGAAGATTGCAGTTGTTTGTTGGTCGATTTCCTATGTCATGGCTCAGCCAGCATTCTGAAGCTGAGCTCAGCCGCCAAGCTTTTTAAAGTTCAGTTGAAGAGGGAGCCCAAGAAGACGCTGCCAATCCATCCCATAAAAGTAAGCCCCTGTCTTTAGAGCTATTAGAGCAATCACAGATGTTTTCTTTCCGGCTGTTTCGATTCCAAATGCTTCCAATATCATATATTCTATTCCACCTACTCGCATGAAATCGCCTGCCAGGTAGGTCGCCACAGCCGTTGGCTGGGAGCTGCGTATCAAATCCAGCAAATATTTTTGCCTGAACAGGTATGGAGCCCGCTCGGGCCCCAAAGAACAAATTCACAGCCCGGCGGCCCAGATGGTTTGCTGGGCAGAAGGAAGTGTACAAGTACTGCATTGTGTTTCACCTTCGCGGGGCAGTTACTGTATAACTATATATACTGTATATATATATATGCATTATTTATAGTGTGTTTTTTCTATACATATAACCAGCGGGGGTGCAGTGATGTCCATTGCTTTCTTCAAACCATTGGGCATTTCTGAAGTCCCGAAGTCCCAGACCAGGCATTTCTGCGTGCCTTTTCTTCCGAAAAAGGCACGCGGGCCGAAGGGCTTGAGAAGCAAGAACACTCGGATGTTGGTCCGAGAACCGAGCACTAAGAGGATGTGAGATCGCGAGAGGGCCTGGTTTAGGTGGTCCTCGTAGATCGTCCGGCCGAGGTAGCTCGCAGTTCGATGTGGCGTTCAAAGCGATCATGGACGCGTGTGGAAGCTCGGGTCCACCATGGTGATATAGGGGACCCGACTGCTTACATCTCACTCTAGCGCACCACAGTAGCCAACCCGACTCAGTTTTCTAGGCACTGAAGGGTTTGAGATGCTTTTTCCGGTCAAACAGCGTTTCTTTTTGAGATGCTTGTGGTGGTTCCCATGTGAGGATTTCGGTCGACTTGGATACACTCACATACTCTTAGAGACCAGCTGTATGCCCATGGCATTGTTTGACCATCCCATTCTTCTTCGGGGAAAACCCTGGAACACCCATTTGGCCAGATGTAGTGGTTACAGGAGCTACTGGCCATCCCATTTGACCATCCCATTTGGCCAGATTTGGGATTGGCCACTTGCTCCTGCACTGCTTTCTGTTCACTCAGGCAGGTGTCCGTCTCGCTCCATCAGGCAGGGCGAAGGGTTCTGTTCACTCGGCGTGTTTGTGGACATCCCGGTCTGCATCTAGCTCGGGGCTTTGAATATGCATTGCATAGAGCCCTGGTGGAATTTCTTTGCTTGGGCAGTCATGGAGATGATGCAGCCATGCGTCATATTTAGACGGAGTTGTTCGCCTTCCTGATCCTGAGTTGGAGTCGAGGCGAAGCCACCGCCCACACCCAGTAAGGCACCAGAGGCGGGACCCGGTGAGGCAAAGCCAAGTGGCCATGAGACTTTGCGTTCGGAGAGCCATGCTCAAGTGGCGATAATTTTGGAATATGTTCATAATATGTTCGAGGCTTTTTGATGGTTGACTTTGGGATTGAGCCAAGAAAGGGGACATATATAATATAGATGTCTACTACATCATACTAACCTCGGAAAACCAGGTACGGTATGTATGTTACCTTGTTGGGGTTCTTGCTCAATATACATTACGAACCCATACATACATACATACATACATACATACATACATACATACATACATACATACATACATGCATGGAGCACTACATCCACCAAAAGGCACCCAGACATCAAGGGCGGCAAACCAAGCAACACAAAAAGCAGCTGGTACAGCACGGCCGCAAGCCTTGGCAGGCCCCATACCACCGGTGGCAACCACATCGAAGCGGATATCAGTGCAGTGCCTGTGGTGAAAGAATACACCAAGCCCTTACCGCCAACATCATAGAGGACCGGCTTGGTCAGACCTGCCCACAGCTCCACCTTGAAGAGCACTACCCAGAGCAGCATAGTCCACATAAAGCCATGCCAAAAAAAGCTCACCAGAGCACAGGTCATCGCAGACCTGCTCAACCAGCAGAAGGAACAAAAGTCAGACAGCCAACGCACCCTTGAAGAAACAAAAGGGTACTTGAAATGTACCACATGTGGCAACAGTGTGCATAAACGCACCAATGAAGATGCTTTTCAGGCTTTTGTCAAAGGCCCTTGCATCAACCAACTCTACGAACAGAGCCATCCTGGCCATGTTAGCCATGTCCTCTGGCAGAGAGGAGACCGGCTACAGTGCAAGAACTGTGGCACACAAACACAGCTCGATGCACACTCTCGACCAATCCTCACCAATGCATTTCGAAAGAATTGCAAGGGTGCGGCACCAGCAGGGTCACCACCTCTCACAGAAATCTTTCGCAGGCAAAACGCCAAAGCGAGCCCAGCAGATGGCAGACACGCAGCGTCAGGCATTGAGGCCACACTCACACCTGGACCTCTGCCAAGTGCCTCAGTCCCAGCAGGCCATGACACCCAGCCCGAAGGGATACCACAGGCACCAGACCAAACCAGAGAAAACATTTCGCCACTGGCACCAAGGCAGCTCAAGTACAGTGATGCCACCTCTGTGAGCTGGAGGTTTTGATGGAGATCCGATTGGGCACTCTCAGCTTCATGAACCGCCCTCTGCTGGCAGCCACCACCCAGCAACCACAGGCCATGATACCCAGCCAATCTGATTGCCAACACAGCTGCCCACAACACCGGAAAGTGATTTCCCTCCAGCAAGCAAGAAGATCAAAACCAAAGCAACTGCGCCAGCCAGCTTGCCATCGGATCTCATGCCAAGAGATGTGCAGCTGAACAAGCGGAAGAAGAAAGTGGTGAGGACGATCCCTACACCGTCGATTTCTTCTAGCTGGAGAACTGGCAGCCGCCGCAGCTCTGGCCAAAACGGCCTTCGTTCAGCAGCAAAAGTCCCTTTAGGAAAAAACATACATACATACCTGTAATTTGGAGGTATGTGACGTATGTATGTATGTTTCGTAGGAAACATAGATACGTCGAAACGAGAAGTATGTATGTTCCTGGGGAAACATACATACCTGGAAACATAGGAGTACATATGTTCCTGGGAAACTAGAGGTATGTATGTTCCTGGGGAAACATACATACCTGGAATACATACCTCCAGTTTCGACGCGTGTATGTTTCCCACGGAACATACATACCTCTATTCTTGCAGTAAGTACGTTTCTTAGGATCATACATACATACATACCTCACCATGGGGGGGAGGGCATGGATACCTACTACATCATACATACTAACCTCGGAAAACCAGGTACGGTATGTATGTTACCCCCCTGGGGTTCTTGCTCATCATATAATATATAATGTATAAGGATTACTATAGTTACTATATACTTGATGATACTCGGTGTGGAGAGAGTTTACAAGAGGCCAACCGGCTAATAGCAAACTGTTCCAATCAGCAGTGGCTAAACAGACAGTAAATTCAGCTGTTGGGCCTGTTCTGGTAGTTTCTGGTGCCCCAACTGGTGGGATTTTTTTTTTTTATGGACATCCTCTTTCACTAGTGACTTATGATTGTGTGTACGAATCGTAATGATGAAGCAACTTGGGTAGGCCGTTCTATTGTACTCGATTGCGAGCGGTTTCAGGAATGAAAAATTGAGAAGGGCATGGCCACATCTTTCCACAAACTTGGTTGAACCAACGAGCTGTAGGACAAGTGGCTTCTAAGCCTAAACCAGCAGGGTGAAGATCCATATTTGGTCATGCTTCAGGCCACTGGGAAATGGATTTCGCAGTTGGCTTCCAGGCCTATTTTAATTAGGTTTCCTTTAGTCTTTAGTTTATATTACCTTTAGGGTCCATATAAGCCACCTTTTGGGGATTGTGCCATCTACTATCAATCCACTATAATATATCTTTCAAGATGCCTTCTTCCAGCATCATGGCCCCACATAGGTTTGGTACACACTCCCACGGTTTGGTACGAGTTTAGTCCATGAACCCAGCTTTCTAGGAGGAACCGTGAACGGGAACCACAATGTTCATCCATGTTCGTGGTGGCAGAGTTCCAATGACTCACCAAAGATTGGGGAAACTCACCCCAATGCTGGTCCTTGAGTTGTTTCCCGAAGAAACATGCTTTCAATGGACGAAGATTGGAGTGTTTTGGACACGAGTCCTATATCTTATGCTTACCATATATACCTGGAACCTGAGTGACCTCTATTTTGGACCACCCCAACATATGTTTTTTTCCTATCAAAACAGAGGTCAAATCGGTTCCAGGTATATATTGTAATATATATATACACCGGTATACCACAAATGTTCATTTGCATGACTTCTTAGATCTTTGGAATTCGGAACTGCTTGATAAGTCTCATCTTAGGACTTTTTAGGCACGCTTTCTTCACATCAGCCGACCTTTTCTGGACACCACCTAAAACCCCGGGATGGAGCTAAAACATGCTAAAACGAAGACTTCCAGTCTTCACTCAACCGCGCGCAGCAGCAGCAGCAGCAGCTCGTAGGTGCCCAGTCCTGCGGTGAGCTTCCAGCAATGGCCGAGCCTCGAGTCCTGCGAGGCCTGGGATCCAAACGATCCGAGCGTCGTCACATCCATCCGTGCATCGCTAGTGGCACGGTAACGGAACCCTGTGGCACGGGCGAACAAGTAGATATGCACAGGAAGTAAGAAGCACGTAGCGATGCACCAGAAGCTATACTAGTAGAGTTTGGGGCCCAGCAGATCACGTGGAGACTCGGTCTCTTTGACCGGGAAGGTCGTCTTGAGGCGGAGAAGAGAAGTCGGAAGGGTCCTTTTGGAGAAGCGTTTCGGAGACAGATCTCCGAGGTGGCTGCTCTCCAATTCGGAGACAGAGACCTCAGCCACCTCAGACCTGCGTTTCTGGAACAAGAAGCACATGTTGATGCAAACCTGAGGTGGCTGACTTTCTACAGGTCATGTCAATTTTTTTCTCGGGCAGGAGTATGTTGAGTCATTGAGAGGGAAATTTGCAAGATATGTGATCCGCAATCAAGTGCTTGAAATATGGCGACTCTTCGGGAAGGGTGAAGCTTCAGAGATGGAAGGGCTGTCGGGAAGGGCTAAGGCTAAGGATGTTGGACATTGATGGACACGGTGTCACCCACAGATTTCCAGATTTCCTGGAGACCTTGAGAGCCTAGAACTCCTGGTAAAGGAAGCTTGTTATCCTCTGAATCATGAGGATGCAGGAAGCTGGATCGGCCCGAAGCAGTTTTGTTCATCCAAGTGTTGGAGGAACGACATCCGACATCCTCCACTCCACTCGCACTCCATATAGGCCCAAGGCGGTACGTGCATAGGCCCGAGGCGCGAAGCCGCGGTGGTGCCCCTCCGATGAGGTGATCTACCATGATCCCAGTTCGAGACCTGGCAGGCTGGTCGATGCACATGAGTTACTGCGAACAAAATGAGGAGAAATATCTACGTTCGTAGCTTCTTGCTACTAGTAGTAGTGCCCTTGTTACTAGTAGCTTCTTGCCACTAGTAGTAATGCCCTTGTTACTAGTAGCGATGCCGATGCCCTTGTTACCAGTAGCTTCTTGCTACTAGTTCTGGGAAGGTGCACAAGACTATAAGTGGTATTTGGCTGGGATCTAAAGCTTTTGTCGGGGTGAGTTGGCCCTGGCGGCCTTGGGGGTGGAAGCAGCTCCTCAATTCTGATCCTTTTTTTTGAGTGATATGGAACAAGCCTTGAGAAAGGGAGAACATGTGCAACCTCTGTACCGACAGGTGTAAACATGCGTAAACTAGCCAGTATCTAGCCAGCCTTTGTCTGAATGCCGAACAGTGGCTTGCCAAGAGTGGCATTAGACTTATATCAATAAGCTGTCACAGCAGTTCCGGGCCTTGCCAAGGGGGATCTGTCTGACAGGCCATGTTTGCCACGACCTGAGAAGCAGCCTTACAGGAGCGGAGTGGAGACCAGAACTGGAGGGTCTGAGGGTTGATACAGTACATGTAGCAGACCGTTTTCGAGGTGTTTTTTGTTTTTCTTATGATCATTAGCCAACAAAGGGGCTTCGCAGATTGCCAATGTTGTGACGTGAGCAGGAACTGGGTTCTTCATGGTTCTTTTGTGAACTGAATGTCCGCAGCTGACTGAAGCCACAGGAGCGACTCTTATTCCAAAAAGTACTTGGGAGAGAGGGCCTATCTAGCAGCGGCGGGTGTGGTCGATGAGGAGGATTGTCACTTGACATTTTGATGCGGAGTTCAAGAGATGAAGGCGGTGACCGGAGGGGTTGACCTTCTCTTGTCCCCGAAGCGCCTTGACTCCTTATGTTTTTTTGTTTTTCCTTTTGGGGCTGGAACACGTATTTTGGGGTGGTACTCAAGACATCCAAGGGCCTGAAAAGGACACGTTCGTCAGATGATGGGCGGATGGAATTCGCACCAACCCTTCCACATGTACCAGCTTTGCCCACGAAACATCATCGTCACAGCTCAAGCTGGATCTTGTCCAGCTCTTCGGTTGACCAGAGAACCCGTGAAGTGCGCTTGACAGCGGTTTCCAAGTTAGTGCCAAGACCTGTCATGTCTCTTGACCAAGATCTGTCACCGCCACCACCGGAAGGATCCCACCAGGCCCCACCAACACCAACATCACTCTTTTTGGAGCAGTTCTTGTTGATTCACAAGATCCTGGACCACCAAAAACATCAATGGAATTGAATGTTCGAGGCTTTTGGTGGAGATTTTGTGCAGATCCTTCAATCACATCCTTCAATGACGTCCTTTAAGAACGGCCGAAAGCCTTCTTCATCAGATCTGAGGTGATGGCTGGCGCTTGTTTGGTGAAACTCAGCTCATCAAGTCTGGGGGTCCAGAGCATTGTTTGCCCATCAATTTCCGGGGTGTTTGCTCTAACATGGCCCAAGCTCGCTCCCAGATCAAGGCAGACTTCTCGCCTTTTACGGCATGGAGCTGTTCGGCACATGTCACATGCTGCATGTTTCTACTAATCGGTCAATCTGGTGAAACACCACATGGCACCGGCACAGCATAAGAGAAATATCCCAAAGAGTTCGAAGAGATGGTCTTAGGCCTTTGAAAGTTGCCCCATGAATTCTCATCAGGGCGCCTACAAAACTGGCGCCCAGGCTGGGTTTACCGATTTGGAACGAAGCAGTGTCAAACTCCAGTCATCCAGAGATGTAATATCTTGCCGCGCAAACAGTTCAGGAACGGGGAAGGAACTTCCACAGGTTTCAAAGCATTTCCATGGACAGTGGACAATGCTTTTGACCCGCGCCCGCACCTTGAACATGGCTAAAACCAACGCAGCAATGCTACGGTGAGCTGAGGACATGACCTGGTGCAAGCGAGCCTTTGCGAGCCGAGAAGGCACTGAAGAACCCGACGGAGCATCTCGGTACGATCGAACCGGGAGAGTGGCCGAAGCTGTTAACACCAAGAAAGTAGTTGGTAGGGCCTGGAGTTCCTGTTTTGGGTAGTATTTGGCAAGCTGGGCACCATAATTGGGTTATTGTCCACCAGTGGTGTTCCTGTTTTGGGCACCAGGGTTTCCGGGCACCAGTAGTGTTCCTATTAGGTGGTTCAAGTTTGATAGTTTTGGGTCGTTGTTCGGTTGTGTTTTGGGATAATGTTTGGATGTGGACAAACTTGTCCGAGAGCTGATGCAGTGAGTCTTTTTCTCATGCCATGAAGTATGATCCATCCTGGGGTCCAGATCAACGCCAGGTCTGTGATGCACGTTATGCTTAACCAGCATAGTAAAACTACTTGCAGTTTAATACATTTCAAGTTTTACAAGTTGCATTATATGCATCACCGTACTACAAGTACTCTGCACGCATCCACAACCATCCATGTTTGGCAGACTTCGAAACTGTGTCACATCTCACCCGAACTGGCTCTTTCGTTCGCCACGTCATCCATGCCGCGTTGGCTGTGTGCACCTGAGGATGTCATCGGCTTGTCCTACGGTATCGAGCAAAGAGATTTATGGAGTGAACTTGCCATGTGGCTCACACCTGGGGGGGAGAGGGGGAGAGAAGGTCAGGAAGAGGCATAGAAGAGACCAGGGGCGGTTGAATCATCCAAACAAACGTCTCAACAGATATCTCTGCGTGAGTTGGCTGCAAAACAGAAATGGCTTGGTTGTATGTGAACGACTCGTCTTGGGACTTGTGTCCCTTTTGCCACCTTTCGCAGAGGACAAATGCAAACAATGAATTGTAGATTGCAAGTGAGTTTCAATATGTTATATACATATTGATGAAACATGATAAAACGTTGTGGTGTGTGTGAATGCGTCCGTCGACCATGTTCATACAACACCGCATGTCTTCTTTGCAGAGCCAGCAGAGCCCTTCCAAAAGCAACCCATTCGGTGCTGCATCTTGGAACGAGTGATGAGCCAGTCGCGCACGCAGCGACCCTCAACTCAAAACGCCAGTGATCAGAAAGGATGAATGAAGGACGTCGCGAGGCTTCCTTTCAATTTCTCTATATGCTTTGGTCAAGTCTTCTTCGGTTCAATCCCCATGTGTTGCTCGATGTCCAATTTGTGTTTGATAGATGTTGAGACCTTGTGTTCCAAACAGATCATCATGTTTAGATGGAAGCTCACCTCGAAAACTCGTGCAGCCTGAATCATCCCTTCATTCACGCGATGGAAGACGCATCATGTAGGAGCACCGACACTCAAGAGCAAATCTCCATGCGTGGCTGAGCCAAAATATCATTCGTTTCTGATCACAGGACAACTCCAAGACAACCAGCTCAAATGACCAAAACCATTGCATAGACAAGATGATACAAGTGGTTCATTATTCGGTGTGGCCTCCCAACCAAATAATTTAAATGGAGCTGCAGCTGCAATAGGATTTTTCAAGTGATTCTTCATTCGTTCAACACCCTGCCATTTCGGGTGACCAATTTCATTCATCGCCTGAGGTCAGCAACGACTATGGAGTGTCTTGGCCTGGAGATTGGTGGAGACTGGTCTTTCTGGATGAGTGTGTATCCCCCAGAAAGGGAAGACCCGCCTGGTTCGGAAAACAGGCCAGTCTACCCTGGAAGCTTTCAGACCTCCCCTTCTACTGTCGGGTGCCGCCGGGTTTCTACGTCAACAAACGTTACATACATCAGCTGGCGGGCGCCTTACGACCTGTCAGGGATACACAGGACAACCAGGTCCCCGTGAAAAGGCGGCTCTTGTTCCTTTGCAGAATTAGTGGAGAAGATGAAGTGCTTGGTGTCTGCTCCAATCACCTTCTTCGGATTTCGCCTTAGGGTTTTCAGACTTGTAGCTGAGTTTAGCTGGCAGAAGACGGTACGCAACTAAAGTTCAACGCGGGACTGTTTCTGAACATCTTGCACTTCATATTATCTCTTCATTGAAGAAAGCTATAAAAGGGTGGGCTAGTTGGCTACCCGGTCGATGGGCCACCGATGCCGATCCTTCCTTCCTCAGCTCAGGTGCGAACCCAGCTTTTTGACTGCTATCAAAATCCCAAGGAGCGTGGGCTGAGACAACAAAACATGGGAATTTCATGTGGGTCCAACGCTAGAACCTCTAATTCATTGATGAATTCGGTTGGCATCCCCAAGATTGGTTGACCAGAACCATCTCAAGCAATGGATTCTCAGTGTTTGGGCATTGCTTCCGTGACCCCACGATGGCGTCTGAACGGCTCGTCGTTGCCCCTGTGTGGGCCATTCCGGTCCAAACATGGGCATGTGGTGATTTGGAGATTTGGACTTCTGGGTCAGGGCTGAGAGGGCACTTCAATGAGTTTGGGGCTCTGAAATTTGGACTGCACTGCCGCGAGAAAGTTGACACACCCCTTGGGCATGCTCGAAGTTGTGGACTTCACCGCTGCATGGAACATCGCTTTGCATCGAAATGACGGTCATGAAAGAGTGCGTTCCAACGCTCAAAAGAAGTGGATGCAATCTAAACGGTAAGGAATTGGATTCGTCCTACGCACCCTGCCGGTTGCATCATGCAGGGTTGTGGTTCATCGGTCTTCATCGGCTTTTGATGATGTTTTGATATCTGTTGATATTGTGTGCTCTTTTTTTTGAAGGGTGCAAGGTGCAAGTGCTATGTATCAAGAAGTACCAGAGGTCGGAACACGGCAAGCTTACCTGAGTGACCAACAAGTAAAAATATACCAAACAATATACACCACTCCTAGAGTCTTAACTCCCGGAACCTCCTTTGTGTTGAAGAACCCATGAGCCAGGGATGTGGAGGAAGCAGGGTTTTGGGTGGACATGCAATGATAGGTATATGGGGAATCCTACCGCTTGACCCTGCTGCCTCCTGGTCCTCGCTCATGGGCTTCAGCAAAAGTTGGATTTTTGCATGTCGTGAAAAGCACAGACTTTTGTTCTTGACTGTCCTCAGGCGTACTGTTAGACCCTTAATTAGTCCTTTTGGTTTGGAAAGGATTTCTTGTTAAACCACTGAAGGTTAAACCCTTAGCAAAGGACCGGCCTGGACAGACAAGTGCTGAACTGTGGAAGACCTGAATTTGCAGCGGAGCAACCACGCCCATCTCGCAAGGACTCACCACCGTTGGGGGGGAGAGGCGGTGAATGGCAGCAGCTGCCAAGGGGTCAATGGCCATTGCGACTTGGAGCATATGACTGGAGCGGGCAGACTGGCTCGTACCTCCAGATTTCGATTCTGAATAAGTGAGTCAAAAGTGAAACAAATAGCTTCAGAACAAGAAGGGCTACTTCAGCACTCATTCTCAAACCCCTCCTTCAAATTGGCATCTGGCTTTTTCCCAGCCTTTCCAACATCCAACAGTTTGTTCCAGGGCTCCAAGCCGCTCCTTCGCCATGAGGCTATGAGGTGCCATACCAGGCGTTCCGGATCTGCTTGGGCGGCGCTCTGGACGGACGGCAGACGCGGGATGGGCGGCAGTTCGTGGCTTGGTGGGTGAACGGCGCGTGCACCGAGACCTTCTTTGGGTGTCCTGTCTGGAAATACCCAAGTATGTTGAATTCATGGGGTACCGTCTATTGGAGTGTCCCCAAGGAATGGTCCAGGTATATATAGGATAGTTGAATACACATTACTGTGTGGATCTCTGTGGTAGTGTGTACGACGGATGTAATTTGTAGAACGAGACGGAACAAGAAGCAGAAGATGCAAGGTCTGACTGTAACAAACAACAATTGTAGGAGAATCGTATACAGGCTCTTATTTTTCTCCTGGGTTGTCCTACTATATAATATCAGTGCTCAGTACTATATCCCAGACGCTCCATGTATGCCATATATGCCTACATTGATTTCTGAAATCAACCGAATGTAGCCATATATGGCATACATGGAGCGTCTGGGTATATATGGGAGTCGTTCTAAAATCCGTGTAATGTTTTTAGTGGACGAGTGACATTCTAGCTTTTTGAAGTTATGTTTACCTGCAGGGGCGAAAGGATGCGAGAGCGCGGCGAAAGGTTTGGCGAAAGGCTAAACTTGATAGAAATATATCATGGATAATTCATACATGTATGCACATGTTGTGCATATATATTTGTGTCTAAAACAAACAGAGAGAGTGGTTTCCATGCAAGGCGTGATAGGCAGAAAGCTGCAAGAGTAGTGGCTCAGCATGTAATATCCCCAAGGATATGTATCACCAGCTTAGTGAACACCCCAGCATGTCATAGATGCGTACGAAAAGAAACAGACAGCAATAAGAAATCTTGCAGACGGATCACAAGAGAAGATTCAAGTAGCAAAATTCCCCAAACCGAACGAGGAAAAACGCGAAAGCTTCGCGAAAGCGACGCGCAAGGTTGGCGAAAGACGAGCCTGCCCGAAACCATCGGGAGCCCAAATGGGCTAGTCCAGAGTCCATGCCATGTCGCATCTTGCTTTTCTTTTCCAGGAATGGATGAACAACAACTGTCCCGAAGCCAAGCGCCCCAACCGCAACACCACCTTGCCCAATGCAAGTGCCAAACCTCATCAGTGACAGGGAAAAAAACTGCAAGAAGTCATGCGAAACAATTACTTCGAAGAGGGAGTCGATGGCAAGAAAAGAAGCAGGCTGCAACGAAAGATGTCTGAACGCCCATGAAGGAGAAAAGATCTACCGAGCGCCCTTGGAATAACGGGAACCAAAAACCAAAGTTATCCAGAATCCACAATCCACACTCCCCAAAGTAGTAAGTAGCAGCGGCACATTTATTGTTGCATATACGATGGATGAACTTTTGTGGCTCTACTCAGATCCTCCACCTCATATATCCTAATACATTTTACATTGGGGGCGAAAGGATGCGAAAGATCCGCGAAAGCGCGGCGAAAGAACAATTTTTGGGAACCATAATTTTGAACAACCCCCATATATATATATATAAACATATAGTTGTCATAGTCCTGGAAATTCTCGTGTAGATCAGCCCTTTGAGACTTACAGGTCCGAATCGTTATTTTCTAGCTTCATTTGTTCTCTCATTCTTTCTTGTTTTCTCTAGTATCGGCGTGGTGTGTTTGGCCACCGACCATCTGTTTTCCATATATCTAGAGCAGTGTTACCTGGTAACTACAGTATACGTTCCTCGCAATTCCTCATTTCTGGCGGAATTATATGGGTGCAGAAAATAGGGAGACCATCCCAGGCCGAGGCGTTCCCCCTGTGTTTGGTTCGGAACAAAGGACCAGCCTACCCAGCCAGGGGCGGGATCCTACATCTCTCTGTAAGCACTACTACGCCTCCATACTTCTCCACCTCAAACCCTAAACCCTACACCATATTGGGAACTTCCAGAGTCTTCTCCACCTCCGCTCCGCCCGAGCTGAGGAATCCTTGGTGATGCATCTGAAGTCTCGGCATCGCCTCTCCGTGCATTTGAAGATCGACACCGAAGGCGACCGGGTCGGGGCCGGTGTCCGCTTGGCCGTGGCGGTGCCTCAGGGGAACATCGACGGTGTTCAGGAAGAAGGAAAGCCACTACGTTTGATACCTACTATTTCAGGTTGTTGGCAAGGTAGGTCTCCTGAGTTGCAGACTGAGCCATCCACATCAGGTCCACATCCAAGATTTTCTTCCGGAATCCCCCGCCCATCGGACCCCGCCTCCTTTCTTCTTCCTGTTCCGCGGACCGATCTCGCAGGCAGCGAGTGGGAAGAGCTGGAATGGCTCGTACAGTCCCCGGAGGCGATGGATAAGATCCGCACCTTTGACATGGAGGCACCTTTCCCTCACGGCCTCATGTCCACAGCATTGCGCTGTGTGAGACCCATCGCATCCGTCCCATGCGTCCCATGGTCCTGGCGCTCCGGGTTCCAGCGCGGCTGCTGGTGTTTTTGCAGGTCACTGATGAGCAGTCCATCTTCCCATAGATGAGGGTTTTGTTCTTCACGCAAGTCCTCTTTTCGTTTGGCACGCGTGACGGTGCGGTACCGAGATTGCATATATGGCAGGAGTCAAACACTTCCTTTTTTGGGGGGGGTCCGTTCTGAGGGCGGCGTACGCGGCAGGCAGCTGTAAATTGTTGGTAGCTTACAGTTGGATCGAGCCAGCTTTGATGGTGTTCCACAATGGAGACATTGGACTAGCAGACCCCCTCTTCTAAAGGTCCCCACTTGGCAAACATTTCTCTAAGCTGTAAATCCAGTTGATGTGGCTACGTCCTCGGATTGATCAACCATGGCTGAGCTGCAGTTTCCAGACCGGGCCGAAAATTCATTTCAGTGGGCCGTTCTTCTTTCTGCAAAATCTGCTGATCCGCTTAGCATGTACACTGTACACTCCTCAAGCACACGGAACGAGGTTATGCCACTTGAGGACTGCATAGAATATGTAGTGTCACTAGTGCAGAAAGCAGGTTTTGGACGCAGGGGGGCGTCTTAGTTACAACATATCTCAAAAAAGCTGCTCGCCGCCAAAGCGGCGCATACATTGTCGATGCGGCGCTGCAATCTTGTCGAGGATGTTGATATGATTGTTGCCAAACTGCTTCTTGTGACATGCTTAAGCCCCGGAGAGGCTGTTTCGTGGCTGCTTTGCTACGCGGCACATGCTAGGGTCGATGGAAGCCCGAGCCATGGAGCCTCATCCGCAACAAGGACAGGAGAGGCGGTTCTTCTAAGACAGGTTGAGCTGGACACTTCAGCAACCAGCGCGAACTTGTGGTGCGTCAGGCGTCAACTGGATCTGCTTTCCACCCTACAGTTGTACAGTACACTCTCATTTGGGCTCCACATAGTGTAGAAGTTGAATTTCTACGGCAGCTTACCAAATCGCCCAACGACCGCCGGTTGCTAATATCCCTGGTTTTGTGCTGCTGTAAGCAGGACCTTGCTGTCGTGACCCTGCAGAAAGTGCCAAAACAAGTGCATGCGCGTGTTCTTCAAACGTTTTTCTGGCTTGGGGCACCAGTGGTGGTAGGACAATTGATGATTTTCAGACATATTATATCCCTAAACACCGCAGCCCGCAAAACAAATTTTTTGGGTGGGGGGCAAGTTTCAGGCGAAGCTCAAAGAAGCAACGCAACAGACCATTTTGGTGTCGTTTTTGTTATATACTATACTTCATCGTTTTTCCATTTCTGCATAATTTTGGTGTCAGGTGGATTTTCCTGCGTCGTGCTTTCCGGTGAGACCGAAGGAACCTATTTTTCATCCCTTCGGAATCACCCGGAATTCCCTTCACCATCCTGTTGGCGGGTTTCGCCCTCGCGTCGTCCCCACCTCCAGGTTCACATCGGTTGGCTCTCGGCGTCAGCCTCGAAGGAACGGAGGCACCTCACGCCCAAGGAACGAATTGCCCGCGTTTCTGGGCGACCCAACAAGGGCGTCGGAAACGCTTGGGTGTCGTTGGACCGTGGTGAATCACCCGTTCGGGAAAACGCAATGGGGAGCATCAGTTTTTTGTCACATGACTATCACATCCACCTATTATAAAAACATGCCCCCCCAAATAAGAGAAACTCGGTTGCATTTTTTGATATATATATAGGGTCCCTGAAATCGGGGGGGTCCAAAATAGGGTCACCTGGGAAGAGCTTCAAAACAAAAAATCTCCCAGAAAATTTTTATACAAAATCCCGTATTATGCCAAACCTCCAGATCGAAGGGTCTTCCTTCACCCCTACAAAAACCTTAATTGGAACACGGATTCTTCATCAGACTAACAACTAAAGCTTTCGAAAGGTGGTGTCGCTGTGCCATGCGGTTTTGCGCGACCTTGGTGGCAAGTGCGTTTGGGTGAGTTTTTGCCATTGGGGGAAGGAAAACCTGCTGGTGTAAACGCGGCATGTCATGGTGGACACACGGGGGTGGGCAGTTACCGTTGTTTTTGGAACCTAAAAAAACTACACCCAAAATATCCCAAAATCGACCATGTTGGTAGTTTAGTAGCGGCTTGAAAGGGTTGTATTTTAAAAACGCAAATAAACCGTATTTTGGGTTTCGGACGTGGTGCTTTCTTAATTGGGGAGGCTTTTTAAATATAGGTACTTGGGATTATGAAGAGAGGCGAGGTCATGTCAAGAGGTCCAGGTGCAAATGTTGAAAGAACGTCCACGAACGGGTGTCGTTTCTGGCTTCACCCTGGCCTTCGCCACGAGACGGATGAGTGCAATTGCGGAATGCCACACCGGACCAGAAGGAACAAAACACAGCAATCACGTTTCTGTCTGTGGGACTGGGGTGCCAGTTGCACAGTCCAAATGACCAGTGTTGCCACGGCAATGTTACCTGTTACCCAAAAAGAGTGTTTCCTGCCAAAAACATTTGTAGGTTTGGCCGGGGCCACCGCGCCGAAGAGACCCACATGGAACCTGAAACCCACTGGTTTGTGGAGGCCGTCTTCATCTTCCAGTCTGGTTCATGTTCCATGTGGGTCTCTTTTGTGTCATGTGCAATGATTTTCTCCTTTGGAGTCGCAGAACCAAAGGGCTCACCAGATTTCACCCGTCCGTCCCCGAAATGCGAGGAATCCGCAACTTACGGGGTAACGAACTTGGGGATGGTTCTGTTACTCTTGAGGGAATGAACACCCCTGAGGATCCGAGATTGAAAAGAATCAATATCGCAAAAAGTTTTCAATAGTATTGAGTTAAGATCAAAAAATTTATCAATATGTTTGATCAATATCGACCAATATCATGATCAATATCAAGACCAACATCAATGTCAAAAGGAACCCCACAGGATCTCCACAGGATTCTAAACTCCGCAGGAACTCCACAGGATCTCCACAGGAACTTCACAGGATCTCCACAGGATTCTAAACTCCACAGGAACGCCACAGGAACTCCACAGGATCTCCACGATCAATATTGACCAATATCATGATCAATATCATGATCATTATTTGAAACCAATATCGACCAATATCATGACCAATATTATATAGATCATGATGTTGAATTTTTGGCTTCCAAGTTGCCCATTTTATTATTGAAAAAATTTGGGACCAATCGTAAGATTGATTTTTTAGTACCGGATCCTCTTGGAGCATCTGGGATGCTTGGAGCATGGGAGGTCATTTTTTTGGTTGAATCAGCCGGAAATGGCTGCATGGAGATCATGTCCAGTATGGCGATGAAGAATGTACAGAATGGAGAGTGCCTCATCCGGAAACAAGATGTTACATGCTGGGGTAGGTCATTCGACACCCTCAGAATCATAAAGTTTCTGGATGATTCCTCCCGCCACCAACACCAGAAATGTACCTATAGTATCTACTAGAATCATTCATCCTGAAGTAGAAACAAGTAACATGTCTTCGTACTTAGTTTCACACAGGATGTAAACAGTTGCAATACAGTTTTACACAACATGTCACCAGGTTTCTCTCATTTCGCAGCACTGGCGCCGGGTCGCCACTTCCACCTTCCTTCTCTGAGGACATCAGTACCTTGGAGGCCTTGGGCCGCTTCTTCCGCGTCACAGGCTCTTCCATGGAGGTCTTGGCAGAGGAGTGGGTCCGCCGCGAGGATGGTGGGCCGCTGGGACTTCTCTCCACCGCCAGCCCGTGAGCACTGGCGCCATGCGACCATGCGACCACCGTCGGTTCTTTTCGATAGAGCACACCCCTTTTCTGAAAGGAGACCCGTGTTTGACAGGATGGTTTTTCTGGGTTTGGCAGGAATGGTTTGGCGCCGCACTTCTGACATTGACGCACCGTCCTTTCAGTTTGGCAGCATGAAATCCTGTCCACGAGTCGATGTCAGACTTGTCCATGAGTCGATGTCTCTTCAAACATGGTTGATGGACAACATTCTCCTGCAGGACCCCTAGGACCCTAGAACATCCTATAAGCAACTACTAAGTCTGTCCCATTCTGTCGGTGGAATGTCCATGAATCTCCTGAAATGCACAGCTCATGAACCTCCAATTCGCTACGCTTCGATCGGCCCATGTGGCCATTCCGCGTTCCGCCTGAGGCGTTGCCGGCCTAAGAGCTGCCAGGAGATTGCTCGTTGGGGCTTGGGGGCTTTCCGAGCGAGGAGGAAGAGTCCGGTGGGGTCGGATGATGGGCTGGAGATGGGGAGTTGCTAGGGGTCTTGAAAAGCCATGGCTGGAGAAGGCCATGTAAGACCTTCCATCTTCAGACCTTGTGCCCTCTTGGTTATGACCTTCCTTATCCTTCCTTGTATGATCACGTTTGTGTGAGACTGGACATATGCCCAGACAAATGGAATATTTGCCTGCATGGATTGTTGGGGAAGCTACCACAGCACACCGTTTTTTGTGTTTCGACCTATTGTTTGCGCTGAAGAGCCAGGGAAATGGTATGATAGTCGTGACCCATGGTTGGAGTTTGCCTGAATTGTAGGGTGTAGCAGTTCTGCTGTATACTAATTACAATATATAGTATATATATATATATATATTTTTTTTAATTTAAGGGCTTACGCCCGACAGCCGGCCAGGGGCGTTGAGGTAGGGGGCTGGAGGGTGGAAGATTGGGCTGAGGGAGTGGATGTTGGGCAGGCTTGGGGCTCTGTTGCGCGCAGCTTGGGTCTAGCTTAGGCCATCTGGAGCCTTTGTTTCGCGGTCTTGGGGCTATGTTGAGCATAGCTTGCGTCTAGCTTGGGCCAGCTTGGGCCCATGTTGGCTCAGCTTGGCCTAGCTTTGGCACATGTTAGCCCAGCATCCGCCCACGATGCAGACGAAGCACCCCGGCGCGGTACGCATTTCCAGCATTATTTGGGCCTATGTTGGGCTATGTTGTCCCATCATGAGCAACGAGAGCGGAGAAAAAAACGTCAAAAACACTGAGTTTTCTGTGTTCCACCTGGGGGCGGCTACGCTTTCTGCTTCGCAGAAGCAGGCAACTCCCCTGGAGGGGCACGGCCGTCAAGTCAGGGGGCTGGGGGGGCGAAAGTCGCGGTCGTGGTTGTGGCTGTTGTTGTGGTTGGTGGTGATGGTGTTGTTGGCGGTGTGGCTGTGATTGTTGCTATTGTCGTGCGCGTCAACATATATGACAAGCTGGGCCAACATAGCCCAAGATAGCGCCAAGATGGGCCAACATAGGCTCGGGCCAACATAGGCTCAACATGGGCCCAACATAGCCCCAAGATGGGCCAAGATAACGCCAAGATGGGGCAACGCAGTGCCAGCATCGGCCAAACATCCGCCCACGATGCAGACGAAGCACACTGGTGCGGCATGCATTTCCAGCATTATTTGGGCCTATGTTGGGCTATGTTGACCCATCGTGAGCAACAAGAGCGGGGAAAAAAATACGTCAAAAACACTCGGTTTTCTGGGTCCCGGACCTGGCAGCGGCTAGGCTTTTTGCTTCGCAGAAGCAGGCAGCTCACCTGGAGGGACACGGCCCTGACGGGCTCATCGCCCCTGGCCGGATTTACCCACGGCCGCCTGGGGTCGGCGGCCGCGGGTGTCGGTCCGAGCAACAGGGCCGACAATCACGTGTTCTCGACCGCCTGATCCGTGGCCCTCGAGATCCCTTATCACGGTGACCTCCTTAGAAATCATGGTTCGGCAACCTCGATTTTAGACATGCAGGAGGAAGGTCATACACGAAGCAGCCCCCCCAAGTTATCATAGTTATAACTTTAGTTATAGCACTTACTGAAGTTAAAAATAAGTTATAAGTAAGTTATATGAAAGAAAGTGTAAGTAAGTTATAAGAAAGTTGTAGAAGTTATTAAGTTGCTTAAGTTGTTTGCGTTGCCAAAAATCAGTGCAGACAACCGCCGAGCCAAAAACACAGAAAACACAAGTGTTTTCAAATTCTGGGCAGACAACCGCCACAAGTCCACAGCCAGTCGCACTTTTACAACAGACACACGACTTTGTCATCTTCGTGGCACCACCTGCGTTGTGTCTTCCATGACTCAAACTGCGCAAGAAAACTTTTTTTGAGCCCTCAAGTGTCTGCCATAGATAAAAAAACTTGGTGGTAAGGAGGTCTAAGGAGACACACGGGGATACACCGGGATACACGTGTATCCCAATGTATCCCTGTGTATCTCTCTGTATCCCTGCGCCTTCCGTTTCTATCGCAAAAAAAATGATCGGTATGCCGCGCGTCCCTCTGAACAAAAACAATTTAAAAATGTCACATGTGCATCATGGTGCATCTCACACAGCCTGGGCAGACAACCGCCAAAAGAATCAACGAATCCTGCACAATGTGAGCACTTATTAACCTTGTTGGTGAAAATACTATTTTTGCACAGAACTTACAAATCATCAAAAAACAAACATAAAAAATAACTTCCGTAACTTGTTTCTAAGTTCTGCAAGCTTCAACATAGCATGTGTCATAACTATGTTATAAATTTCACATGTTTTAGAACTTACTTATATGTGTGTTATAACTTCCAAGGAACTTATCGAACTTAGCATAGGTTATAACATATGTTATCCCTAGTTATAACCTATGTTGAGGAAGTTTTTAACTTCTTTAACTTGGGGGGGCTGCTCAGTGTATAAATAATATATATATATATATCGATGTTTTGGTCTCATATTGTATCGACATGTCTGTGCTACTTGGCGTTGTTCTTCCGTTCAACCCGGGACTCCAGCCTGGACACCGCCTGCACCGCGAAAAAAAACATGACGGTCCCCATTCCTTTTCAAACATGACCAATGTCCAAAATTTGTCCAAAACAACTGTCAACAATTTGTCCATTTTTTTGCCAGCCCCAGCTATACCTATACCGAACTATTCTCAGGAACACGCCGTCCCCGTTCCGCTCACGCTCACGCTCTCGGTACTAGAACGGGGTCGGCGGATATATAAGCACTTAAGGTCGTGTTGGTATCAAAGGATTCCCCTCGTTTAATAGCCTCTATCAGGATGAAGATGAGGTACAGTAGCACGAACCTCATCAATCAACAGACAGCCTCCAGATGCCACCGCCCAATCCCCCTACTTTGTACCAGACAGTCTTGGCCATGGGGGTTCTGACGTTGTTTTTGAGCATGTACCAAGGCAGACCAGAAGGCTTTACACGTACCATGTTTGACCATCAACGACAATCGAATAACTAGTTCCACGCAAGTAAACCACAATTGATAGATCGTGAACAAGGGACTTTGAATTTGACACAAGTGTTTTTTACAAATTTCACATGCATGTTTTTGCAACATGATGGGGTTGAGTTCCTGCTCACAGAAACGGTCAAGGTATACTGTAATTGCGCACCATACGCCCTTGTTGCCTGTCAAACATAGTCACCACGTCACGCAATCTTCTAAGCGTTGATCTGAATTTTCACCTTCAAAGTGTCCGTTTCAATCTTGGCAGGAGCCCGAGGCACATACTGCTAGTGGCTTTCCGGTGATCCAGTTCGTGACTCGTCCAGTCGCCCACGAGTCATGGCCCGAAGAGAAGACGAGTGCCGTTCACTGCGCGCTTCGTGGGCTGTGAAGCGGTGCCCGCTCCGTCGGCCAACCCGGCGTTGTGAGAAATGCGTCGCCTCGTCGGACGAACAACAACTCGATGGCCTGGTCGTCGTGTGACTGAGGCGATCAGCTTTGTGCACCCTGAGATGCTGAAGACAGGTGTCGTTGTGAACCGAAACCCCTGACGACCGGTGATCCTTCGGCAGGAACGACATTCGCTGAAGCTGTAAACAACGTCCGGTTGCAGAGGGACAAGCTGAGTCAAACGAGTAGTAAAGGCTAACGAGACCACCGGATGAACTGAAGATGTTGATTGATTCACCTGGTAGGTACATTGCAGGTACAAGTATATTACATTCTTCTCATGTCATGCTTATTGGCTCTTTGAGCATCGGAACCGAAGCGCCCCCGCTTTCTCGTCCGAAAGCCCGAACGCGAAAGCAATCACGAAAACCCCACTGGTGCAGTCAGAAGCGCACGTTGCAGTCAGAAGGATCGCATGTTTGCATGATTCTTGCATGTTTGATGCTTGCAGTGAGATTTGCTGAAGGAGCTTTGTGGTCAATTTGCAAGTGCATTTGGGGTCAATTTGCACGTTGGCAGTTGTGTAGAAACCAAACATTGCCGTTGTTGCACATTGCCAAAACATTGCAAACACCTAAGAGCAAAATAATATGACCTCCCAACTGTTACTGAGGAGCCAGCTAGCCTAGCCTTGAAAAAATATGGACCTCTCGGCTTGCTGGTTTAGCTCGAATCGAGCAAGACGACTTGCTACCCCTCCATCCAACAAACGTGGACCTGTGTTCCAGGCCCAGGAACTGGGCCTGGAGATTACAGCATTCCCTCCGTCCCTCCACTTGCATGTGTTTTCAGAGTAAGATGATCAAGGTACAGTCCTCGCAGGTGGGGGATCGGGTTGTCCTCGCTGTCCTCGCAGGGCCAAAGCCAGCGCCTGTGTGGCCAGCGTTACCAGCTGCGAGCCCACAGGAAGCACAACAGATCTCATGGCCCTGTGTGAGGCGACCGCCGCCGTCAGTGTGAGAGTCGCCCTGGGTCCTGGGGGTAACGAAGATGGGGGTTGATTCACGAGGCCGGCTCATCCCCAAATGTCCCCAGGGGCTTGTCCAGTCTGGGTAGACGATAGACACATATAAGTCCGCATGTGTTGGACACTGAAGATTGACCGTGTGGGCATGTTGACCAGGGTGCGTCGTTTTAATACGGAGACCCCGTGGCGGCAGACAGGTCGTTTTTGGTCTCCTTCCAGGGGGTTGGAACGCCTGGTGTCGGTCTCCCTATTTTAGAACATGCCCGCCACTCTGTTTGTTTCTCAGTACGGCTTGGAGATGAGTGCTCTGACGGTGTTTGGAAAACCACATCCAAACCGCCTGTTTAACGGAGAAAATGGTGTTCCAGAAACAAGATTTTTTCGGCCTAACCGGGCATTCAAAATGCAACTGGTGTACTGTCATCGGGGTGGCTTTCAGATGACATGAGTCTAGTCTCACGATTCTGGGTTAGAAGCCGTGTGTTGTACTTTGGGGCCAACCGTCGATTCTAATAATGAGTGGAACGATGTGCATTGGGCCAACTGTCGGTCGAATCATTGCTGTTTGTGTTGCACTGATGTTTTTTACCCAGCCCAGCCTGTGGAACCAGTTGAAAAGTTCAAGGACCCACGCAAACTTAAAACCAGCCGCTAGCTGCAATTTCAATTTGGTTGCGAGTGCAATCTGAACCAGTGGAGTGTTGACACTCGCCGCGCCTACTGTCCATCTCAAACAGTCAGTGTGAGCAGCGAGCAGCTCATTTGTTCGAGTTTTTTTGCCCGATGCCAAAGCACTCGCGTGGAAGTTGGAAAGCAATTTCCTTCTTGAGTGATGAGCCAGAGCCTTAAGGCAGTGAATGTGCGACGACAATCATTGCGCCTGCCGTTGGGTTCTGCAACGCTCCGTTTCGAGGACGTGTGCCGAAGACGATGATGCTGCTTCACCAGAGGTCAGCAACCTAAGACACCCAAGAATCCATACATATATATAGTGTATACTGTATCAGATACATCGTGTTTGTTGTGTGTATAAAATTAACTTATTATGTACATATATCATATATCCTTTGCAGGGTCAGTCAGTCAATCAACTTGTACCTGGTCAAAACCCATCAATTTCAGGTGGTCTACATGCCAAACAGTGAGCGGTGGCCCAAATTTGGTTTGAGAGAGCCGCACTACCTGTCCTGTTGTGTGCAGAAAGTTGAACCTTTCTGGGGAGATCACACGCCAGAAGCAGACCCACTGAACATGAGACTTGTGACTTGGGTTGCGTTTGGACAAAGCATCAAGTTCCATTCTCGATTTCAGGGTATTTGTACTGCTTTCTCTAATCACTGGTATGGTTCCGAAACCATGTGCAAAATGAGGTGCCCAGCAAAGCGCAGATCAAGAAGGTTTGCAGCGGCAAGATCAACTCCAAAACCAAGAAGCTCCAAGTCAAACCAGTCATCAGACACACATACGGATGTGTCCGTGCCTCCCTTGAATAGTGCTTCAATCAAAGCTTCAGCTTGGGGTCCATGTTCTACTTACAGAAGCTTAGGCGTTTTCTCTGCAACCACAAGGGCGAATTGCAACTATCTCTCAGAGCGTGGTTGTCAGGCATTCTTTTATTGTTTCATTTTTGAGTGCCTCAAGTTCTAGCCTAGCCTTTGTGGCAATCTTGCTGTTGCCGCGCAGGATCTCGCCAACCAGCTGTATTGGTGGGATTACTATGGACACTGTTGCTCCAAGGCAGGAATCAGGAAAGCTAAATTCCTGAATCCAGAGTTTGCCGAGTACTTGAGCGGACGCTTCCATTGCAAAGGCAACGTGCAAGTTTTGAATTTGATGGTCCTGACTCACTGTCATTTTGTCGCTTGTTGATGGCGCTCAGGACTTCCCAGGGCTTGGTCGAACCCTGAATCAGCCATCAGTCCTGAGCACTTCGATGCACTTTTTCCAGATGTTGCTGCGTCCCGCTATGTCGTTTTGATGCAACACATAGTTTTTGATGCGCGTTTAAATGCATGTCGGTTTCATACCAGGCAGCGCTTGTCATTTGCTTAGGTGGACCTACTTCCTGTGATCAGCGTTTTTAGCGGCATAGGAGGTCTGGACTTGGCGCTTGCCCAGTCATATCCCTAGCTGACTGAGAGTTTTCTGTTGCAAACTTAACTTCATGGCATTGCCCATGAGGCGCTGCCGTGCAGTAGCCTATGTCACAGTCTCAGCCGTTGATTGCGCCTGTTAGCTGCCAGCAGCCAGTCCCTATGGCGTTGGCTGAGTGGTGAGGTTGAATGGAACCCATTCTGCCAGAGAGTTCTGGCCAGACGCATGGACGAAGGGTCGCTACACTATGGGACGATCTATGGCGACATCACCAAGTACACACCATCCAGCGCAGAGAGTGCTGAAGTTAAAGGTGTGATTGGGGGATTCCCATGCCAAGCCTTGTGGCCGTGTTTGGGAGTAGAACACAAACCAAAGCTTGTTGAGTGGCATTTCCTTTCAGATATTTTGGACGTGTTTTGTTTGTCAACTAAGGGTGTGAGCCAGGCTGGCCACATGGCAGGAGTTGAGGACAGCAGGTCCATGCTTTGCTCACGAATTTTCGATATAGCCGATGAATGTCCACATTTGAAGCTTGAGTGAAGTGGGTCAAGCCTTTCTTTTGTTTAGTTCATGTCGCAGCTTGCAAAAGGTAACAGTGGGCCTGACCCGTGGTTGTGAGCCCAGGTCGTTCTGCTTCTTGGAGAACGTGAGTAACCTACTGAGCGCTAAGCTTCGACCGCTCTTGGACTACATCATGGAGGCACAGCCAAGTTCCAGTTTCCAGGAATGTTGCGCCTAAGTGTTGTCAGAGTTGTTTTGATCTTGGGTGTTGGCAGGAGTTCACGCGACGAGGATTTGAAGTTCGCTGGTGTGTGATCAACGGCAGGAACGTGGGTTGTCAGGCGACGACAATTTTGCAAGGCAGTGCATGTTGTAAGAGACTCTAAACAAGCAAGGGGATTCTATGCGGTTGCTTCATTAAACGCCGCCTGTTTTGTAGACACAACCTGACTTGCCAGATGGGCCGCGAACGAATCTTCCTGTATGCCAAGAAGAAGGGAGCTGCCCACAAACTTCTTGAGGCAACGGGAGTTTTCTAAGGTGCTGTTTTGCTGCTTTGTCGTTGCAGGGCCTGCAGCTCTTGACTTCAGAGGAGGTCCATAGGAATGCACACAGACCTTGGAATCCAAAAGGCGGGGTTCCAATCACATCAGTACTTCAGCGCAAGCAAGCGCCGCTGGACAGTGACCGATTGAAGGCTCTGGGTAACGTAGTAGTTCCGCAATGTGGCAGAATGGCTTTGCAAGTCTTTGGTCACAGCTGTGGTGTGTGACCAGCGCCAGTGATTGGTTTGTCCGCTACAGGAACACCATTTGTTCATGTTTCATGTTAAAAGAAGGTATGCTGTGAACAGAGCACTTGTTGGAGTTTGTTTTTTGAAGGTCACTTGCAAATTCATTAACTGAGCCAACCTAGCCTTGCTGGAGGTGTTGCTTCCTCGATGTGCCAGGTTGACTCGTAATTCGATTATCATGTTGACAGAGGCCAGTAGACTCATCTGCGGTCAACCGGCGGATGGCGCCGACCCATTGCAAAATCAAACCTGACGCGAAACTGTTGTAGAACAATACATGGCGTCTATATAAACTTTTTGCCGCTAAGCAGTTACCTTTACTTTTACTCTGAGTTAACATGTTGGCTCGAAAACTGCAACAGGTATTCTCCTTGTTTAGAGACCCCCGCTCCTTTATGCCTACCTCAATCCGGATGCGACCCATCCAGTCATGGTGGGGGTCAGTCTATGGCCACGATCCTTGGTGTGGGCACAGTGGGTTCATCTCGGAGGAGGAATCAAGCGATTGGGAGGTATTGGACGGTGAGGACGAGGACCCAAACCGAGTGCCTTCGCCTATTGTTATTGAGGCTGAGGCAAGTTTGGATCCGGTGCAGTGTTACACTTGTGATCATGTTTCTGTCTGTTTCTGTGGTTTGCGAGTTGATTCTATTCTAAATTTGTTGGAGGCCAATTCGACTACTATCTCTGGATCAGAGTCATCCGACGGGCCCACTGCCAACCCGCCATCCAGTCAGGCAGGGCAGTCAGCGCTCGAAAGATATCAAGTCCTGTTTGTACTTCACCTCTATTTTCCAGGGTGCACTCAAGCGCGCTTCGGAGAAGGATGCCTTCACTTCACAAGGATTGTCACGCCGGTTTCTAGATGTCCAGCCATACTTACCTTATGTCCTTGGCAGGAGAGACGAGAACACGAAAGCGATCCTGCGACAACATGGCAGGCCTGCACCAACTAAATTCCTTCATGTTAAGTTTTCTCCAACCCTCAGTGTTTGTGGCTAATCACCAATGGTGTGTGCAAAACATCCAAGTTTGCTCCTTTGCGAGGCACAGCGACTGGACAGAAGGAGGCCCTGGCTTTGGCCTCAACATCCAAGGTGGCACGCGTTCAGATTCGAAGGCTCAAAAGCACTGCCCAACTCGAGCTTTGAATGTTTATATGTTTGACGCAATTGTGTCAGACCTTCCAATGCCAATTTGTGAAATTCAAATTAAGGTTGTGTATTCTTTGTTTGCTGTTGCGTGGCAACAGAACAGTCAGTAACAGAACGGCAGCTGCAAAACGATCAGCCACTGTGCGCTACGATTGTAGATTAAATCGCGAACGGTGTTCAGGTTTCTTTTTTCAAGCCGGGTTCAGGGCACTGGGCAGAAAACCAGTCATGGCTACAGTTTTAACGCATGTGGTGTAACCGTGTTTTTTTTTTTGGGGGGGCATGCTACATCTACATCCCAGGTAGTCTCACAGGTGCTACTATGTGTGCGCTCTGAGTGCCCAAGACAGATTCTTCACATTCAATTCTTGGTTAACGTTCATTCATGTTCATTCTTTCTTTCATGGCATTGATACAATCTTGATA